TCACAGAGAGACGTCAGCTCTCAATATTGTCGGGAATCGCGAACTAGCATACCTGGACGCTATTCTGCCCGCTCTTCGTAACAATTTCACGCAGACAGTTCTCCATAACGACCACGTCGGTCTTGGTCGAAAGAAGGGAGGAGCATAGATAATAGTCCAGGCGGGCAAAGTGATGAAAGCGGTAGTGACTGCATGATACGCCAAATACAGAGCCTTGAATGGCTGCCGGTGCAGCAGCATATCGCTAGAGTCGCTAGCTATATATGCCTCGCCTGGAGTGCTGACAGCCGTCTTTGCTATTGCGCCCCCGCGTAAACATGACCAAATATTACCTTTTCGAGAAGAATATCATGTGACCTCCGACCCCTCCGGCCGCGTCACTAAAAATAACTGGACCCAGCCGTATTAAGTAAACGCCAATTACATTGCCATCATATATTTTTAATGTGTAAGACATGCATCGCTTCTTTAGTGTAGTGGTTATGCGGCGTGCATTCAGCACTAGATGTCTAGAGTTCAATTCCTACTGTGCACTTTTTTTGATTTGTGCTTTTAGGGTTAGGGTTTATTAACTTTCCTTACTGTTGACTTTTATATCTACCTTGTCAGCCACATGTATCACAGCTATATAGATTTCAATGAAAATTTATTTCGCCCCATCTATATGACCCTCTTAGTCCAGACTTGAAGATACTCTAACTGGCCGGAGACGCGCGCGGCGGGAAGCCCGCGTTTGCCGGCATCACGTGATATTCTTCTGGATATGGTATATTTGTACGTGTTTGCACGGGGGCGCAGTAAAGCTACCTGCTGACAGCCGTTTGCAGATCGATAGACCACCAATTCAGAAAATCGCGTATAGTCGGAGTGGGTCGGAGTGGGTCCCAGGGACGTCGGAAGAAGGTAGCGAAGTCCACATGGCCTGATTTCTGTCTCTCGGGGACTTGAAATTGGCTGTCCGACGTGGTCCGACTGTAAATGATTTTTGAAAAGTGCAAACGGCTGGAAGAAACGCTAACGACAGCACAAATTCGGAGACTTGTATGCGTATAGTCCCGCAATTATTAATTGACCCCGATCACGACGTTGACGTCGACGGCTTTCACCGATACTTGACCGAATTCATGTCCACCGTAGACTTTGCGACTGCTGTCGCGCAAGAAGAGGCCTATCTTCAGAAATTGCATCCTACCCCTGACGATATTCCGGGATGCATGAAAATTTTCGATGATTTCCTGTCTTGCAATAGTACGTCGCTTGACTACTTCCGAACGAAACCCGACTCACTCCAAGCAACAGTTACGGTGAACCAGATCAGGTCGCTGTATAGGTATGGCCAAAGAGCTGAATGCGGGCATAAATGGGAGGATTTCAAGTTTTGCATGAGCATTACGAATCTCCACCCTGAGGAGAGACGCAATGTCTGGATCAGACGCAGGGCGGAGTGGTGGGCACACAGGAGACTATCCCAGAGTAGTGAGGATATATGGGAGATTCGAAAGTGAGTGCTTTATGGTGTAGTGTATGGCTCAATGGCATGATGGCCCCTTAGAGAACCTCTGCAGAACTGGCCTCCGGCGACGCCGACCTGCGATGCGAATGCCGAGACTATAGCGTAGCCGGACGTTCAATGCCTCAAGGGGACTGTCTCCAGCCTTTTCTGGCTGTTGCCCCTGCGTCGCGTTCAGTCCGACACCATGGATGTCAGATAGACACGACTGTTCGAGCCTCACCTACTCGTGTCCACGAAACATATACGTTGCCTTGCCCCGTCGTACCTACGTACTGCTGTTGCTCCTCTCAGGCACTCTGCCGTTGTCATACGTTGACAAAGGATGTTTTCCTGAGAGGCATTGTAGCTGTAACTGGAATTGTATACGCCTCCCGTACATTCAGAAGCTGCAGGGCTGTGAATGTCCGTCCCGGAATGGGCCGCTTACACGTTGCACCAGCTGTGAGCACTGCTATATGAAGACCGTTATCAAAGGTGAATCGCGATTCATCGTGAACACCCGCTGTCTTGTGGTACGTTTGCCCGCCTACGGAGTGATAAAACGTGCAATGACCGTGCATACCCCGCAATAGTTGAAGAGATATGGCAGAACAGCATCCTGGCTGTACTGGAGAACGCGGCCCAGCTGCGGATGGGCTCGAGTCAGGCTCGGACGCTGGTGTGACCCACTGCGAGGATTTATGGTTTGAAGATGGCACCGTCGTCTTGCAAGCGGAGTCGACTATCTTCAAGGTACACCGAACGATACTTGCCAGGAACTCCACGTTCTTCAAAGACATGTTCTCCAATGCGGAGCCGGATAAAGGAGAGCAGCACAATGGATGTCCTTTGATCATCGTTCAGGATAAATCTAGTGATATGACCTTGTTCTTGAAAGCTATGTACACACCAGGGTGAGCAAGTTCTATTTTGCGGCGTCCCGTCGGTTGTGCTCAACTGTTGCAGGTACTCTGAATCACTGAAGTTGTTTATCGAGATCGCCTCCTTGCTTATGATAGCGTCCAAGTATGGTTCGAAGTACTTTCGCGCCTTATCGACCGATAAACTGCGCACCGTCTGTCCCACTACATTTGCTGCATGGGATCGCAATGCTTCCGTGCTCGAACCTGGAAAGATGATCCAGCTGGCTCAACAGTGCGACCTCCGCAAGTTCTTGCCCGCAAGCATGTATGCCTGCTGTCAGTTGGGCGATGCATACATCGTCGACAACATTTCGAATCGTGACCTTGTCAAGTTCTGCTTGATAGGGCGTCAGAAAATTATTGATACTTGACGCAAGCTGGTTGTATCCTCTGCCAAAACTTTTCCCTGGGTCTGTCGACAACATGCTGCTCGCGTCAAAGGCAAAAGATGCTACTCGACCCCGACGTATGGGCCATCATGACAACGTCCAAATTGTTCGTCCATGATGCCGACGCGGCATCGAAAATTAGTGAAGCTGCCTGGGATCATCTCTGCGCAAACTGCGCCGCAGCCTCTAGGCAAAGTATTGAGGACGCCCGTATGAAAATATGGGAAATGCTTCCGGGTCTTTTCGATTTGCCAGAACGGTCTGCGTTGGAGGCGCAAAGCAAGGATGCCTGAACAGGATGACGGAGGGTCGAGGCAAGCACTTTTGGTTGAACACTTCTGTCTGTTGCTTGGGAGTTTGCTTTTTGTCTGAAGATAACATAGTACTTACGTGGACGTCGTCTCCCCTTGTCCTGAATTCGTTGCCGTGAAAGACCCGCGGTTCTGCGAGTTCCTCCACTTTGTCCTGTACAAAGTTGATGCTACGACGTTTCTCCTTGCATTACCGTCCGTCGCTTGGTCTGATATCATTGTGTAGGCCATGTCTCAACTGTTCTATCATACTTTGGATTTGTAACAACGACGGTGCCACTGCAGCATCAACCGATCAGCGAATGTAACCAAGTCTCGTCTCAGCACGAAGCGGCCGGATCACAATCGATCTAGTGCAGAAGCTGGTAAGTCGTTACAAACAGGTAACCAATGGTATATAGAGCTATCATCACGCTCGAGGACCACCGACCAAAGGACCAGCGTTCACTGCATGCGTTTCTGGTCTTCAATATCATTATCACTTCGGTTCTCGTGAACCTCAGCGGGGCCATTCAAACCTTCGCCCTCCTCTACGCCGCGCAGCCCCCCGGCGTCATAGTCCGAAAGGTAGAAGTAGGTCGCCGGAAGAGCAACGAAAAGGGCTCCGACGATGTTGCCCAGGTACGCTGCGATAAGAGATTTGCGGATGTACATCGCGGTCGTGAGCTAACGACGTATTCCGTGAGTACCAGCCTGCAGTATAAATAACACGAGAGGTGACTTACTCCCTCAGCGTGGAACATAATTCCCAGGGGAATGGAGAACATGTTAGCGACCACTGAATGGTTTGGTATGATGAGTCACACGAGCCTCCTGAGAAGAAGTGCCTGAATAATCACCGTGGTCGTATCCGCACGAGACGAAGATCTGCCGGACGGTCAGTAAGCATCAGCCAGGAAGCACAGGGTTCGCTGATTAGTTCACTGACCAAGATAGGGATCCATATTGCGACGATCTGTGAACTTCAGGTGAGCGACTCACGGGAACTAATGGGAAGTTGAGTCGTACCTTGGACAGCGTATCCCTTGCCCCTGCTGCTTGCTGATAAGCTATTAGGCGGCATCATGCAGATGACGGCAGAATTCACATACCCAGACTGCGATGCACACAAGCCAGTTACATCCGATACCCCGGAGGAATATTTGGTACCAGTGAGGCTCGATGACTTTACGACTGCGTTTCACTCCGCCGTGAGAATGGACTTACATGAAGGAGAATATACTCACATAGCAAAGCTTTGGATATAAGCTATGTACGGCTGAGTGGAAACGATGCCCGTTTCTGGAAGACCTTTGGGTAAGTCGAAGCTGCAATTGTGCATGCACTACTCACGTTTGACGAGCACCTCCGCAAAAAATAGACTGCCTGTGAGGTTGCCGAAGGTAACTGGGCGGAACTGACTTAGCCTGAATACCTTAGGAGTCCCGGATGATGACGAACCCAAGAACCAGTTGAATGGAAGACTCCACCATGGAATTTGGCGTTTTATTATAGCCATAGGGAAGATCTGGATTCAATCATGTAAGATAGGTCGCCCATCATGTAAGAATTCACGCCGTACCATCATGTTGCTAGTTAACAATTCGAGTCCCTGCAATACAATCCTGCGCCGTATTATCAGCAGAGCGATCGTAATGAAACTGCGGTTGCTCACATTACGAGTCCTACAGGGAAGACGAAGCCGCCCATGACTTTGACGAGGCCTGGATTGGACGCGTTCAAAGCTGTGGACCCGCCAGAAATGACAGTATCGAGGAGTCCTCCAAATGATAGCATCACCCCTGCGAGGAACTACCGCGTCGATGGTAAGCAGAACAGTCTCGGCAACCTCTACAGATATTGCCTTACAGCCTTCCAAAACACCATATCCCATCGGGTGCGGTGCTTCGCCACGCCATGCTGCATCATAGCCAGCGCAACTTCTGCGGGCTTGAGGGTGCTCGGCGGATCCATTGCGGCCATTCTGCCCAGGCGACGCTTAGCGCAGGTGTTGGGTACGGTGAAAGGGGGGCCTGCCCGTCCATAAACGCGCCTGTCTTAATAACCTGGGGGCTTCCCCAGATTGCATGTATATTAATAGAAGATTTGCACGGAGATGAGCGTCTTCCGGAACCAAAAGGCAAGCACGCTTGATTTGATTCCCAATATCCATTCGCTCTCGGTCCCGAGAAGACCGAACACTTTACTTCTGAGTATCCAGTTAGCTGGGAAGTCCTGAATACGCAATTGCTCACCTCTTGTATGCGAGGATACCGTTCAGCTGCAGGTATCCGTGCCTTTTTACCATCAGTATCAGCCAGCGTTTGTACATGCATGTCAAGCTGTGATGGGCGTGGCGCGCCTCGCGTCAAGTGACCTCCTCTTTATCAATATTATAACAAGGGCTTGTGACTGTGAGAACCGCGGCCGATTCCACCGAGAGGACTTCCGTTCCGTTTCAAAGTTCAGAATCTGCTCTTTTGACTTGAATCACTCACTTCGTTTCAATCACGTCGCAGAGGCATCCTTCTCACTTGATGGCGCACGAGCGGGCAATGGACAAAGCTGAACTTGTGAGCACAGAAGGATTCGATATACATACTGACGCTTCTTCATGAGCTTATTGGGCGGCAGCTTAACAGAAGTATTTTGAGAGGTGACGCCAGTCCCTGGTATTCGTAGGAATGTATGCAGGTGGCCCACGTTGATCACCCTAAAAATACGTGCGCTTTCGTTCAGCGAATGTATGACTGAACCCTTCCCATGGATGAGTACCTGACTCATCGGACATGCCAATATTAACACCTGCCGTCGGTATAGACAACACGGGAATGGGGCCTGAGGCGAAGGGGAGATGACAATGTAGGAACGGATATATGTAGAACATAACGATACAGCAAGACGCAGATAATAAAATATGCAGACTCAAGAGAGAGTACGAACCCGACATGTCTTACTCCAGCGAGTTAGTCTCGAGATTGCGCGCCTCCATTTCTTCTCCATCTACCTCACTATCGTCTTCTTGATATGCAGCATAGATACTATCCAATTCCGGCCCTTCGACCACCAGCTCCAGCAACGCCCTAGCCATATCTGCAAAAAGCGGTGTAAATCAATCATATATCTCACAATCAATTGCGCGGCCTCACCCCTCATGTCATCCACCTCATTACAAAGTTCAGCCGACATCCATTGCGGTGCATCAGCGTAGCTCAGGCGGCCAAATGTCACTATGAATATGTGGATTAACCCGTTGAACTGCCGATGTGGAGCGTTATGGAGGCTTCTTCGGAGATCATAGAAATCCACCCCTTGACCGCAGACAAGATATTGCAATAATGTCAGTGCTTGGTAGATGGTCCTGATACGTCTATCCAGTTCTCAATCAATCCGGTTCCCGGTTAGAATGCAGCGCTTACTCTCGTGGACTCAGAACCGAATCGGTCGTGTCTACTTGATCCCATAATAACCCGGCCAGACGTGCCATCAGCACGATGAGCGACGGCAGTACGGTCGGCGACTCCAGGAGCAATGTAACAGCGGCAGCGCCGCTTACAGAGAGCATCGCGAAGAATGTCAATATATTCGCTCTCGTGCTCTCCATCTACATGATCATTAGCAAACAGACGCTTCAGAACCAGAATCAAGCCCACCTCAGGGTCCACGCGTGCCTGATCTGCCAATAGAGCAGCTAGGAGTTCTATGTGAGCCCCAAGCTGCCCTTGGTTGCCAGCTTGATCTTCGTCCGACGCGCCCTGTACGGGCTTCGATATTAAGGATCGAGCCACCGTCTCACCTGATGGTCCAGTCAACATATAGAACATCTCTTTGTGTACATTGAACTTACGGCTTGCCAGCAGCGCCAAGCATCGAGTGGCCCTGTCCAATAACCACGACGGTTGTGCACTGTCGACTAATACTCGCAATACGCCGTCTGCAGCCAGGACCTCAGAAAGACTGAAGTGTCCTTTCAGTTGTTTTCCCTTTCATGCACTAAAATACTCACTATTCATCGCACGCATCGTCTGCACTGAAACAGAGAGCTTCTATCAAGCCCACAATCTCTCGCACCAGGTCGCGATGCCCTTCGTCTCCAGCACATTTGGTGGGAACAACGTGTCTATGGATGATATCGTACAATACAGCGACGATGGGTGGAGGCTGGTTCGCATTATAGGTGGCTTCAGAGGGTGATAGAGCTGCAGTGGCGATTGTCGAGAAAGCAAAAGAGAGCACGGAAAGCATATTTAGCAGGGCCGCCAAATGTGAAGTCTCATAGATGTCATTAGCGGGGGCCTGCTCTTAGTGAACGAGAACGTCGCTCACCAGATCACTGAAGCTCAGGGGTTGGACGAGCTTTAGCAAGACTTCGGACACCCTCTGGGCCAATGACTCCCAGCTCACCCCTGGCGTCGCCCCTAGTAACTCCAGCAGCGAGCCGCATGCAGAGAGGTAGTGATCTCTATCATGGGAAGATACGGTGGATGATATAGGTGCGCCCAGCAGCATTTGCAGCGTCAGCGGCTGCGAGTGCAGAGCATGAGAGAACACCAGCCGTCGGAGCTATCAATGATTCAGCGAGACAGCCTAGCAAATAGCTTGCGCCTATCTTACCTCTGTAGGATAATCGGGAGGTTCCAGGATTTCGATACCTTCCATTGCTGCATCGTCGATTTCCTCCTGCACTTCCAATTCAGCTTCCATGGGCGCTTCGGAAGGGTCTGATCCTTTCGCGTCAGTATCGTCCATGACAACATCGTCGCTTTCCCCTGCATGTCCGCGGGTGGTAGGACTACTCGGAGGTGAAGGGATGGGCTCGTTGCTCAGGACTTGAGAGTGATAGCTGAATAACGAAGGGCTAGGGACATGCCGCCCTTTCCCCTTCTTATCGCAGGCCTGAGAGCTAGGCTTCGGGCGAATAGTCTTGGGAGTTGGTTCACGAGGTGCGGGTCCGGGTAAAAACGAGTTATAAAACCCAGGGAGAGGAGCAGGTTTCTTCGGCGTGTCCCGTCTGACCCGCGGGAGCTTCGAAGGCCCCTGCTCGAACTCTCCGAACTGGGGCGGCGGGACGACGTTTTTGCGCACCAAGGGGCTTGAACCGAGGATTCCAGGATTCCTTAGGGCCGAGCGGGGAACTCTAGGTGTTGTCATATGGGCGGGGGTCATTGGGACATCCCGATTTATCCGCGTAGAGCGTACACTGCCGGGTGGTCTGCGGAGAGACGTCTCGATTTCGTGTTGCTACTCAACAGCATTAATACGGTGACTTTGCATGGGATGAATGGATTACCTTGAAGAGGAATTCAGTTCGTAGCCGTTCCATTTCCTCCTTCATCTCCTTTTGCAGTTGCGCCTGTGCCGCTTCTGCGGCCTCTTTCGCTGACTTGAGTCGTGTAATATTGGCCGCATGTTCTCGGGCGGTCTAAGAAATACACTTATAGTATCTGACGGTCACATAGTGGCCTCTTAGTTACCTTCTCCATGGTTTTCCTCAAAATGCTCACTTCACCCTCCTTGGCAAAGCGAGCATCTTCAGCTGCTTTGGCTGCTTTCTCCGCTTCCTCTGCCTTGCGCTGGAGCTGCATATGCAGGCTAAGAACGTGACGTAACTCAGAGGGTAGTAGAGTAATATGCGACGAACCTCCTCCATACGGGCATTGAGAATTTCTAGTTCGCGTTGAAGGCGTCTCTCATTCGTTCCAAGGGAGGCGGGAGGCGCGGGGGAATTTCGACGTTGAGACTGAGACGGAGGTAGCTGTAGGGCTTGAGACGGAAGTAACTGGGGTGCTTGAGACGCGCGAAAGGTAGGGTCGACACGATTATTCGTACCCGCAGCCGGTACATGAGGGGAGTCCTTGAGAGCTTCGCGTATCGAACGGTTGCGCTGAAATATAGAGGAAGGAGTTGATGCACGGCGCGTGGGAGGGGGTCGCAATACGCTCTCGGTGCGTGTAGGTACTCTTGAAGGAGGATTCGGCTTACTTGTGGATAGAGTGGCAGATTGGGGTAGGTCAACGGTGTTATTAGCTCGTACCAATACATCCAGCCCTTGCGACCCTCGAATGCCGTATGACCCGTCGTCCCTCACTGAAATCTCAGGCATGTCTTCGAAGTCATCCTCGACCGTGCTGCGTCCGACAAACCCGCCCCATCCTCCATGGCCTGTCTTTTGGCGCTTCGCCGGTCGTGACTGGCTATCGGGCGTGCTTTGGGGGACAGTATGCTTGTGTTCTTCCTTGTCAAGGATAGCCAAGGTGGCCTCGTCCAGAACAAGGTCGTCGTCGTCGAAATAGTCGTCTGAGTCGTCCATAGAAAACGGTCATAGAGGGGTTCTACTACAATAGGCCAGGAGTTTCTGAGACTCTAATGCAGAATGCCTTTAATCCACGGGACTCTCTACGAAAGGCAGAACCGCATCGCGCTGAAACGAAGTGGCGGTTGGCCATAGGACTCACATTTCGTGGATTCCTACAGCACCAGGCGCTTAATAATATTTCAGCACGCAGATAGTAGCCAAAATTGGTGAAAGGCAGGAGCTATATCATGCCATGCCAGACAGATCCTGAGTCTCAGCTTGAAGCAGCTTGAAGCGGTTTGCCACTAGCCTGCTGTAACAGCTAAGTGCTACGCATAGGTGGCGTGGGAACCCATGCGATTGAGACTTTTGACGCTCGGCGATGAGTAAACCGTCTTTGTTCTATGTACGCTGCAGCGGAGCTCAGGCGTACGAAATAACGCGAGAACATGCGGAATGCAGTGTCGCAAGTCTAATCGTAATCTCGTTCCATTTTTGGCGTTACAACTACTTGCAAACCGATCGAGCCAGTCTGTGTTTTTACTCGTCCAGGGCCTCTCCAAGGACCGACTACCACAAATCCTGAGGAACGGCGAAGAGAACGGTCGGAAGGTAGTCAGCTGTTCCTTCGAGACTCTTAGTGCCTTGGCTGTGGCTGAGAGTGGTGTGTGGTTGGACGGAGTATACTAGCTTTCGTTGGACTTGGTGAGTACACGTTGGCAAGCGCTCACGAACAACGACCGCAGCTGGCTCTGCCGTTTTCAAACAGCTGTCAAGTCGATATGCGAGAATCGAGGCCTGACAAGGTTGACCCACCGATATACGAACTCAGGCCTCCCGAGTGGCTGCCGAAAGTTTCTACCAGTGCTGATCTAGGGTACATTGGGTTTCATCCACCCCATCCGGGACAGCCAGAGGATGTTCTGTCGCAGTCAAATATCCAGAATGGTTTCAGTGTTGGGCATACCGTCTCAGTGAGTGAAAACAATGCTTAGCGGAGTACGGCGCTCTAATGGAACAGATCAGGCGGAGACGTTCACGTCTGTGGAAGCGGTCAATCAGCACCTGAAGGGAGAGGTCCTGACGGAGCTGGATGATTTCATGAATCAGGTCTTCGCCAGACGTGCTGAGAGCGTACCAGCTATTCCGTGAGTGCAGCGTTGTCCATATATCGCTAAATCTGGCTGAGCAACCGCAGCCCCTCCTCCTTCCGATTACCTTCTCGCGTCACGCTTAATGATGCCAAACGTCACGCATGGTTCGAGGATCTCGCCAACCCGGATGTCCCTCTTCAGAAGCTGGGTAAGAGTGTGCCACACGGCGCCAAAGGCGGCGATCTCCTCGACCTTCTCCAGGCCAAGAACGTTGCAATCCCCCGAGCGGTTTGGTTCCTACGCGTCTTCGGTGCAAATGAGACGGTACGTGTCTACACGGCGGCGTGTTCGCACCAGCCATTAATCAGAACTAGGCAGGCCTTAGGAACAAGCCATCGTATAATCCCACCCAATACAGCGTCGAGTGGGCGAACGTCGTCACCGCGCATCTGAAGAAGCAGCTGTCGGAAATCGCTCTACCCGTAGCTGTCCGAGCTGGTATGAATGTCAAGCAGACCTTCAAAGGTGTGCTATCGGATCCCGCATCTCGCGAACGCTGGATGTCCCGCTTTTCCTACTGGTGGGTCACATCTATTCCATCGAAACTCTCACTCATTCGTTCGGTAGCCTCGATTTGCTGCGAACATTCTATGCCGAAGGTCTGGTTGATAATCGCACATTTCTATCGTGGTTGGTGCAGCAAATGGCTAGCTGCAACCTTGCCCAGGCAGGCTTCGTCGCCCGACTGGCGGACGAATATCTGGATGGGATGCTTGTCAGTCGAGCTTTGACGCGACCTTTCGTCGACGCATGTCTGAACAAGCTCGCCGAGGTGAGGTGAAATAACCCTACTACTAAGGGCGCTCGTGCCGATCCCGCTTTACTAGATCAAGAACACTGCTGTGCAAGATGCCCTACCGAACCTCGAGTCATCTCTGACGAGCATTTTACAGGTACGGTAGACGTTCCCACTGGTAATTTGTCTGATATTGGACGCCTAGTAGCGAGTATGTTTGGGTCTTCCTGACGCATTTGTGAGCCCACGCACATGGGCCACTCATGCGGACCTCATATCTGCCGTCCTCCGTCACAAAATCGGTTCTCTCACTTCTCAGGCAGTGCAGCAAGATCTCGAGGACAACATTACCGACATCACACGCCGTAACGAGGCACTACTCCTCCGCAGTCTGCCACCTCGTGCACTCGCGGACCTCAGCTCGGCGGTGCGCGACGTTCAGCTCCTCAACTCCCTCTCCACGATCGACGCGCTTGACCGCGCACCCTTCTTCGACGCACACAGCGAGGACGTGGCATTCTTCTCTCGTAAGCTTGACCTGCTTCTTTCGTGGTGCGTCACGCCTCTGCAGTACGGGGACCATAGGACGTACGCAGCGATGTCCCTGTTATCGCACTGGCGCAACCAAGCACAAGAGTGTGCGTGGCGGAGAAATGTTCCTCCGAATGCGGGACCGGCGCAAGTGCTCCAGGACTTGCTGTTCGATTGGCTGGATGACTCGGAGGTTGCAGGAGACCCGGAGAACTTGCGCGCGATTGCTTGGTTGTATGGCGGCTTGGCAAAGCACGATTTGTTCTCTTATGCGGAGTACTTGCAAAGACTTGTTTCGCGTGGGGAGCAGGGTTTGTCTGATCCTGAAGTACGCCCCGTTTAACTTTGACTACTGTTCTGCGAATTTTAACTCGCTGTTGTGATGCAGAAGCCGTCTAGGCATCGCAGGTTTCTGAGGTGGATACCACTGCAGAAGAGTACTCCTGCGCTCGTGAACCAAAGGAAAGTGATCTTATACGGGGTACGTGCCCGAGAGACCCCGGAGGATGCTGTCGAGAAGCAGCTGCGGAAGGAAGTCCGGGCGTTGCTCCCGGAATTGTTTGACGGGATGATCCAAAGCAACCCTGTTTCGCTTTCGTCCATCGCAGCGATTTGTCCTTTGTTGATTAATGCATGCCGGTTCGAGCAGATCAGGACGGTGGGGCAGTGGTTCCTTCCTGTCTTAAGGAAGTACATAATGCGGTGAGTCGTCCTTCTCAGCGTATTATCTGGTATTGACAAGTGCTGTAGCCACTCTGGCGATCAGACGGATTCCTTCGCGATAGCGAGTGTGTACTGTACAACGATAACACTGTTGGAGCTCGTGAAATGCTACGAGTCTATTCTGGAGGTCAGTGTGTCGTATGCTTCGCCTATGCGTGACGTTAACACTAGATCAGATGAGCCTCCTGGCCCTACAGCACGTTACGACGAGTGAGATGCTCACTGCAGTGCTAGAGACCTTGCGCCGTCACTTGAAAGTGTGGATTTGCATGGACGCCACAGGATCGATAACCTCTGCTCTGTACGAGGCTCATCAATACTGGCGACACCAGGGAATACAAACACGAGCGTTACTAGATCTGCTAACTGAAATGGACGCTGGGAGGCATCTTGATCAAGCCTCGAGAGATCAACTTGAAGCGGACGTAGCGAGTCTTGCTACTGCTCTTTGCCCGCACAGCGACCATCGGGATAGCGTACCCGCTGTACTGCCTGAGATACTTTTGCTTGCCCAAGATCTCACGCAGGATGCTCCGTCACGGCTTGCCAACAGTCTATGGTATAAATACAGAACGGCACCCGACTGGGCCTGGAAGGTCTGGGACAATACTGTGGCGAGCCTGCGCCAGATCCCGATGATGAGCTCTGATCCCAGTAGCCGACACATTTGCGCTCTGCGGTATGGGTCTTTCCTGCTTCATGTCGATCAACATCTGCCCCGGGGATTCGACGAGCAAGTTTTAGAGTGGTGCCTTGGATCAGGGAAGAACGAAGTTGCTGCGTTAACCTCGGACTCCTGGCCTATAGTGACCATCGTGTTGTTGTTCTTGGCGGTTCAGGGTGCTCTCACGATTACTACCATTTTGCAAGGCTTCGTCTATCCCGCGTGGCAATCGGGTGCGAATTGTGGATCCCCCGAACAGGGCGTTGCGGTTCAGGTGTTCCTCTGCGCGGCCAACGACCTGTTCGAGCGCTTGCTCCTTGCTAGTGATTGCAACCTCGACGACTTCCCACCCTCCGATCTGCTTCAGCTCCAGCGCCTTTTTACCCGACGTCTTGATGTTTATGGCGAGAAACACTTCCCTCCTTTGGTAGCTATGATTCCCAACTTGGTCTTCATCGAAGAGAGCGAGTTCCACCACGACGATATCCGCAGTGCTAGTAGAATGATCAGAGAAAAGCTTTGCAGACGAAGTGACTTCAGGCAGGGCGCCTATAGGAACCTCGACACCGTCCGTGTGGCCATCGAGCGCACCCTTGAATCCGAGACTATCTCACCGCGATTACACAAACCGCTGGTGAATGCTCTACGACTCATACTGAGTGATAGCGGTTGGTAAATTCTCAACTTCATAGTGAGTCTTCTGACGCCCGTGTCCGCCGCTAGGATCAGACGAATTAGGACTGCACCAGTGGCAAGCTGTGTCCTCGCTGTTCAGCCCGTGGAAATTGGCAGCGACGGCCATCGAGATGAAGTTCGTGCTGAGAGGTATAGCGGAAGGCATGTCGAAGGATGAAACACGGCGGGAAGCGAGTGCTAATCTGGACAAGCTAACTGCTCAGCTGCTTCACCACTCCATGACCTCGGAGCAAGTCGATTTTGTGGCTGACATGGCGCGCGGTGTCGGCCACGCGGTCGCTGGAAAGGCGAGAAACCCAGGACTACATCACAGATGTCGTTTTCGCTAACATTGTGTTGTCCAGTTTGTCAACAATGGCCTCAAGTGTATTGCGGAGCTGATTGGCGGCGTCCCTCAAGACATGGAGTCGCAAAAATTGCGGGATTTTAAAACTCGGACGGGGGAGCTGCTCCGCCTACTCGTGCAAGTCCTGGATCGGTGCTCTGAAGAGCGCCACGCGGCTCCCCAGCTCGACGCGCTGATCCAGGAACAGTTGTTCAATGGCATCTGCGTTAAGCTCGAGGCAGCTGAGGTCGCCCTGAAATCTAGCACTTTTGAGGAGTCATCAGATATCCCGGGGTTCATCATTGAGCTTGCAAGACTACTACAGTTTGATATGAGGTGCGAGAATATTTGGACGCCGCCGACTAAGGAGCTTCTTCCGCGGATGACGGAGGTGGTGTTTCGTCTTGCTTTGGTATGTTTCGCCAACGCAGAAATCAGTATCTACTGACCGTGTGGACCATAGTTGCACTCAAGCGGAAACCATTTCAACGTAGTCTCGTATTCGCTGCTCCTAGATACTCTGTGTTACCTTCTCGATGGTACGTCTCACTTTCGTCTCCAGAGGACGCTAATTGAATGGTATTTTTACAGCTTACCCCGTAGATTTGCGCTCTCAGACGGTGGATCTGTTCCGTCTCTATCCCCAGATTTCTCTTTCTGATCTGCCCCCGGATATGCCGCCCCCGTTCCGTGTCAGGGTCCGCAGCCTCCTGCCCTACGTGAACCTGGCCGGACCAGTGGAGAACCTCGCGTACGCGTCCGCAGAGCCCTCTGGTTCAGGAGACGTACCTGAATCACAGCTGGTGCCCGTGCAGAACAGGCCCTGGGAATGGGTCGAGTACCTCGGCGATCCGATTACTCTGGACCCCAAAGAGGAAGAGAAAGAAAAGCAGGAGAGGGAGAGGCTAAGGGCGCGGCAGCTTGTGAAGAACACTACGTCGCTGTCCCTAGAACTATTCGGGACGCAAGTGACGTCGGACAGAGCAGTTCACGTCAACGACGCGGACTCGCGCTTGGAGGGCGATTTGAGGTCATTCCAGGATGGGCTGTGGGGCGAGAGCATATTCAAGCGCGACTGGCGGGAGAGTCGGGTGCAGCTCGTCGGTTCTGGGGCCGGACGGAGCAAGAGCGAGGAGGACGAGGACGGCACTGCTGCTGCAGGTATGACTTCGAGCTTGCACGTGAGCGAGAAGCGAAAGCAGGGATCAAGAAAGCCGTCGCCCGCGTCGTCCGTCGTGTCGCGGTCGTCTGCGCACCCGAGTCACCATTCGGGGTCGCGTTCTACGACGCCGACTCGCCGGTCTGTGGTGGGATCCTCGATGAGCGAGCCGATTGACGTGGATAGCGTCGCTGTGTCTGTCGGCGCTTCGAAAAGGGCGAGAGACCAGGACGGTGATGATGAGGTTGAGATTTTGGATACGGTGCCTTCGGGCTCGAAGGCTAAGAAGGCGAGGAAGACAACTGGGAGGAAGTCGGGGAAGAAGAAGTCTTAGGTGATGAGAGGTGGCTATCGGTGTTGCGAGTGACCACACATTGACCGTTATAAAGAACTCACTTTGTTTGCCTGCATGTCGACATAACGTTGTATATTTTCGAGCATATATTGGTGGGATCCCGCATTTAGGTTTGCATCAACTTGGCCGGGCGTACTCATCGGCGATTGGGGAGTTGCGGAATCTCCGTGAGTTCTACGCTCTTCTGATAAGGTCATGCCCTATGACTGACAAACATGAGCTCTCACCAGCATGGCGTGGAGACTATACGTGTTCATATCGTCGGAAGGCCAATACTTATGCAAGCTTGCTAACAGACTCTTCAGGGTCAGGTACGGGACTCGTGAGTGGCTTGCCGCTCTGCTCTGCTCCACTGGCAGCTTTTACCAGGCCACTCCCAGGTCATTACGACCTCACAGCTGTCATCATCCCTTGACTTTAAGTTGGCGACTCCTCAATCCTTCATGTGGCGCGATTTCATTGATATTATCTTCACATTCAAGTTGCACCTGCATTTCTATTTAAGAGAAGGATCCTTGCGGAGGCTCTGGCTTCCTATTCCGCGCCACAGCCAATGAATGGCCTGTGAACGTAGTGCCACCATAGGCCAATCATATACCATTTCTCACTGCATTATTGTCCACCAACCATCGCATATTCTGCTATCGTACAGATGCGATTATAGCGGAATTTGCGTAACCCAACTAAAGATGATGGTCGCGTTGCGTATACATGACAGCCATGTCTGGGGTAGTTAACTGATCCCGCGGAGACCGACGCGACTAGAGATGGGAGATGATGCCGTGAACACGAAGCTTCCAAACAACGTTCTGTCCGATCCTGGGTGCAAATAGCCTGTTAGGCGCTTACAGAAGAGAATGAGCTCGTGGATTCCGATTCTTGAGTGGATCCCCCATCCTGGCGTGTACATACTGCATCCCGTAGGTATCCCCGAGCTCCCCTCTTCCCCGTCCCTCTTATCTCTGCCTTTCTAAGCCTGAAGCCGGGAGGCAAGACTCGGGACAACCATGCCGGGCACCTTTCCAGCAGACGAGGTATCGTGAATGTATCTTAGATTGTGATTTGGAACGCTAACTGCACACTGCAGGCCAAACTAGTCTCGATATTCTGCCAGACATTGCTTTATGGTACGCACCAACGCTGTACTCCACCAGAACACAGGAAGTCTGAGTGGTATACTCAGGCCTCTTTTGCGTCCTGTTTTTCGCCTCCCTCTACGTGCTTCGGCAGCGCATGAAAGCCAACACCAGCAAGATGGGTAAATCATTGCTCGGGACGTTGATCACCATGTTTGTCTTGGCAACCATGGTGTGTTTCTACCTCACACGCCGCCGAGCTCTGGTAAAATAATTTAATGCACCACGTCCAGCACATCGGTGTGAATTTCAGCCGTATAATAAAGGCGTTCATCACCATTGGGCCGGAGTTGCCTGGAGGACCCTCGGACTACTTCAACGAGCTGTCGAACTTCACGAATATATTCGGAAGTACGATATATGTGGCTCAGACACTCGTTGGAGACGCCTTTGTGGTAAGTAGCATATTGTCCCCGTTTTTTTGATCGCAACCACCTGCGTAGCCTCTGTGAACAGAGTATGACCGATGCTCTTCGTGCCACGCAGGTTTAATAGATTGATCAATTTGACTTCAGTTATCGTATGTGACTAATCGATATGTCCCGTTTGCCAGCTGTACAGATGTGCCGTGGTATGGGGACGAAACTACTGGACAATCGCCTTCCCTTCCCTCCTCCTAGTAGGCAGCACAGGTGCCCCCTCCCCCTCTCCCAGGTCTTATCCTCATACTAACTCTCTCACTTGCCAGTCTCGGGCATCGGCATCCTCTACTCCTTCGCCAAGATCTCCACCGACACCGTCATCTTCGCCGCGCAGCTCAACCAATGGATCACGGCGTTCTTCGTACTCACCCTGTCGACTAACATCATCTGCACCGCGCTCGTTGCCTTCCGCATCTGGCACATCAACAAGCTGAGCCTCCGCGTCGGCGCAGACAACCTCACGCCAGTGCTGCTCGTCGTGGTCGAGAGCGGGATGATCTACTCCGCTACGCTGATCACACTGCTGGTGACATATGAGGTCGGCAGCTGGGCGCAATACCTGATGCTGGACGCGGTCTCGCCTATTGTGGTACGTCCCAGACCTCACCCCCTCGTTATCCGCAGCCAGTAGACGAGCGCTGACCTGGAACTGTGCTGCCAGGGGATCACCTTCTCGCTCGTCATTCTGCGCCTCTCCATCGGCCTGTCCGACCCTGACGGCGTCACGCGCCCCTTCCAGGACATCCCCTCTACCTCTGCCCTCTGGGGACGCCAGGAGCGCGCTCAGCACTTCACCAGCACGCAGCCGAATATCGACTTCACGAAGAGCAACGCCACGCCCGCTGGCGAGGAGATCGACCTAGATTTCGCGACGAATACGGGTACCGAGGGGGATGTGGGGGGAAGAGGAAAGAGCAGGGGAAAGAAGATGACGTTTGGGTTGAATGGGTTTGGGGGTGCAAGGAGTGCTCGGGATCCCGCTACTGAGACGGGCATGACGGGGTACACCGCTACGAGGGATGACGGGACAGAGTATGGGGAGGTGAGGACATGCTGAATTGCTCTCCCGCTCTGCTGACGTTGACTTCAGGCTGCCGTGTAAGCCCACATACCTTCCTCCGCTGAGTGAAAGATATTCAATATCCCGATGGGAAGCACGTCTCTTGCCCCACCAGTCTTGTAGCTCCTGCTCCTCCACCTTTGTTGTATTAGTAATCGTAAACAGCAAACATCCGTACAACCTGTGTCCGTTTCTACCCTCCTAGGGGTTATTAACCACGCATAACCCCGCCTTCCATCATATCCCAGCCAAGTTGTTCATACGTCCACCCGAAGCACCCGCCCGTCTCCTTGCCTGTCGAATCGTCCCTCACCCTCGTATGGAATCCACAAACGCTCCTGTGCATACCGGGCGCTGTGTGTATCCCGTCGAGCGCAGCTATCTCCACGTCAGTGAGGTTGACCAACTAGTGATATCCGTTTTCATTACAGGAAGTATGTCCGGCTCGGCTCGGAATGGCGGGCGTACCTTCATGTTCTCCTTCATCCGGCCGACGTCTCTGCATTTCGGGACAACTACAATCCCCTTCGCGGCAGACCAGCTCAGGAGGACCTGGGCTGGCGTTACAATTTCGCATTGCTCATTCCAACTTTGCACTATTGCTTGCAATGAGGGATGTTCTACTAGCATGGGTTTGTGTTTGCCGAGAGGTGAGTAGGCGGTAAGAAGTATGCCATGTGAGGAGCAGAAGGAGAGGAGGTCGAGTTGGGGAAGGAGGGGATGGAGCTCGACCTAGGATCATGGCACCGGGTACAGAGCAAACCAAGCCAACGCAATATTAGTTTTTAGTTCCAAGCGGAACGTAAGGCTTGGGATGTCACGGACCTGATTCACAGCAGGCACCACACTGGCTTCCTTTAAGAGGACTTCGAGGGTCTTCATACTGAAGTTGGATACCCCGATGCTCTTGACTTTACCTTACAGGGTTACGTTTCGGCAGATAGTCAGACTCAATACGGTTAACCCAGACAATGATAAGGATACCAGTCGGCAATAACTTCTCCATATCTCGCCAGGTATCCACAAAGGTCGGGCGTTCATGCGGTTTGAGCGCCTCCCCTCCATCACAGGTCAGATCTGCGGATGAATCACTATTCAAGAGAATAAAACACCAACCATTCTCCTTCAGCGCCTGCGGCCAATGCATGAGAAACAGGTCGACATAGTCTAAACCTAGGTTGTCCAGGCTTTTCTGGAGGCTTTTGGCTACGCATGCGTGATGCTCTCCACTAGCATTGCGTCCAGCGCGGAGCTTTTATTGTGGGAAAGGGTGCTCACTAACGTCAGTTTGGTGGTGACGAAGATATGTTCTCTGGGGATGCCGGCCTCTCGCAGGGCAATGCCTACCGCTCTTTCATTCCCTTCGAAGGTTCAAGAGAACCGTTCAAACATAAAGCATGAAGGACTTGAGGGGCTCGGTTCCTTACCGTAGTTGAAAGCCTAGTCATGTGTATGCCTTGAACCCAGAATGCGATCCATCCAGGAGGACTTACCGTATCAATATGCCGATAGCCAACCTGGGCGTCGTAATATGATCGCATTGAAATGGTAGAGATTGATGAACGGGAAGGCGTATAACTGACTTTCAGCGCGTTCAGCACCATATTCGTGACCTCCTGGTCCTCGCCTTGGCCGACATATCCCATCCAACATCTGCGGCATGCAACTGCCAGTTACCGGGTGCTCTAACTCGAGAACTGAGGATGTCCACGTACCCGATACCTAGTCCCGGGATATCCAGACCATTGTTCAGACGGAATGACGGGAACGACATCCTACGAGGGCCCCAATGGCTATTGGTATTGCAAAGTAAAATATGACAAGTCTGAGTGGCGAGAATGTAACTCTATGGTGAGAGACGTGTGAATGTTCTCAGTCTTCTTTCATCCCTTCGGGCCGATGGCCGCCCAAAACAAACCTCAATACTCGATTGCATTATCCACTCACTGTATACATGGGATCCGAGGCTGAAGGGGGCGGGAAGTGACGGCGCGTAATCAATATCGTTCCTCATGCCCATATAGCCCAATAGTCAGATGCACAAAGCCTGCCACGACAAGGACTGCACCAGCCAAGGTCGATATGAAGGTCCTGTTTTCTCTACGACAATACGCTCAATCCCTACATACGTGAGTGAAGGTATCATGACCCGAGCGTGGACTGCGTACTTGCGGACAATTTTCCTTCAACCACCGGGCTTTAGGGGTGATGAGCTCAGGATCACCCGTCGAAGCGAGCTGCTTGGACGCGAGAATACACGACTCCAGCCGGAACCTCGTGCTGAACTTCGTGTGAATCTTTCTCTACTCGTCTTTCGTTGGTAAGGAGCAATGAGGCACTAGGAAGTACACCTGGAACTTACACTCAGGGCACCGAGCGGGGCAGGGGATGGCTTGCCTGATACAGCCCGAGTAGCCGGGAGGGCCTCGGACCATTGGGCTGTATTATAGACCGAGACATCACCAAACGTCTCTAGCCACACTTGCCACAGATATTCCGTCCAATCGAGTTCCCTTGAACCAGATATGAACCGCTCATCGCACCACAGAGGAAAGACGCGGTCCAGAGCCAGAGGCGCTAGCGGCTCGAAAGGGAACGAAGTATGATCATCAGAGCCAACCAGGACGGACGGAGAAGAGAAGTCAGAGAGCAGTGCAGCAGAGGTGGGTGATGTGAAGTTCGGCCGATTGGATATGTCGTCTGGAAAGAGAACCACGGATTGTGTCGGCGCATACAGTCGGGCGAGATTGAGGTAGGCGTTCGGGGAGGCTTCCGTCTTACCATTCATAACGAGGAAGTGGAGAAAGAAAGCATTAGGCAGGCCTTTAGCGTTGGAGGCGGACAGGTTCGAAATGAAAGCACCGACAGCAGGAGAGGAGGGGAGTTCCCGGGTCACCAGCAAGATCGACATCGGTCCTATAGATATCATTACGAGAATCCTCGTCGAGTAACGGCTAAACAATACATACCAGACCATGCAGCACTGAAGGAATGAATGATGTGTAAGTCCATGTTATGGGTCCAGACGCAAGCGGCAGGATGACCCGGAGCAGAATCGCTTCTAACCACGTTAGGATAAAACGCGACGCTTTGCCAGTATACATTTGAGAGCCGAGAGAAACGATATCCTAGGGAAAGCGCGTTTTGTGAAGGTGCAAGAGGATTCCGCATTGTGGCGCCAAGGTACCCAGGCGATTTATACAGAGTCGGAAAGCCAGATCCAAAACGAAGCAGCAACGCAAAAGAGAGATACAAGACACACAAGCCAGCATATGCGTAGAACATCCATTTTAGCAAGTCCAAAGCCCTAGCACCATTGATCGTACTCGTAGAGCCTTGTTCGTGGAGGTCGCACTGCAACGCCAAAGATGCTGGAGGGAAGAGTTGGACCTTCTCCTTGACATTCTCCAGGTCAGTGTGGGATTCTCCAAGGTATGCAGGCTGAGAACAAGAGGGCCGAATCCGATGCAAAGAGTTTGCACTGGAAAGATGACTCTGCAAACTTTGCGACTGAACCTGCGACAGACGGCCGGGAGGTGATCCGTGAATCATTGAAGGAGCTTTGAGAAGCTTCCAGGAGCAGCTCTATATGCAAGTACAGTGTATCTCAGGTATTCAGTTGAGCCTCCAGAGCAAAACGTAGACAACAGAGTTGTAACTTGAACTCGTCTTGGAGAATTCGCCGCCAGCAAACGTGTCTGTGGCGTGGGAACGTCACGGTGCTCAACGCGCCGCCACAATTCGAGTATTACGAACTTGGGAAGTATTCGGCGCTGCGGCGCACGCCAGGCCCGATTCCTCACATATAAAAGTCTATGGTAAACCCACGGCAGGGACTCTACAAGCAGGGAAATAATCTTTCTTGCTCCCCGGGCGCTGCGCGGCATCAACAATGCTCATAGTTATTTCATCTTGACCTGAATGATACTGAATGATATCAACTTCTAACTCTCAAGTTAGCGGCCCGCCGGTAGTTCCTATTTGTTGGTGGCGGTAAGATTTGGATCGGTCCACCTACCATTTATGAACAGTGCTCCTATTACATTTCGAGTAATTCGGGCTGTAAGTGGTATAACCCCTATTAAGCGCTCGCTTTCTCGATCACCAGAGAGCCCTATACAACTACTGAACAGTAAACCGAATTCTAGAGGAATCGGAACGTCCCTTTCAACAGTCATTGACTCATTGGAACAATTATCTCTCGACACTATACTAGGTGCGGTTCTCAAGTCGCATTCCCGGGACGGTGCCGCACAGTATGTAAACGAATCTCAGGCTGCACTGGTCTTTGAGCCTCTTTTATGCAGACACGCGAGTATTTGCGAGTTTACCTGAACTTCTGCGTAGGCACATATGAGTGGTGGCAGCAATACAATGCGCGTCCCGCTGCGCTCACATAAACCCTCAGCCGCCGGAGTACCAACGACGCTCAAGCATCAATCTCTTAGAGGCAAGAATAGCTCACCGCGACACCCGATGATATATACAGGCGGTAGACAGTAGCCCTGAACGGCCTCGTTATGCCTCGACCTCCACCGAGCTCGCGGATGTCGACCTTACCCAAGAGATATCCAGGGAAGTCTTCGTTGCCTAACGCGAAGGATATGCAATTTAATTCTGGACGCCGAACTTCCCGTCGCTAGGACGTTGGCTAGAGTCGCAGTCGCATTGGCCACGGGCCTTCATCCCGCCGGCGAGAGAGTAGACGATGAAATAAAAGGCATGATTAAGTTCCCACTATTGTCACCACCCTATCAATCCGAGCTAACTTGACTGATCTTTGATATGAGCACAGCAGGGGTGGCGCTGCGCCTCCCTCTGCCAGCGGTTTAATAAACGACAAACAGCTGGAAGGGGATACCACGAGGGGCGCAGGCCCCCATTATTGCGTAAAGCAAGGCATTAGCAGAGCGCGCAACGTCAACCCGCTGATGCGCTCTAAATACTTGCCGTTCGACCCTGGGCCCACAGGTCATATGCATCGTCTCTTTGTGCGAGAGCGATGCAGGCGGCATGTAGGCGGGGTCCCGTCTACACCGATGCGAGACCGGTGCCTTTCCAGTCAGACTCGAGAAGGGTATAAAAACCCGCGCTCTCCCTCCTGCCCCCAACCTGTCTCTGACGGGTCAGACAGCACGAAGACAAGCCAGATGCTCTTCACATCGAAGACGCTCGCCGCGCTCGCTGCCGCCGCAGTCGCAGGCGTGCGCGCCCAAGGCGTGAGTGCCGCCCACTCTGCGCCGTGCTCACCTTAGAATACCCGCCCGCGCCCCTTGACCAGGCGTACTACTGCACCGACATCAACTGGGGCGGCAACTGCCAGTACACGCCCGACTACGGCGTGTGCGTCACCTTCGGCGGGAGCGACTGGAACGACCAGGTCTCGAGCTTCGGGCCCGACCAGGGGCTGGAGTGCTACCTGTACACGTCAGTCTCACCCTCCTTTGCCTTCTGTTCGATGCCGATGCGAGACAAATTGCTGACTGACAAATGGATGCACAGGGATTGGGGATGCACGGGGGACGTGCTGCCGCTCGAGTATCCCGGCGCGGCGGACTTGAGGCAGTATAGCTTCAACGACGCCGTGTCGTCGTTTGCGTGCGAGTATGCGGGGCAGGGGACGACGGGGTCGTACACCAAGTACGTGACGGAGTATTAGAGCGCTTGGATCCGCGACGCTCTGTTTGCTCTGTATGTATGCATGGTTGGAGCTGAGTCGTATATGATGCATTTACGGGGGGATCGTGTGAGGACGGCAGACTGGCGCCCATCTTCGATTCCCGAATGCCAAGGTCTACGCACCAGAGTCTGGTCGACGCGCACGACACGCAGGCGACGAACAGCACCTGTGGCTCATCAAGCAAGTCACTGCTCTTCTGATTCAGACCCTTAAACAAAAATCTCACGTGCTTCGCCACTGCTTCAGTCGCGTCAGAGCACAGGCGCATCACTATATGGGACATGCACCTATCAGTGTCACGATTTTCGAAATTGGAGAGGGTTTGAAGTTAACTCACCCAGTATGTCCGAGACCATCTCTATCAGCTCTTCTCAAGTTACTACCCCATTGCATCCGACTAACAAGTAACTTGGGCGCTATAAACACGAGTCACTGAGCGCATCGAATTACCTACAGTTCAAGCTGCTCATGAGCTCGCATTCCACCTGCAGTCAACGCGCCCAATAAGTACAAGGCGGAGAACCCTAAAAATACAGCTGCCGAGTTCATGATCTACCTGGTTCCCGGGACTCGAAGTAACGAAGCTTGGTACGTAGTGCAGCACCAAGCCTGGTACAGAGTCCGCACGCTCATCGGGACCGCCAGGTTATCTATCATGAAGCCAATTACCCGCAAACACGGCGGCAGCGGGGAGTGAACAGGACATGTGTATCGAAATAACTTACGAGCGTCGCGACTGGCTGCAAGTACGGAGAGTTATTACTCGCGATCCCCGATCGCGGAGATGTTAAGTACATATTGTCGATTCGAATGCGAAGTCTTTGCAAGGACCTAGGCCGCATAACAACCTCCGAGGCGTATAAGCTGTAACCAGTCCGACATGATGGGGATACAGCGTGGAGACTAGTGCACGGCTTCTGCCAGTAGGAGACTTTCTGTAGTACTCGGCGACGAGAGATATCGGAGTTGTCCCTCTCGCGGATGGTGTTTCTCGATGCGTACGCAGATCGAGCGGTGGCTATATGATTCAAAGTCAGAGCAGCGTGAGATCAGAGATGCTCCAGTTGGACTTGACACATTCGAGCCTCCCGTCGATGCCTGGTCTGCAGGTGACGACAGTGTCGCCTGGATCGTACCGCGCGAATCGCGTGCCAGTAGGACCCCCAATAATCAGTATAAATGCCTGATCCCGAGGACCCATAAGTAGACCCATTTTGTCCGGAAGAAAATCGCCGATTTTGGACCTTTTGTCCGGAAAAAAACAGGCATCACAGCGAAAAAGTCGCTCTGAAAGGCAACTGTGGCGTGGGTACGTCTAAATTTAGCTTCCCCGGCAGGTGCCGGGGTAAATATGGCCTCGAAATGGCCAAGTCTGACCAAAATGTCCGGAAAAAAATCAGGCCTGTTCTCCAGAATCGGCCGATTTGTCTGTGAAAAATCAGCCATTGAGGGCTCTAAAGTCCCAAAATTTGTCCGGAACCTGATCAGGCATTTATACCAATTATCGGGGGTCCTGTGCCAGTCCGAGTCGTAAAAACTTGTAGGAAGAGAAACAAACGTGGGAACTTCACGGAAGCAAAATTGAAATCCAGCGGCGCGGCTCCCGCCGGGCTCGTACGGTCATACATACATACACACGGCTCAATGTATCCTATTCGATGGACAATGTTATCGGGTCAGCCGTTGTCCAGCAAGCCACGAGGAGGAGGTAACGAGATGGTCGAGACTCGAACGCACACGGGGCCTGCATTGTGTCCGAGTCTGAATCAAGGGACGTCGACGGATCCGATGTTGGAGCGGTGCTCGAGGACATAGAGAAGCGTCGCAAGTGATTCTTTCATTATAGGCTAGGACGCGGAGGATTGGGAATCCGATGCTCCGACGGTCGACGGTGCTTTTGTCAGAAGGATTGGGACCGGCGGTTCGGAGTCTTTGCGGTTCTTGAGCCCGATTGGGGTTTGACTGCGCCACGGACAGAGTCCAGGTCGGACGAAAAATGTGGGCGGTCGTGTTGCTAGGTGAGTGGACGACTACGACGATGAATTGAATGGAGGCATCGAGTGGTCTTAGCAACAGAGACATTGTTATGGCTGCAGACCAGGACGGGAGCCGATTATAGCTATATCATTGGGCGCCTGTCAAGTGACACCGATCCCGGGAGGAGGAAATTCATTTCGCAGCGACCCGAACTACCGAAAGCAGACGGTACTCGGCTCCCCAGCGCCTGCGAGCATCCGTGCCCCGCGCCCAATGCAGGCAGCGGACTTCCCCCCCGGGCAGCGACGATGATCCGCGCGCGCGTCCGTGACGGTCTTATTGCCTTTCTGCGCGGCGACCCCGCTTGTCTGTCCTGGCTGCTGCGACGCCGTCCTGGTTTGGCTGCGCCCTGCCCGTGTATGTGTGGCCGTGGACGCTTCCTTCCTTGCTGCCACCCAGGGCACCTTCCAATCGATCCTCCCCCGCCAGCCCACGCAATATAAACCCCCCAGTCAGGCCGCCGCGGTGTGCTCTTTTGTCTTTGCGCCCTCTTGCTGTGCTCCCCTGTTCTTGCACACCGTGCGATCTCGTCCAGCTCGCGTTTTTGGCAGTCTTGCACTTGTTTCCTGATCATCATCGCCACCGCCTTCGCAGTCCCGATTTGTCCACTCACTTTGACCGCACTGATCGCGCCCTGCCTTGTTCCATATACCCCCCGCTCGTCTCTCGTTTCCTGCGGTTTACACCGCTTCACCTAGTCTTATACTAATACTCGTCCAAAGCGAAAGCAATGGACAAATTTCCCGCCCCCCGCGGCTCTGAAAAAGTGCGTCCAGTCTCCCCTCAGCGCACAGCTATTCACAGCTTCCATCCTGTCTTTGCAGCCACCCGCCCAGGGCCAGCGATCCCTGCACACGAAACAGTCCCTCCCAAACCTATGGTGCGTATCCCCCTCCACCACGCGTGCCCATATGCAACATTCAACCGTGTAAACAGGCTCCCGCCGCGCTACGGCCCCATCCCCGCGCACCTCTCCCGCGCGCAGCAGACCCCGCCCCAGCCCATCTCCCCCAACCCGCCTCCCCAGCCGCGCACCCTCGCGCCCCCGCGCCAGGCAGCCAAGCCCCTCAGCGACTCCGAGGCGGAGGACAAAGACAAGGGCAAGGGCCGCGAGAAGCCAAGGACGCCGCTGCTCACGCCCCCGCTGACGCCGTCGAGCTCCGTCGTGGGCCGCCGCGCCGGGGGCAGTATGCGGAGCGACGGGAGCGGGAGCGTGGAGGAGGTCACCCAGGGGGTGGAGGGGTTGGCGGTTGAGGAGGAGCGCAGTCGGTTTTTGTTGGTGAGTGGATTGTTCGACCTACCGAAGAAGACGCGGGGTGACAGGGACTGGGGACGTTCGTTTTACTGTTGCGGTGGCCGGTAGATATCGAGCGTGCCCGCGCGCCTGTCCCCGGATATCCTCCAGACGCTCTTCGCGCCCTATAGCGGGGAGGTCAAGGGTATGTACGTGCGCCTGCAGGAGAGCCACGGCGTGGTGGTCCTCGCGTTCTGGGACGAGGGCGAGGCGGCGCGCGTCCGGCGGGAGGTGGACGGCGCGGGGATCGTGGGGGAGGCGGAGAGCGGGCAGGTGAGGCTCGCGAAGGGCGGGGAGCGCGAGAGGATCGGGGCGAAGTTTGTTAGTGCTGAGGAGCTGAGGGTGGTGCGTCTTCTCGCTCTCCGTTGTGGATTTTCGTGCACATAATATGTAACCTGACTTTCAATTGGACTATATGCTCGTCCATTGTAGTTGATCGGGCACTCGATGTTCATTGATGAGGTCGAGACGCTCGGGGAGGTATGTGTAGGACTTACCGGTGCGGCCCTCAGGGAGGGGGAGGTGGGCGCTCTGCGTGCGCTGTTTGAGGGAATCGGGAGGGTGAGGGGGTGGGAGGTCTGCGGGGAGGTGAGCCGCTCTAGTCTGGATCTTCGTTCCACGTTCGCCTCTCGGGACATTATCTCATCTTATATATGGTCTGAATAAATTACTGACACGTCGCTCGTTTATGTAGATTGTTAGGGTGGAGTATTCCGATATCCGCGACGCCGCTTCTGCGCTCGAGTTGGACGGCCGGACGATGTTCGGCGCGACGCTCAGGGTGTTCAGGAGGGAGCGGGATGGGGAGCGGGGGGATGACGGCACGCCGGTCCCTTCTGCCATCATGCAGCGCCGTGGATCCAAGGACGCAGGTTTCCCTCCCGGTATTATGGACCGACGGGGATCGAGGGACGCTGGGCTCTTTCCGAACATGGAGCGCCGGGGCTCGAGGGACGCGGGACTCTCACCGAATATGGAGCGCCGAGGATCCAGAGACGCAGGGCTCATGCCGAACTTGGAGCGCAGAGGATCCAGGGATGTTCCTCCCAGCCCGAACATGCGGGACACCAACAACAACCTCAGCGCGAGCCCGTCCGTGCGCGCGGTCCGCTTTGGCGGGGAGGACGAGGACGTCGGCCCTATCGGGCATGCGATCCTGAAGAGCCCCGCGGGCGGCGGGCGCGCGCGCAGCGTCAGCGCGGATCGGCGGAAGGAGGCGGCGGTGAGCGTGGACGGGTTTGGGAGGCGCGGGAGCAATTATCATCTGTATGATGCGGTGGGGAAGGTGGGCAATGGGGTGGAGCAGGGGGACAGGAGGGGGAGCGTGCAGGAGGAGCGGGTGGGCGCGGAGGAGTATCCCAGCGCCGGGCCGGTGTACGACTTTGGACGGGCGGCGCAGGCGCAGTATGGCGGGGAGCCGCTGTACGAGTCGGCGGCGTCTGCGGGGTACGCGGCCGCGGCGGCGTATGGGCAGGCGCAGGGGGAGGGGTGGGAGGGCTACCACACGGGCGTCGCGATGCCCGAGCAGCAACACCAGGCAACGTGGAACGACGCGGGGTATTATTACGCGACGCCGGTGCAGCGCAAGCTCGTCAGCCCGCAGCCGCACGCGTTCGGGGGGTACCACATTGCGCCCCACGCGCTGCACCCCCACCAGCAGGAGCTCGAGCTGCTGAAGCAGCAGCAGGAGTACCTGGAGTATATGAGCGCGTATGGGATGGGGTACGCGATGCACGGGCACGCGGACGGGATGGCGGGCGCGGGGGTCGGGGGCGGCGTAAACGCGGGATACCTGGGGTACGAGCACCAGGTGTCGCCCGTGGCGCTGTCGCCGACGTACCTCACGCCCGTGTCGCCGTACGCGGCCGCGGGCCCGGCGAGGGAGGTGCGCCCGGAGCACAATCAGGTGAATTTGGCGCGGATTGAGGACGGGATGGATACGCGGACGACGGTGATGATCAAGAATATCCCGAATAAGATGAGTGATCGGGATTTGCTGGAGTTTATCGGGAGGGTTACGCCGCGGAGGATTGATTTTCTGTATTTGAGGATGGATTTCCAGAATGGTGCGTGCGCTGGTCTTTCGTGTGAGGAGGGGGGAGGGGCTGATGCGGTGGGGACAGGGTGTAATGTTGGGTATGCGTTTGTCAATTTTATTACGGTGCAGGATTTGTTGCTGTTTGCGAAGGCGAAGTTGGGTGTGAAGTGGTGAGTGGCCTTCTGGGCTTGAAGCACGGATGGATGCTAACGGGTGCGGTGTCTTAGGAATATGTATTCGAGTGAGAAGGTGCTGCAGATGAGCTACGCGAACTACCAGTACGCATCCTTGTGATCTACGCCACCTGCAGAGCTGATGGATGGTCGCAGGGGCAAGGAAGCGCTCGTGGAGAAGTTCAAGAACTCGTGCATCATGGACGAGCGCGAGGAGTGGCGGCCGAAGATATTCTACTCGGACGGGCCGAACCAGGGGCTGCCGGAGCCGTTCCCGAAGCCGACGCATCTGCGGAGGAAGGAGCGGAGCTCGCATAATCGCGGGGCGCTGTATGTGCCCGGGCTGCATCACCACCACCACCAGGAGGAGGGGCGGGGGGTACGGCTGGAGGATCGGAGGAGGGCGGAGGGGAGTTATCAGCCGCCGTTCAAGAGGGGGCGGGCGCCGCATATGTGATTCAGAGGTAGGGGGTGACTGCGTTTTCCTCCGGATATGGTGATTCATGTGGTTTTAGGACGCTCGCCGCCCGTCAAGTCGCTCACTACTGACTCGAGACCTGTACTGACGCTCTTTGCACTCACTCGCTTGACACTCGACAAGATTCGGACGTTCCTGTTCCTGCATACGGACTCGTGATAGATCTCGCCGCATCTCTTGTCGGACGTTGCTGCATATACGCGCTTTAGTTTGTTGTCCCATGCTCCGATGTCCGCGTCGCGCTTTAGCTGTTACTTTGCAAAGTATGATACCATTTACTAAGACTTGTTCTGTGCTAATGAATAGCTCGGTGTACGTTCTGTTCTGTCGTTTAGCTGTGTATCGTTGCGTTTCGTTGCTGTGTTGTTTCGTTTCGTGTTTGTTTTTCCCCCCATTTGCTGCTGTTCAGTATATGTTATGTGTTCTGCTTCAGTGTAATGTATGTGGGCGCATATAGATTATGAAGTCGTTCTGAAGAGTGCGCGAGCCCCGCCCGGCGGCTGTCCGGCGTGTTGGCTAGAAAGAGTAGGAGGTTATCTGTATATGGTACTCGTATTCCCTTTCTTGGTTGAGCTTTGCCGGCACGGGCCGGGGAAGCCACATGGCTGCCACGCGGATGTCCTGTCTACCGCGACGTGTTCCAAGTGCGTGCAAAGTGAACGCAGTCCTTCCACAGCTCGTGCTTGTTCGTTCTCTCAACTCTCCCTATCACGGCTTTGACGTTTGGAGGCCTGGCATAAGGGGCTACGAACTATCTTACATCCGCTATGAACTCGCTATACACTCTGGGCGTACGGCAGACGAATTCTATCCAGGCCGACCTCGAAAGGCTACGGAATGGGGACTCGTCTGCGTCGTTATTAGGTGCGTAACAGCTCTTTGGTGCTTCTGCTCGGGATATGTATTGTCTGTCGCGTCTCGTCTCACTGATCGACCCGCCAGGGCAGATATCGGCGTCGCTGGCTGCTATGAGCCGGACGATCGAGGACTACGACTCGATGGCGCGTAGGGAGATTATCAAGGCGAAGCAGGAGAAGGCCCAGATGTAAGTGTTGTGTTGTATGGTGTGGTGTGAGGGCTGATGGCGGGGCAGGCGGGTGCAGAAGTTCCGGAGCGATTATGCGGAGTTGAGGACGCAGTTTGAGCAGTTGAAGACGCAGGCGGAGTCATCAGTACGTGTCTTGATCTGGATGACTTCCTGTAGCGTTGAATGAATTCAACTCTGCATCCAGAAACGCAACGACCTCTTCGGATCCTCAGCCGGCCCCCTCTCCCCCAGCGCCTCCGACACACGACGGCGCTTTGCGCCCACCATCCCCCCACCCGACTCTGACTCCTCTTCCTCTCCCTTCCGCGCATCCACGCCCCTGGTAAACTCTACGCTTCGGGAAGACCACGCGCTCCGCGAACACACGTTCATCCAGAACACGGAGGCGCGGCTGGACGAGTTCCTCGCGCAGGGCCGCGAGGTGCTCGACAACCTCGTCGACCAGCGCAACGTGCTCAAGGGCACACAGCGCCGGCTGCTAGATGCGGCGAACACTCTCGGAATGAGTAGGGATGTCATCGGCTGGATTGAGCGGCGCAGGTGCGTGCCGTTCGCCGCTGTTCAGGTTCTTTTATCGGTGAAGTGGAGAATGTGACTGATTGGCTCATTGGTTTGCAGTACGCAGGATATGTACATATTCTTCGCGGGTGCGATATTCACGTTCTTTTGTTTCTATCTCATTTGGCGGTATTTGGGGTGAGGAGACGGGTATACCCATTCACTCTGTTGCTGGACATTGGTATCTGTACAGATGCTTTTAGTCGTATTTTATTGTCTGTATGTTTCTGGATATATTCTCCTATCACCAAGGGTCCCGCCGGACCTGATGGGTGTCTGTGACTTACGCGAGGGCTCTGAAAACATGGTTGGAGCACTCATAGTCCGGGAGATAAGGGACAACCGTCATCCTCGTGAGTTCTGTATAGTATCTCTGGTATTCTTTCTTCATTAACACTATCTGTCGCCGTATCCGCTGCGCATTAGGCTCCGCCCCCGTATTATTCTCGTGCAGGAGACGCAAATCACGGTTTGATATATGAGTGCCGTACTGAGGGTAGCCCGTGAGCGGAACGTTACAGGGATACTTCTTGCGCGGATGGCGTACCGTCGTCTCCGGGGCTTCGGATACTCTGGTGTACATGCTCCTCGAAGAGGACGCCCTTGTCAGCTGCGCGTGACGCCAGTGTCAGCGTTCAGCGCGAGGGATCAGGGCGGGAACTGCAGTTTGCTTACCTCGGGGTTGTACGGGTGCAGGTACCGCTACGGCTGACATAACTGACACCACGAGCGTGAAGAGCGCAAAGATGGTTCGCATAGTTGGGAGTTAGGAGGTATATTTTTCCTGGCTCGCAGACGGGACGAGAGGGCTCAGGTAGGCAGGTAAGGCGGGGTTCTACCTTTATACTGTGGCTGACAAGCTGAACTATATTTAGTTCTTGTTCATCGCAGGCCGGTGTGATGCTTGCGCCCGTCAGTAGGATAGGATTGCCGCTCAAGCACGGGTCTGGCAAGTGTTTTGACGCTAATGTCATTCGCGACGTCTTCGGTCGAGTATTTGGTATTAGGGCGTGAGTGAGTTGGATCCAATCCTCTATCAGCTGTCCGACCTTCAACGCGAGCATTGTTGGCCAGTCTTTGCTTAAGAGTGCTCATTGAGACCCGTATTTTTAGCCGCATATCAATTCTGCAGGGAGGCGTTGACGGCAAGTCAACTATACTCGTAGCAGTGGGTCATAAGCAGACAGGTGGCAGATTTGATGTCTAACAAAAGATGGATGGATCTGTTCGGCGCGCTCAATAAACCAGGTACGCGGCGCTTAGAGTTCGGAGCAGAATGGGCTCGGACAGGACGGCCCAATTTGGACGCGAAGAAAGGGGATAGTGGCTGGGAGATAATTACAGTTCAAGGTGGGTGAGCAATTATAAAATCGGTGTTGGATGCTCGTCCCGATGACCGAGGTGGCAACTTGTCATTATCGTCGTTGTTTTCCGAAGTGATCGTTACACCTCACACGCTGCTGGGCTTCTTCGAAGGTCGCACATATACAACGCGATATCACGCGACCGAGCGGCTGGAGCCTGTGAAAATGGTGGTAGTGAACATGTCCATCTTTCTTACAGACGATCGACAGCTAGGTATGCTCTGTCCGGGTCATGAACGTCCGCGACTCACAAAGTCAACTATAGAGCCTGGACTTCCTCGTCAACCAACAGATTAGGGAATCCCAGTCGGATCTCGCCTACACGGAGCCTCACAGCTGTCTACCGAGCTTATTCAGATCCCATATCTTGATGAACATGCGCTTCGAATAGTCCGCCTGTCCGCTCGCGAGCTACATGCACGACGAAGTCAAGGGAGGCATCATCAAGAAGTACGGCTAATGCACGCACTAACGAGTTTCTCTGGACCTAGTTCTTGGTGGACATGGTCCTCCCAGAGAGGTCCTACTTTCTGTGCATTATTGCGAGCTATATGCACGCAAGAAATCAGATGCGTTTGAGCAAGGACTTGTCGGAGTGCTCTGTGCTATCCAAGCAACCATCCTAAGAGTCACGTTCCAGGTCGTTTCCGTTAACACAACCTCACAGTTTGTAAGCCCAGCAGCTCCTGAGACTTTAGTGTTACTAACCATGGACCTACGATCTAGCCTGAACATACTCTGTGACCAGTATTTGCTGGCCCGGGTGAACTGTGTGAACTTAGAGCTAACGAGGTAACCTCAGGACTTCCGCCTTTACCCCTAATAGGGTCTGCCACACTAGATCGTGCTAGGATATGGGTGCACTCTGACACATACAGTATGTACCATAGGGTGCTCCCGCACTGCGCCGTCGATGGGCGAGATTTAGGCGTCTCTGAGCACCTCGTAGCCGATTGCTGTGGAGCCCCGGTCGCGACAACGTTAATACGGTGTGTCTATAGGCATTTGGCGAGGTATGACTGCAGCGTGCTCGTCCACGAACCCCTGACAGATGACGATGGACAACGAAGTCCTCCGGCGTCTCTCAGCGTATGAATACTGAGTTACGGCAACCCTCAAGGCAGATACGAACTCAGCGGCCGGTGCTAAACATTGTCTTACCCAAAACTGTGTCTGAGATTATATCTCAGCACAACAGATACATACTGAATAATTTGATCATAGTCGGAAGTCCCAGGAGCTGGCGAACTTGCGAATACTGATGTCATGCCAACGCAAACGACGCAGAACGCTGTTCTTTGACTTCCGCCCTCATAGATGGGACCAGAGCTGGAAATGACATCACCGTGGAAGCCAATAGCATCCTCGTGGACTTCCAATATATAACCCGCTGTGTGGCTTAAACGCACGCCACATCACGGAGACAGCAGGTGCATATCCTTCCGGTAAGCGCACGTTAATGAGACCAAATGCGTATACGAACTGATGCTTGACTCACGGAGCTCAATCCAGACCTACTTCTTGGTGGACATGTGCCTCAAATAGTTTGCCACCTGTTCGAGCCGTGCGCCCACAAGAGTCAGGCATGACGAAAGGAGAGGTATGATGCGCTTACGACCGGGCTTCTCTGATGCAGCTGGTTGGGTAGCGAGCACCGAGGATACGAAGGCGAGAAAGATCAAAAATAGCAGTGTACTGCGCATCTTGATTGCCTTGACCTGAGACTCGGACTTGGGGGATAAGTGATTGACAGATCTCTTACCTTGCTTCAGCTATAAGAAGCTGGCGGAGGTCTTGAGCTGTCATGTGAATGGCAAGTTATACAGTGCGGCAGCACCGCATCGCACCCGCGGCCTTGGTGATGAGATGATGGCGCTCGTGCGCCGTGGTGATGCCGTGCTGTCCCAACTGTTGATTATATTACTGTACGTATCGGTATGTGCTACCCTGTCTGCTTTGTTAACACGATTAGTACCAGTCACAGCACTATCAAACACACGTACGGGGTTCGGACTGCGCTGATGACTTACGCACCCTGCTGAGGCCTAAGGCTATGCCGAGTTGGCAAGCAAGGCAGAGATGCGTATTTAGAGCATCCACTTCGCAATGCACATCACAAGAATGACATTATCGAAGATAAACTGGGTCCATGGCGTCCCTGTCGGTGAACAACCATGCCCAAATGCCATATCAAATCCCAGCTGCCCTCCATCATCAATGCATCATTGTGTGGCAGATGTACCTGGTGAGACGCTCGCCTATTGAAGTTAAAGCCTCGGCGCGATCGCTAATCCCGCGGAGGGATTGAGGATATGCAGCGTTCTACCGCTCCCAAACATATCGTAAATTGGCGGCGGTGGGTTTCGCGAACTTGTTCAGAAGTATCACGGTCCCGTTGACCATCGTCTCCATCGTCTAACCTTCACATAATGACGATTACGGATCATCTTCGCAGGTCATCGCGGATCCAATGACATCCCCACTTCTATGTAGTCGGTGAGCGCGTTTCGTGGATCATGATATCTTTCATGGAACGCTTCTTTGTTGATATCCAGCGATGATATGCTTCTATGCATTTATCAATGTCTAGCTTCCGAGACTTGGCTGAGCATGGGAATGTTATGCTAGCGACTCCTGGCTGTTTCTTTTTTACGCTGGAAGGGATTCGTACCGGTACGACTGACTCTTGTCTCGCAATGTATGCTTCTCGGTTGTGTCCCCGCTCTTCATTCTTTCACTAGCATATCTACGGCCTTGCTAGGCGATATCAGCGATCTAAGCTTTCGGAACTCCTGCGTAGTCCAGCGGCTCTTTGATGATCCTTGCTGATACTTACTTCACTTGTGGCGTAAGAGCGATGCACGGGGTGAGAACGTAGGTCTATGTATTTCTCGGCCTGCGCATTTTGACAGCCTATACAGGTAAGCGCATCATGGGTGAAGGCAATATTATCACTGATGACGCACGTATAAGTTGCTATTGGGAAAATTCACCCTTGCACGTCCTAGTTATTTGGCTGATACTATCATATAACAGTTTTGCTCACATCAGCTTACCGTATCATGCGCAGCTCGAACCCCTGGCCAAATGATAATGGATTAACCGCTCGAACGAAGATTCAACGAACTGACTATGCTGCCAGAGGAGCTGTAACACCCATGATGCAGTTCATTCCCCGTCGCTTTCTCCGCTCTTAAACAGGGATCAATGCTCCCATGCCCAACTTGTTCAGAAGATAGGACCCGTAGATGGATGGATCCCCGTTGGCACCAGTATCCATATAGCCAAATACGCTACAGTCGACGGTGCAAGGCCGGCGTCCTCCACCACAGGCTTCTGTAATGATGGATCACTACCTGCGGTCTCGGAAGACTTGACTCATCATTGTTGGGCGAGTAGGTAGTGGGACAGTCACCAGAGAACATCCGAGCTACACGTCTGCTGAAAGTGTCTCCAGCTTCTGGTATAATCCAGCGGGTGAATCACGACACGTCCAGCGAGGCCGCGGTACTGGCAGCCACTTGATTACAATGCTTATCCTGGAGCAATAAACGCCGTGTAATGCGGGATAAATCAGCCTGAGTGCGATGGCCTAGGGTTGTTTCGTGCCTTTGTTTGCGCGGAGTTGATCCATGGATCATGGATCATGATACCTCTCGTCTCAACCGAGGTGAGAGCGAGCAGACCCAAATACTCTTGACGTTGATTTCCCTTTGCTTCCCGCTAAGATTTTCTGGCGGATTGCAAGAGTCGGAACCATGCACGCGACTACTGATGTTCCGGCTTCGTGCGTCTCGGATTTGCGGCTGAGCACCGTCGATCCTGGCACCATGATGAGTCGTCGTAAACGAAGGCGAGTAGATTGAAGAATCACCTATTTGACTGGTTTGCACCCAGCGGCGCTACCGCTCTACGCGTACGGGAATCTGTGCGGTTCCGCCTATGTTTGCTCCCAGCATTCTTCGTGCCTTGGGAGCTCTCGTACAAGTCACGTCTCAAGCTCAAGGATCTGCCAGGTGCAACGCAGGAGGGGTGGATCACAAGCTCGAACAACCGGCAGAGGTACGAAATGAATCTAGCCACTCGAATTCCATCGCGGTGTCTGCTCCAAAATTTGTCCAGACAGAGGCACTGTGACCGATACCGAAAGTGGTGATACCTATCAAGCAAATCGTCTGCTCTTGTTGGCCCTGCCTCCGTGCCTTATTCCAGGATCGAGCTCACGCGGTGCCTCCATGACGCGCATTAGGACGGCGCTGGATCTTTGTCCATGGATGATTCAGGATCACTTTGAGCTGGCTTTCCTCTGAGCGAAACACTTCTGAGATGAACATCATCGGAACTTACCTCGACTCCGTTGGTGCTGCACGGCGCGAAAGTACGATTGAGAGGAGGTTTTCCTGGGTTAGAATCCCGCGAAAGGGTCCCTTCCACGGGTGAATACTGTATGTCATAGTCTAAATGCACGTATCATCGTCCGGCCCACGACTTCTCCGGATCCGCGCTTTACCTCTGTATATATGCCAGTCGCATATTATTATGGTGAGATTGAAGCCTCGCAGGGGAATGAAATCCGCAGGGGAAGCCAACATGGAATCAGAACAGGGGCAGGGACAGGGAGATGCATAAGCGGAGAGGCGAATAGAATATACGACCGACGAATATTGAACATTCGATTAACGGCAACCAGCTCGAGCTCCGTGGGCGAATGCGTTATACACCGAAAGTAGCTTACAGCCCTCTGAATAAAGCACATATATCGGCAACAAGTTACCCATACACTCAGTACACCACACCGTTACCCACGCACCCTCTCATGCACTCACCCCCTCCCCCTCCTCCTCTGGCGGCGGCCAATCCACCGGGGGAGGCAAATGCTCTCTCAAATACCTATTAACGACTGTCCAGTCCCTGCACCGATGCACACTGCCCACGCCACTGCCTCCATGCCGCCACCGCCGCTCCTCGGGGAACCACGCGGGCTCGTCCTCCTCGAGCGTCGTGTCCGCGTAGCACAGGACCGCCTGGCGGAGGTAGCGCAGGCAGTGCTGGACATGCTCCGCCGCGCCCGTGCGGTTCGTGAGGAAGCCGACGCGGATGACGTCGAGGCAGTGCAGCTGGTGGGTCATGGAGATGAGGAAGGTCGTCTGGTTCTGGGGCGCGGGGAGCGGGACGAAGCCGGAGGTGGGGAAGAGCGCGCCCCATTCGGTGTCGTTCCACAGGTCGAAGTGCTCGGCGTCGGGGGTGAGGACGAGCCCGACCTCCGGGAGGTCGATGGGCAGCTGGTCGGGGTGGTCGTGCCCGATGTAGCCTGTGTGTGGGTGAGTGGTCTCGTAGGCAAGGAGGGGACGGGGAAGGAAGGAGGCGTACTGTATTTCCTCTTGGGAGGTAGGAGCTGCGAGAGCTGCGAGAGGTTGTACCACGTGAAGCCGACGTTGAGTGCGGTGACAGCGAGCAGGGTGGCGAGGACGGCGTTTGGCCACTGGTTGTAGCTTGAACCAGCCATGACCACACCTGGGGACTCAATACTCAGCGCTAGCGCTCAGTGATAAATAAACGCCAGCTGGATCGGGCTGTAGTAACTTCCGCAGAAAGGAGAGCTGTGTGTCACTGTGAGCCTCGAGACTACAAGATCGGCGTGAACTTACGGGCTGATGTCGCGCCCGCGGACGGCAGCGTCTAGTCTGTATTCAAGATTCTGGACTTGGCTGCTGTACTTGCCCTATTGCGAAGAGCAAGGAAGTGCAATGTTGCAGTTTCGGCGGCTGTGCAGTTTGTGATGATCATTTCTAGATCTCAGTGCTGCATTGCATGATGCATCATCATCGCCGTTTCCGACTTTCGGCTGACCGCAGGCAGATAAGCATGGAGATGTAAGATGGAGATTTCAAGGTACATGTAGTAGTAGCTACGCCCGGATGTGGCAAGGAGAGGGAATCAAATTGTCGAACGGGATACGAACTCGGAGGGGAGACGTAGTCCCTTTCAATGTGAATTACAACGCAATCCGAAACTCCCTGCCAATATTGGGGATAGCAAGTGATCCGTAATGCTTGTCCGTACGTATTCGTGATACAAAGCTGTCCGGTCCCATGTGTCGGCATCCGATGTCTGTTAGACATTATGATCAGAGACGCAGAGAATCAGAGAGATTTGCGGCGACAAGCAGGCCGAGGCAAATGTGCGCAGCAGTTTCTAAGTCAAACCCGCGTCGAAGCGCGTTTGTAGTGGACTACAAACTCAATTGGAACGACAGGCTGATCAGGAGCCTAGCTAGGTGGCAAAATTGGGACTTTTGCCTGGCAACATTTTGCCAACAACACTAGCCCGGTTTCTACATCATGTATCACGCTCAACCACTGCCGCGTCAAGTCGACGTCGCCGCACTACTACACCGTGAAAACGCGGTCAGTGCATATGATATTTGCCTGCGCTTTGAGGAGTTCGTTTCCACCGAACAAGACACGGAGCGCATTATTTCTGCTCGAATCTTAGGCTACCTGCTTCTTCATCCATCTTCACATGGTTCCCTCTCGGAGATCGTAAAGGAGATTCACTCCTGCAGCGAGGATTATGACGCTCTACATAATCTGGGACAGGCCTTTTTGAACTACTTCATACGTGCATGTGAGTACGTCGCGTCTTACGCAGCGACCCTGCACTCATTTACCCCCCAGTTCGCAAATATCAAGGCAGGACCCCTTTCACCTCCGACCACCTCAGCCGCCCATCCTTTGACCAGCAGCGATTATTGCCGAAGGCCTCAATCAAGGAGGCACCAAAAAATCATAGCACCGCCAAGGCACAAGTTGTGTCCCACGATCTATGAATCGGTTCGACATGCTCATGCACTCGTCTTGCAGGCACTCTTACGGGACGGCTACAGATGCGCTGTGACCGGAGCGTATGATACTCTGGCGCAGGATATGCTCAATGACGAGCTTGCGGATCCCCAAGTCTGGCTCGTCGATACGGAATGCGCTCATATCGTGCCTGAGTCCACGTATTTCAACGTTAATACTGACAACTCTCAAGAAGCTTCGAGCAAAGTATGATATCCGCACAGTACTCCCCATACAAGTTCTTCACTGACACAGCCTACTTCAGAAAGATTATGTGGCATCAGTTTTAACTGTCCTATCGCGTTTCGGCTATGACGTCGACAAATTGAACGGTCCGAAGGTTCACTCGCTCTACAACGTGATGACACTAGAACACAACGTCCACAATAGGTTTGACCGGTTGCAGCTGTGGTTGGAGGAAACGGTGAGTGCTTCGAAGCGTTGGTGAACCACCACTTCTTCTGAAAGTAGATGGAGCAGGATATGGCGAACTGTTATCGTGTCACAGCGGTGAGGTCAGGTTTTACTCCCATGATGAGGGAACGGGTGATGTTCACCACTCCTGATCCCGAGCGTCTCCCTCTCCCTTCCCCACAGCTCCTAGCATTGCACGCAGCCTGTGCGAAGGTGGCCAACCTTTCCGGCGCGGCAGATTATCTTGACAAGCTGGATCGGGAACTGGAGACGACAGACGTATTGGCGTGTGATGGAGGCGCAGCTGAAGTGTTGAATCACGCGATTGCCTCTCTCGCTGGAAGGGGTATCAACGCTGGGGCGTAATTGTCTATTCTCGCACCCTTTCTATGTTTGAAGCTGCGCCAATCCAGGGAGATGAGCCTCTTGTTGCGATTGTTATCCTTGTTGTTCTATGTCACTGAGGTGGATGCATCTGAGTATACGTGTTGTCCGCGCACCCAAGACTGCAATAAACCATGCATTCCATGTTGCATTGTACGTATTGAGCTGCGATTGCGACTGGGATGGTAGCCTCATTACGGCAAGCGCTTCAGCTAGCATCCGCGCCCGGATTCGTATATCGTGCATTACGCCCCCGAGATTGCAATGCCCCCGAATCTCTGGACTCTCATGAGCGCTGAGCGTCAATAATGTCCATCCATGATCCGACAGCCTCCGCAGCTGTCAGGATCACTGCCTTTGACAGATATCTGTAGCGCCACCAGGGAGCATAATCCCGTGTTTAGGCTCGATCTAAGCGAGATCAAACCGAGGTGCAGGCCTCCAGGTTGATTACCTGCATGCTTTCCAGCGAACCATAACATCTTCACCGCGACGACTCCTGAGGTTCATAGGTAAGCCTCACGTATAGCAATCGTAACATCCAAACCAACTAAAGCCTACTTAGCCAACTAGCCATGCCATCCTCGCACTACCTCCCGCTCACCCAAGACTCTGACGACAGCAAGGACACCTATCCCCCGCCCCCTCCCCATCCCTCCATCAGCTCCCGCCGCTCGCTCCTCACCTCGCTCCTCCTCGCCGCTATCCTGCTCGTGAACCTCCTCTGCCTCGCGGCGACGACCAAGTACGCCGGGCTCGTCTCCGCCGCCGTGCGCGCGCGGATCGATATGCGGGAGACGAGGGACCTCCCACGGCCGAACGTGTATGACGGGCTGCTTCCAGGTTGATGTTGGATTCGCACGCGCTATCTGTTTTGAAGGCACGCGGGCGATGGTACTGTAGTGCTATATGTTGCATCTCTTGCTATATGCGCCCATGGAGTCGATATCGCCTCGGATGATTGCGCGAGGAAGGTTATCTATTGACAAGCGTTAGCGTTAGCGCGAGTGCATATGAGTCGTGATCTGCATGCATAAAGTTCGAGAACCGCGGCGATTCGGTTCCCGCACTAGGGAATATCTGATTCGAAACACTACCATGATAATCCAATGCATAAAATGCAGGCAAGTCGAATGCAGTACAGCAATACGAAACGCCTGTAAGTATGGCCAGGCGGTACCGAAAGGCGGCGAAGCGGACCCGCACTTACTGACAGGCTGCAATCACGTCCATCATGGCATCACCGCCGTGTACGCACGAATCCTTCTCCCGCTCGGTCCCTGTAACACCTCCATCCATCCATCCTTCGCCCGGCGCCCTTCTGATTCTTCTGCAATGCTTCTGTTGCCATATTCACAGAATGTTTCAAAAATACGACGCCCCCTTTGTCCGACCTGCCTCTTTCTCTCTCGCCCAATTCACTCCCTCTGATCCTGTTTCTTGATTCGTGATTGAGAGCTGCATTGCTCCACTGCGCCGCACCGCCGCGCAGATAGCCACAGCAAATATTTTCGGTGCAGAGGCTATATAACCCGCCGCCCACCAGCGTTCCCTGCATCTCCATTCCAATCAGCAGCAATACCCTCCAAGACTCATCATCATGCGCGCCACCACCCTCTGCGCCGTCCTCCTCGCGCTCGTCATGTCCGTCGCCGCCGCCCCCTCTCCAGCGCAACTACAAGGTAGGCTGCATCAGCTGATATTTCCGCGCGCGGTGGATGACCACCCTGTCTTTAATCAGCGCGCGGCGAGGGCCTCCTCTTCGAAGACCACGTCCACCAGGTCGCCGGGCCGGCGTCCGACTGAGTTCACGCTCGTGGAGCCACCGCGCACGTCTTGGTACGTGTCCCCTACCCGTCAGGGACGAGAATACTCTTATGCTTACATGTGCACTAGCACCGTCCCTCCCTCCCTCCCTCCCGTTTAGATTGGATTTCAAACTCTGGACCCTACCGCCCTCTCCCCCACCTCCGAATTACCGAATGCGTTATGGTTGGATTATCGAGTAATAGAGCTTAAGAGCAGGTGTTAATATTTCTGCGCCTCATGCGAGGCGATGTAAGTTATTAGACGGACAATTCGTTCCCGCCCATTCGTCTATCCTCAAAGGCCCTGGGCCTGTTGTCTCCCTTAAGGAATACTAAATATCGTTTGTATCTATCTGCCCGTCCCACCCACACCGCGAACACGTCTAATGTATTGCATCCGAACGTTCAGTTCCGACTTCATTTCGACTGCTCAGAGGCGAATCCTGCCACATGTGATTGACTCAAGAAATACAATTCAGTCTTCAGTACCTTGGGCTGCACAATACACTTTGTTGCTCTTCCTCGAAATACACCGAAGGGAACCGCCCCCTCCCCTCACGCCTGCACACCAGCACTACTCCGGTACCCCTCGATGCTCATACAAACCGCCCAGGGCCGCACACCCTCCGTCAGGCCCGCGATCTCCTCCTCACTCGACACACCCGCGGTGCCCAGAATAACCGGCACCGTCCACTGCCCGACGGCCGCCTGCGCGTGCACCCCCCCGTCCCGCGCAAACTCAACCTGCACGAAATGGTGGTACCCCGGCGTCTGCGCCTCCGCGAGCTCGCGCGCGGGCGCCTCCGCGCGCACGGCGCGCACCACGAGGCACGGGACGTGCGCCGCCCAGTGCAGCGGCGCGCCCGCGGGCAGCTGCACCGCGTCCACCTGCGCGGCGTGCGCCGCCTCGATGAGCGCGTCGAGCGACGGGTGCGCGCCCGTGAACACGCCCACGAGCAGCGGCGCGGACGTGCTGTTGAGCAGCGCGGCGGTGCGCCGCGCGTGCGCGTGGAACCACGACTCGTTCGGCGTCTCCGTGGATATCGCCGCGGACGACGACGACGCGCTCTTCTCCACGCGCAGGCGGCGCAGCGCGAGCGCGATCTGCGCGGCGGCCTTCGGGGATACGTGCTGCGGGTGGGACTCGGAGAGGTACACGCCGATGAAGCCCGCGCCCTCCGCCGCGAGGCGCAGCGCCTCCTCCGCCGTCCGCACGCCGTCGACCTTGCCGAGGGGCGCCCGCGGCTTGAGCGTCGCCGCCTCGCGTGTGCCGGGCAGCCCGAGCAGCTCGCGGATGAACGCGCCCGCGTCCTTCGCGCGCATGAGCGACTCGCCGACGAGCACCGCGCCGACGCCCTCGGCGGTGTACCTCTCCACATCTGCTGCGCTCGAGATGCCGCTGAGCGCGCAGAGGACGACGTCCCGCCCGGCGACCATGTCCGCGAGCCGCGAGGTCGTGCCCATGTCGACGTTGAAGTCGTGCAGGTTGCGGTTGTTCACGCCGACGATCTTCGCGCCGAGCGCGAGCGCGCTGTGCATCTCCGCGGCGTTGTTCACCTCGACGAGGGGCTCCATGCCGAGGCTCACCGAGTAGGCGTAGAGGGCTTGGAGGCGCGGCACGGGGAGCATCGCGACGATCAGGAGGACGGTGTCCGCGCCGTGCAGGCGCGCCTCGGCGATCTGGTACTCGTCGAATATAAACTCCTTGCGCAGGATGGCCGGGCGGTTGGGCAGCGCGCCGACGGCGTCGCGCGCGAGGCGCATGTCGAGCAGCGAGCCCTTGAACCACGTCGGCTCGGTGAGCACGGAGATGACGGACGCGCCGCCCAGCGCGTAGGTGAGCGCCTGGCGCGCGGCGTTGGCGGTGAGCGCGATGTCGCCCTTGGACGGGCTCGCGCGCTTGATCTCCGCCATCAGGCCGGGCTTGGGCCCGGATTTGAGGCGGTCGACGACGGAGATGAGCGGCGGGGCGAGGTGCAGGGAGAGGAGGGTGTCGAGGTCGGAGGGGGTGGTCCCCGGCGTGGACTTGGCCTTTTCGACGTCGAGCTGGCGCTGGGCGTAGATCTTCTGTAGGATGCTGGGCACCCCGTTCGACTTGGTTTCAGTGGACATGGTGGGCTGCTGTATACAGTCCTTGGGATTAGTTGTGCTAGCTCTTGCAATATGTAGTCGATGACGCACCTATGTGGTACTCTCAAGCACAGTTTGCTCCTGTCAAACACCGTTATGTATGCCTGTCCTGTAAAGAAGAATCGCGTCATGCGTTCCAGCCGTAAATAACCAGGGCATAACAGGCGATGTAATGACGGGCTCTCACCTGGCCTAGGATTTCCCTCGACAACCAAAACTCCCAAGGGACTTCGGCGTACCTATAAACGTTTGAACCCTGAACTCACCCTGCACGACGAGCTGCTGACTTGTATCCACCAGGCTGCTGTACGGCCCGAGCACGGAAGGTGTCGCGATTGAATAGGACGAAGAGACGCATTCCGTGAGCCTGCGCCGGCGACCGATGTGGTGTGAGCTACTACGAGCGAAATATGGTAGTTTGTAGCCCAGGCTGGCTGTGATAGTGCCTTGACACCGTACTTTCGAATGCGCGAGTCTAACAGATTCGGGAGAGTTCATATGTTACTAGTATAAGCGAATGAAATACACCCGAAACGCAGCACGCCTTCTACATAACCTCCGCACCCTCCCTCCGTGATCCAGTCCAACCCACCCTAATCCAAGAAATCCCCCGCGGCCACCCTCCTCACCTCCAGCGGCACCTGCGCAGTGGCCCCGTCGCCAAACGGCGGCTCCACCACGGGCACCTGCAGCCCGTTCATCTTCCAGCGCACCGTCTTCCCGGGCTGCGACGGCAGCGCGAACGCCATGCGCGAGAGGAGCGTCGCGAGGACTTGTTCTGAGTGAAAGGTGAACGGTAGCAGAGGAGGCAACTGGGGGGAAGCACGTACTGATCTCCATCTCCGCGAACTTGAACCCGCTGCGAGAGCCGGTCAGACATGGCCCGGACCCAAACCCAAGGGCACTTACATACACGCGCGCCCCCCGCCCAGGAACGTCATCCTAAACACACCCATCAGCCTCTCTTCCCGCGCACCCCGCCAAAGAAAGACCACGCACATACTAGCGTACACCCCCGGATACCGCTCCCCGCTCTCGCTCTCCTCCTGCACGTCGCTCAGCGGCACTCTCTCTCCCTTCTCCGTGAGCCACCGTCCAGGCCTCCACTCGTCCGCGTCCGCGCCCCACACGGCCTTGTTGTGGTTTGCACAGAGGAGGGACATGATGACGTTCGTGCCCGCCGGGACGGGGATGGCGGCGAGCTCCGGGCGCGCGGGCGGCGGGTGGGCGAGCGGGAGCGTGGTGTCCTGTCGGCACCTGCATTGACGGCTCGCAGGTTAGAGGTCAGAGGTCAGTGGATGCGCGGGGAGGGGAACGTACGTGCGCGCCAGCAGCGACGTCGGCGGGTACACCCTGAGCGTCTCCCGCACCACCGCGTCCAGATAGGGCACCGCCATCAGCTCGTCGTACCCCAGCCCCACGTCCTCCCACCGCGTCCCCTCGGTGTGATTGCCAGACGCGCGCTTCGCCGCGCGGATCTCGGAGCGCAGCTTGCGCTGCACGTCCGGCCTGGACGCGAGGATGAACAGGATGCGCGAGATGGCCGTTGACGTAGTCTCGAAGCCCGCGAAGATGATCGTGCTGGAGTGCGTGTTTGGGTGAGCGACGGGCTGCGATGTGAGCGGGAAGGAGAACGCACCTCATCTGCCCCAACAGCTCCTCGTCCGACAAGCGCTCGCTCTCCTCCGAGGACATATTCGCGTTCACTGCGCACCGCTCAGCCCTCTCCACCCAAACCCGCGCGAAGGCCACTCACGCATGATGCTCATGATATCCCTCCCCCTCATCCTGTCCCCCAGGTCCTTCTCTCCCTCCTCGGCCTCCGCCCCCTTGACTTGGCCAACCCCAGCGAGCCGCGCCTTCTTCTCGCGGAAGATGCGCCGACTAGCCTCGTCCATGGCGCGCACGACGCCCCGCAGGTCCTGGAACGCCTTGAGCGGGAAGCGCTCCGCGAACGCATTGCGCAGGGCGGGAGAGGTGACGGTGCGCAGGAAGAGCGGGACGAACGGGCGGATGAAGATCAGGCGGAGGGCCGACGGTCTGTCAGGCGGTTTAGCTCGATTACAACTTGCGGGAGAGGGAGGGAGGGGGAGGGTACGCACGCGAGCTTCTGGATCGCCTCTGCGTACGCGTTCGTGCGGCGCGGGTCGAGCGCGTTGAACGAGTACCCGAGCGCCGCCTGGCAGATGTACTCGAGCGCGCCGCGCGACATCCAGGGCAGGACGTTGATCTCCCGCGGTCCTGCTCGCCGCTCACGTCAGAAGACAGGGGACGGGGACGGGTACGGGACGCAACGCACCGTCCGCGGGGACCTGCGCGAGGAGGATGGACGCGAGCGAGTCGGCGATGGGCTGGATGACGGGGAGGAGGTCGCGCATGTTCGCGAGGGAGAAGACGGGGTTGAGCATCTTGCGCTGTTTCTTGTGCTGCGCGCCGAGCGTCGAGATCAGGCCGTCGCCGAAGATCAGCTTGTTTCCCCTGGGTGCGTGAGTGTGGTCAGTAGACACCCAGCGAGGGAAAGGTTAAGACGGTGAGGTGAAAGGGCTTCCAGGGAAGTTGTAGAAGGACGGTGAGTCAGGAAAAGTGGACATACATGATGAACATATCCGTCTCCGTATAAATATGCTGCTCCTTCACGACGATGTAGTGCAGTGCGCGGGGATCGGAGACATAAAGCTGCTCTGTCTACAGCCCACATGCAAAATCAGTTTAGTTGAGCACCGCGCACTGTGAGCGTCGCGTACACCGAGCAAGGCGTGGACCTTCACGACCCCGCCGTACTTTTCCTGCAACTGGAGGTTGTAGTCCCAGCCGTCTTGAAATATCCTGCCATAGTTTCCTGAGCACGGTATCGCATTAGCGAGCGTCCAAGCGTCGTCCACCGAATGTAACGAGCGTACCCTTGAGCCAGTGGTCGCTCTCAGGCCCGGGGACGTCCGCGAGCGGCGAGCGCGGTCGGCGCAGGCGGCGGACCACAACCCAGACTACGAACGCGAGCAGGAGGGACACGGTAAGACTTGGCATCGTGCACGTCCCCTGCTGGAACGAGGTACGAAGCAGGTTGACCTGCGATTCGAATGCATCTGTTCGTGATGGTGAGGCCTGTGGTGGCGAGGAGATAGCGGTGTTCAGCACGTGGAGGATTCAGGGACCCGAGGGACTCTGGACAAACCGTTTCAGGAGCAACTATATACGAGAACCCAAACCTACGATCCAAAAGGTATTCATCGACGCTCTACGCAACGGGATCTCCAAAATTAAACAGATTATTCAATGCGCTTGTATCTAGCCTCACACAGCAGTATTCGGCTCTTTTCACATATTGATGCGGACTTTGGTTATGGAGAAGGCACGCTGCAGTTGTGATATTCCGCAATCTGGACATAGAACAGAGCGGTTGTTCTATCTCCTCCCAAGACATATCCGAGTCCGGACGGTAGGTCCTCAGAATACTCGTACACGCGCTTTCCCCCCTCCCACTCGTTTTGTTGTGCGTTTTCTCATCTTTTTCTGATTTGTTCGAGTGAGCCTTCAAGCTGGCAGCTTCACCCAAAGACACACCCCACAGAGGTCCAGGCAAGAAAACGGAACAGCGCGCCGTGCCGCCATGCCTCTCCACCTAGCGGACCAGGGACCGACGAATAAAATCAGGCAAGGGATAATCATACGGCTACTGCAGACCGGAGGGGCTGGTATAGCGTACTCAGTCCTCCGAGACCCGCCCGGACCCGCTCCCACTGGTCGGTTTGGCGGAAAGTAGCCTGTCAATGCTCCAGAGCGCCGTCGACGACAGGCCCGTCTGCCTAGCGCAGCATCACGACCACGCCGCTGACGGCCCTGGTCTCGACGTGCTGGCCGGGATGCGAGCGCAGGCGCGGACGTGCCGGGAACGCTGTGCTCGGCGCCTTGGTCGTGGAGGTGAAGTCCCGGCCGTCGTGACGTATACTCCCGACATTTCCTTTCGCAGTGGGGGCTGAGACTGGCTGGCTGGCTGGCTGGCTGGCTGGCTGGTTGCGTGCGCACCCGACATTGCGTGCGTGATAGTTACTGTTGGTGCAGGAGAGCGCAGTCGCAAGTCGACAATAGTGGACGTCTGTCCAGCATGCATGACCGCTATTCCGTGGCCCGCAGGAATAGAACGCTCGAGATGGAGAGTTCGTTCCACGACTGCGGGGCACCTTCCTAGGGGCCCTGCAGCGATCGACTCAACTGAATCTGAATTGAAAACAAGCTCGGTATTCAAGTTGTGGACGAGGGTACACGTCGACCCCGGACCTTGCGCGAGTCGTCCGCCGGCCAGTGATTTGCCTCGACCTTAGATTTACCAGCCTACGCAGCTAATGCAAGGCGGCCGCGAAGAGACGGGACGCTCGACGCCTGCTCACCTGTGAGATACTCTCCACGTCAATCCCTTCTCCGTTTGGATAGGGGAGGGGCAAGCGGGTACCTCACACACAGAGAAGCAATTATTAGCACAGCAACTCGCATCGAAGAACTCTATACAATCTATGCGTCGTCCCCGGCCATCTCGTCGCGCTCGGGGGGTTTTACAGTTTCAAGGGGAGATTTACGGCGAGCGGAGGAGAAGAGAGAGGGCTGACATCGTAGTGCGAGCTGACTTTCGACTCGAGAAAGTTAACGAACACTTACGTACTTGGTATGTTTCGAGCCCCGGAGGCCGATTTCAAACCTGTGAATACAAGCATCGACGGAGGTACTATAAGCCGCGTCCACAGCTGGAGGTGCTTACTGGAGTTCAAAGTGTTTATGATAGCATTGTGGAAGGCGAGACCCGAGGGACTGCTAGCAGTGGTAAGTCCGCAGCCACTGCCACAGTTCCATGTTACGCTCCGGGAATATCTGCGAACGCTTTGTGGCAGATCATTTCCATGTATCAGCTATTCCGTGTACACTGAATCCAGGATATGACACCCATGGCCATAGACGTAGGGTCTAATCGGACAGATTGCCGGTGCCATTCCGTGTCATCGTCGTCGCGAATGACATTGACGTGCATAATGAAGACAGGGCCCTGATCGATGATCGTCCGCAACTCGGAGGGTGGACCGTCAGATCTTCACCGCCGTGCCTTATCTATCACTGCTCGAAGGAAGCAGCCAGATTACGAACGACGTGAGGGACACGAACGTTCGTCCTCGTCGTGTGCAGGATGCCTGTCAATGTCACTGAGAGAGCACAAGTCATGCAGAGACATGTCGACGTTTGAGCACAAGGACACGACACTCCGGCGATTTCGTAGAATGCCGGCGGTGCTACGATCGGACACCGCCGTCGACGTCGGCTGGCGTTTGACACCCACAACGCGTGCTAGCGGAGGCTAATGCACTCTAAGCTGGCGCCTACACACACGGAATAAAAGCCCGAGCCGTTTCTACAGCGTTGCGAGTCGTCCTTGTGGAGAAACGCAGGTCCTCGCCTCGTGACGGGGCCCGAATGCCATCAGTCCGGAACCTAAACCCGGCCGCACCTCCGGACGATAAGGCCTCCGCATATTGCAATGCACATACGGTACGGTATGTGTGTATGTCGATTAACACGATTCATTCAGGAGGTGAGGGACTCTGGATCGTATTGATGCGCTGTTCAGGGTCTCACAGATGGGAATAATATCCGGGATATCTTTAGCGCAGTGCCCGCGCTGGCCGGCAGACGCCATCACGCACCACTCCACGCTGTCTGATCCTGTCCACCGGTCCGCATCTCTTCAAGCCCTGCGCCGACCTCCCTGCTCGGCGCACCCGCGACGATGCTGAGCAACGACATCGCCGCCCTCGTCGGGTTCGGCTGCGAGGCTGTCTTGTACGGTGAGCACGCTCCCATCACCGCCGACGGCGAAGGAGAGCTAAACACAGTCCATCATCGACCGCAATGTTAATCCCGTCCCATTTCCATCCACTCGACTCCGCCGATCACGATGCCAACAACGCAGGCGCGTACTGCATCCTCTTCCTCGCCGCCTCGCACATCCTCCTCCGGCGCAAGCGCGGCCACCGCCTGCGCGACCCGCTCGTCTGGGCCAACACCGCGCTCTTCCTCACCTGCTCCGCCCACTTTGCCCTCGAGTTCAACCACTTCCACACCACGCTCGCCGCCACCGGCGTCCCCGGCTACGCCAACGAGACCAAGCCGCTCTTCGCCGCCGACCTCTTCATCTCGCTCGCCGACTTGCTGGGAGATTTCGTCCTCATCTACCGATGCTACCTCGTCTGGGGCCGCGCGTGGTGGGTGACGGTGCTGCCCACGCTGACCGCCGTTGCCGGGTTCGGTGCGTCGTACCCCTCCCCTCGTCGCGGATGCCCGCCCTGACCTCCCCAAAGCATGCATCATGGAGCTCCTCCACCTCCTCCTCTCGATCAACCCCTCCTCGCCCACCGCCCCGCCGCAGATCGTCCCGCTCGGCATCGCCGGCTACGTCCTCCCGCTCTCCACCAACGTCTTCGTCACCGCCCTCATCGCCGCGCGCATCTTCTGGATCGCGCGCGCGAGCCGCGAGTACTCCGACCTCACCTCGTCCGCGCAGACCGTGCACCGCGCGATCAACGTCGTCGTCGAGAGCGGCGCGCTCTACCTCGCCGTGCAGCTCACCTTCGTCGTGCTCTTCGCGATGCAGCACCCCGCGCAGGCGATCCTCGCCGTCATCGCGGTCCAGGTCTACGTGAGTCTCTCGCCCCTCCCCCTCCCCCTCCCCCTCCCCCGCCCCCGCTGACCCGCGCGCCAGGGCATCGCCCCGACGCTCATCATCATCCGCGTCGGCCTCGGCTACGCGTCGCAGCCCTCCTCCTCGGGCGCGCACACCAACACGCTCACGCGCGTGCGCTGGAACCGCCCCTCGGTGTACCGCAGCAGCGCGAGCCCGTACGCCACGAGCGCGAGCGCGTACAGCACCACCGCCGCCGGCGACGTCGAGCTCGCCGAGACGGACACCGTCGCGAGTCTCGGGAAGAAGGCGGTCGGGGTCGCTGTTTGATGTTCCATCTGACGGCGCCAGTTTGATTTGATTAGTGTGATTCTAGTGACTAGTAGTGCTCGCGATAACTGTACCGGATCTTGTATACCTACCCCCGCCGCCCTTGCTTAGGTACTCACCTATTCCGCTCTTTTGTAGATGTTAAAGTTATTTATCACGCAGTCTATAGCAGACAATGATCTTTTTCGGAATGCACTCCACGGAGGTACGGCTCTGAAACGACGCTCGTATCTCTGGTACCAACATCTTCATAGATTCTGTATCCTCTGCGACTACACGGTCCAAATCACAAGGCATAGAGACGTTACTTATACTGCAACCCGTCAGACGCTCGCAGCAAGAGGGGGGGGGGTCGTCTCCGGCAGGACATCCTGTGCAACCCGCGAGAAACACTGTTGTGGCAGTCAATATAACTCTCAGGCGGGTCGCCCACTGCGACGTCGCCCGGACTCCGTACTGGGGTGGAGAGCGGGGGACGGGCAGCGAGGCAGACGCCCCATGCCCGCCGTAGGGGGACGAGGGTACCAATCACCGGAAGGAGGCGCAAGAAAGCAGTGGCACGCGCTTGTTAACCAGCGATCCGTATCTTGATCGCCCCTCCGCGGGTGCGAGTTTCCAGCGCTGGGATGACCTTTGATTCAGGGTTGAACGCGACTCATTCGGTATGGGAGACGCACCTTTGAGCTCCTCGGCTTCTTCACGCTGTTCATAGTCCAAGACGAGGCGCTTGAGGTGTTGCTGCTCGACTTTGTCTTGCATTTGGGCAGTGCGCGTCTGCACGGCGAGAGCACTCTCGGCCGGGACGGCGAGGGAACGCGTCTATGAAGCATGTCAGAGCAGCGCCTCCCTGTTCGCAGGCATTGTAATCACCTGAGGCTTGTTACCCCTCTTCGTCACGAGAGTGAACTTCATCACGCCATTGTCGTCGAGGTCAGACGCATCGCCCTCGCCCTCGTCACCACGCCTGCGCCTGGCACCGGGGGGAAGGATAGACGAATCCCAAAGAGCTTGCGCAGTCCTGCGATCGACCTTCTTAGACTCGGCCGACGATTCGACCAGCATCTTTGCGAGCTCTTTGGCAAACTCCGCGTCCTCGTCTTCCGTCGGCCCAACGTGCTCCTGGGATATCGAGCCGACCAAGACTGTCTCCGGTGATGGGGCACGGTCATCAACCTGCGGGAGGCAATATTAGACAGGTCGAGGTGAGGATCTTTTGCAACTCACAGGGGAATCCGGATTGCCCTGTTCTTCATCACCGTCATCCTCCTGTTGTTCTGGCCGGTCGTCCTCATCCCCGCTTTCTTCCCCACTATCATCCCCGGCACTGGTGGTCACTATACACGAGAGGTGTGAGCTGCAGATCATGCCATGGGCCCAGAGGTGTTAACATACAGCCTGCCTCCTGGAAAGCAGCACTGAACATTTCATCCACCGCTATGGCAGCCTGCTCCACGTTCCTATACAGCTTCAACTCCGGTCTAACAGCCTAAAGAGGAACATCAGTGTACCCAGCACAGCGGATATGCCGGCACGCTTACCTCGATGGAATCTGAGACCATGAACTCTACGTCCATGGGCAGAGGCTCTTTGCACAACATGTAATACTAGCGAGATTGATTAGTTCCTCCACAATCCAGGTTCCAAAGCAGCCAATCACCTGGAAGAACGTCAAGAAATTGTCCAACTTCCTCTTCTGCGACCCCCGGTCAAAGCACATCCCGCAGGTGTCCAGCAAAGTGCAGACAAGACGGATGCGGAAGAAATCGTCCGGCATGTCCAGAGGACAAGGCTGACGGGGTAAAGGTCGACCCTCGGCTACGAAGAGCGGTCAGGCAAAAAGGAGGCATGACGATACAGAGATGGACGTACGATGGCCAAAGGTAACCAGGGACCAGAATGTATCAAAGATAATGGAAGAGTTGAGCAACCTATAGATATACAGCTCCCCAAGGTACCTCATTGTCGCCACCCTCCTCTGGTTGGTGCTGTACACGTTCTGTTCGAGGCCTCTGCGAATATCTTCGAGCACCTGGTCAACAACAGCCACGCTGAACTCGGGATGATACCGCTGCAAGTCGTACGTCAACATCGCGAGCAGCCCGATATTGCTGTACTTGATCTTCCATGGCTTCGTGAAGACCTTGTGCAGCGAGCGGCGTACAGCGGCATCGTCCCAGTCTAGCTTGCGGATGAGCTTCAACACCTTGTCGATAGACTTCTTAGATAGGACGTCATAGATGAGATGCCGGATGAAGAGCTCCATGGGCGTTCGCTCCTTTTCTTGACGAGGAGCTCTCTCGGGGGGATTGCACTAAATTATGCAACGATCAGCGGGGTAGGGTCACCTGACATTGCCTGGATTACCTGATAATAAGCATTCTCGAGCATCAGCTGCTGTCGCTGGTCGAAATGCTGCAGGCTCTGCTTCCTCTTCATAAGCTCTAGCTGCAGGGCACAACACGAGCGTCTCAGTCAGGTTCCCCACCACGAGTTCCACAGAACATATGCCTCACCATCTTTGCAAACCTCTCCTTCGTCTCATCGCTCCTCAGCAGGAACCTACCACAGCCCTCCAGCAACATGGCTATATTGTCCACATTCGTGCCCGAGAAGTCGTCCAGGCACACTTTGAATATATGCAGAATCAAATGCGTCGGGACGACGCGGAACTTGGTGAGGTTGGATATGAAGGTAATGTTCTTCGCATCGGCAGCTGAGTAGGGTCATACTAGGTGGAAGGCGCGCGCCGTACCTTGACCCTCACGTCGTGCAACTCCTTCACAACTTTCTTCTTCCTCTGCAAATAACGGAACTCTTCGTCCAGCTGGTCACGGGCTCGTTACACTACGGACAAGTGGATAGAGGGAACCGCAGTACTCACGATCGCGACAAGTTCCGTGCCAACATCAGGCATATATCTGTTCAGAGTAGCTACAAGCCTGGAATAATGAGGTAACAGTTCCGTCCGATTCTTCGGTACCTGCGACAGGAACTACAGACAACAGTCAACGACTTAGGACAGGGTGAGACGAGACTGAACGCACGCACCTTCACAAGCCTCTTCCTCGCCGCTTTAGAATTGAGGAAGGCAAAATCAACTGCAGCTTGATCGATCAATGCACGATTGGTGCAATCCGGGAGACGAGCGAGAAGCGCAGTGAGCAGCTGGGACGGACCCTGGGCCTCCGTGCCGTCCGGGAGAGGGGTGGCTGCACCCGCCCGCGGCGATCCGGGAACCGGTGTCGGCGCACTGAACACGCACGGTCAGAACGTAATCACAGCAGTGGCAAGCAATGGGAACCACTCACTCGTCATCTCCCTCATCCTCCGCATCAATATCCCCCGCATCCTCCTGCGCTACCCCATTAACCCCCTCCCCGCTCCCCAAGCCCTCAATCTCGCGCTCCAGCCTCCTGACCTCCTCCTCCTCCCGCTCCCGCTCTCTCCTCCTTTCCTCCTCGTCCTCCCCCGCCTCCTTCTCCTCCTCGATTCCCAGCACGCTCCTTGGCACCATATCCTTCAAATCAAGAATATCCTCAAAGAACTGGCGCTCCTCCTCGTCCTCCCACTTCCCGCCCGCAGTAATCAGGCCTTCGTCGTCGTCCGCGCCGAGCCCGTTCGTGCCCGCGCCGATGAGGATCGACTCGGACTTGTGCGCGACGGTGGGTAGCTCCGGCATGGGCATGTACAAGAGCTCGGACAGGCTTGGTTCAGGGAAGACGGTCAGTGAGAGGGAGAACGGGTCGGACGAGGATAGCTTACGTCTGGCAGCTCGCGAGCAGCTTCTCGTAGCTCTTCGTCATCTTCTCGTACGCCTGCTGGCGGTCCTCGAATATCTCCCCTGAGCGGATGTACGCCTCGTGGTTCTTGCGATCCTGCTCTTGCAGCCGCTGCGCATACAAGACCCCTACCGTCACCTCCCGTCCCTCGAAAGAAAGACGCGTATATGCACACCTTGTGCTCGATCACGAGCTTCTTTGCGACGGTCTCGAAGTACATCTCGCACATCCGCTTGAAGCGGTCCCGGATGTCCTTCTCCACGAGCTCCTCGTCCTCGTCCACCGCCCCCGTCTCCATACCCGCACCAGACCCGTTCTGCGCCTGTCCGGAGAGCGTCCCGGGCTCGGATGCCGCCGAGATCTGCTTCGCGTGGGCCGCCGGCGCGACGATGCCGAGGTACGGGCGCGAGTAGGACTTAAGGAACGTCGAGAGCAGCGGGAGGGAGGAGAGCGTCGGGTCGTTGCTCAGCTGCGCCACCACACCACACCACACCATCACCCTCCACACAGCGCATACATGAGACGGGACAGACGCACCAGCTCCTTGAGCGTCTTCATCACCCACTCCGCGCCGCTGCGCCCGGGCGCGTCCCTGATGATCCCGACCAATGCAAGCTCGGCGCACACGCGCAGCACGGGGCGCTGCCGCGCGACGCGCGTGGCGTCCTCCTTCTCGCGCTGCTCGACGGGGAGGGAGGCGAGGGCGGCGCGGTTGGGCGGCGTCAGCGCCTGCGCGAGGAGCTCGATCAGCGAGGGGGTGAAGGTCTTCGGGAAGCGGCGGTGCAGGGCGGATATCACCTGCACAGAAGTGTGGATGAGTTTGCAGGGAGGGGGCTGGCAGACGGTGTGGGGACGCACCTCCACGGCACTCCAAACGTCCTTCTCCGTCTTGCACCGCGCGGTCCCCTCGACCACTGCGCCGACGATCTCCTCGACGTACTTCTCCAGCGAGAGCGCGTCGATGTCTTTCAGGATCTGCTCGCGGTTGTCCGCGCCGACGGACTGGCGGATGCGCTTGATTAGCGCGGTGTGCCGCTTCAGCGACGAGTCGAGCGCCTTCGAGGGCTCTGATTGTCGTTAACGTAGCATATAGTAAAAACAATATGAGTAAGGTGAAGTCAATAACCTGGGACGCTGCACTGCGCACCTTGCCCCGCCCGCTCCGTGTTCAACTTGCGCAGGTTCGCGCGCCTGACGCGGCGGGCGTGCTCCTCATCGGCCTTAGCAGACTGCGCTGCCTGTGTGTTCTCCATAATTTGTTCTTTTTTATTCGTCTTAGAGGATGCTGTGAGAGGAGGGAATGTGCATAGTCGCGTCGTAAGCAAAGAGTGCGGGGAGCTGTGGCGTCCTGCACGGCACCGAGCGCCGCCACAGGAATTGCCTTTTGCGGCGGAGCTGAGTCGGTGGCTTATGCTGCATGGTAACACCCTTGTATATGCTTGCATTGGACTACTTCTTTACCGAGTCCATATCGGTGTCATATCAGCCTGTCTACCAGTAGAGTTTCAGTGTACAAGAGACCCCCACCTGTGAGGTCAGTTACCCGAACGCCCCCTCACTTCTGAATGACATTCCAACGGTGAAGGGCTTTTATCTATCCCCTACAACTATCTACTGTAGGCTGATGGCTTGCCGCAGGGTACCCGGTGCGTGATACTTTGTATTGTCATGCCTCAAGAAGAAACATGCTTCCACTGATATAAAGCCAGCAGAGTGCGTGGACCCTATTCATGTGCGTCTGGTTTATTGCGCATCTTTTCCACAGAGGCCATGAGTCAGGAGGAGCCCATGGCCCAGGTTGTACTGTTTTAAACAGTTTGTAAATGGTTAACTTTATGTTTGTTTACTCCTGACCTGTCAAACATCGTAGACAGTGTACTAGTATGAACAGTATCCATTGCCAAACAGTAAGACAGAAGCTGATCTGTGGGGCTGTAATGGAAACACCAAGTCATTCAAATGGTGGGTGCTCTATACCATAGACCTTTCAGGTGCGCAGGAGAATGCTGAGAGAGCCTGCCACAATGGCTGGTATCCGTTGCGGGACTTGCCGGTCGGCCACATGGTTGATCTATTAGTTATCTGTCCACCCTCTGGAACCGGAAGCCACTTGAAAGGTCATCCGTGATGGTTCGTAGTATTTATGCATCACTCAGGCTCCGGGAGGCATCTCGGTATGCTTTTGTGAACTGGGAACATCTTGCACATAGGTATAGTTTACAAGTAATTGTAGATGTAACCAAAACGGTTGGAGCCTTACCAGGTTACATGTCGCGGTGAAACCCGCTGTAAGGACTAGAAGACAGGCTGATGAGGATGCCAAGCTCAGTAGCCTGCAGCAGAACGTCAGTCATAAACCACAATTGCGTACCTGCAGATAGACCACAAGTCAAGGTCCTGGAGAGCCGATGGGAGTCATACAAGATTTATCTCGTCTTGACGGTGTTTACTGGCAGACACCTAAGTTGACAACCATAAAAGTGATAGCCTGTAACCTCACACATGCACAGCTACCATAATTGCCGCCGGTAGTGTCCGTCTGTAGTGGCTGTGCAACCCACGATCTCGATCGAATTGTCCTTTTCTCTTCAATGAAAGAGCCACAATCGACTACGCCTGAAATCGTCACTTCTTCCAGTGTGGATAACGAGTCTTCCTTGAAGTACTCGTGGACGATTGGCGTCAAGAAGTCTGCGCTCTGATATTCCCCGAACCAATGCAGGTGGAAAAGCCGGAAACAAGCATCACATACCACCCGCTGTTTTGTTCGGAAGAAGCCAACGTCGTCCTGGGCTGCAAAGATGGCTCGATGTACTTCCGGCTGCACGCTTTCACGCTCAAGACCGCGTCGAGCTGGTTCCGCGCCATGTTCACCCTGCCCCAATGCAGCGACACCGCCACGATCACCTCGTCGCCCGCCGCCTCCGACGTCATCCGGCTCGACGAGGACGCGCCCACGCTCGAGGCCCTCTTCCGCATGATCTGCGGGCTGCCCATCCCGCCGCTCGACTCGTACGACACGATCGAGCCGCTCCTCTACGCCGCCGACAAGTACGACATGCCCGGGCCCATCTCCATCATCCGCGCGCTCGTCATGACCCCCGCGCTGCTCGCCGCCCCGCTGCGCCTCTACGCCATCGCGCGCCGCTACGCCTGGGCGCCCGAGGCTGCGCTCGCCTCCGCGCGCACCCTCGCGCTCAACATCCACGCGCCCGCCCTCCGCCCGCACCTCCAGAAGCTCGCCGCCGACGCGCTGCTCGACCTCTTCGCGCTGCACCGCGACCGCCGCGAGCGGCTCAAGCAGCGGCTCAACGAGCCGCCGTTCATCGACGACTGCGGGCCCGCGACGTGCTCCGCGTGCGGCTTCCCCATCGACTACCACACCTGGCGCGAGCTCAAGTACAAGATCATCATGGAGATGGACGAGCGCCCGCTGGGCGATACGATATGCAACCCCGGCTTGATGGAATGGAGAGAGGCGCGGGCGTGCTGGGATGCAAAGTGCACGAATGCGGCGTGCAAGCGGGTGCTCTATGATAAGGTGGAGACCGCGAGGGTTATAAGAGAGTGCATCGACCAGCTGCCAACCACTATTTGAGTGAGTTCTCTCGCTTCCTGCTTGCTGTGATGAACGCATGTGCTGCTCTCCCTACCGGTTTCTCGGTGTGTACGCTTAGACCTAATTGTTATTATCGCTCTCCTCGTCATGTCGGTAATCCTGTGCGGTCTACTCAATGCATAGCAGGCGCAGCTGCAGATCCATCCGTTTCCGCGTGTAATCGAATCTCGCACCCAGCTCGAAGTCGAATCCTCCCCGCCGACGACAACGGCGCGCATCCAAGTGTACCGTCGACATCTGATCCCCATTCTCTGCCCGTGAACCATGTTCTAGAGGGTGCCCCAAGTCAAGTCAAGGCAGGTTCCGGCTCCTCGACTTGCTATCCTCGCATGCGAAGAAGGTTGAGGAAGCTCATACGGTCGAGCCCAAGCTTCAGGACGGTCCATAACTTGTATGCGCCTACTAGGCACATCCGCGTCGTGGCGACGCGTCCACAAGACGTAGAATGCATATTCATTCAGGGATGCGTAGCCATAGGATACAGGACCAGTCGTAGTAGTACATCGTGTTCGATTCTCTTTCATCTTCGGAATATAGGGGTCCGGCATGGTCACGTGGTCGTCTCGTCCTTGTAGACTGTAGCCACTAAGCCACCCAAGCCTCCCACCTTGCCTACACCTGCGCTACCTAGCTCATACCGCACCGCCATGCCCCCCGCGACCCGAGCCGCCAGCAAAGACCTCAGCGCCCCCGACCCGAAGAGCACCTTCGCGCGGGACCTCAAGAACCGCCAGGCCTCTGCTGCACCGGACAGCCAGGAGAAGGGCAAGGGCAAGGCGGCCACCCCGCCCGACGTGATCTACATCGAGGACGACTCGGACGGGGAGAACCCCCCGCCGAAGAAGAGGCGCGCGCTCAGCCGGAACGCGAAGCCGTCCGCGGACGATATCGTCGAGATCTCGTCCAGCTCGGACGAGGGCCCGTGCTTGGACCACGAGCTGACTATTAGGAGCTTGCGGGACCAGCTGAAGAAGCACCGGCAGGTGAGTGCCGTATCGTATTTTTCGGGAGAAGGGGTGGCTCATCCGTAGACATATGTCGTCGATAGGAGAATGAACGGCTGAAGGCGCTCGTCGCGCGGGAGAGCCGGGAGAAGGGTGCGAAGGACGCGCAGATTGCGCAGCTCACGGCGGACGTCGCGAGTATCAAGGGGACGAGCCACCACGTACGTCCCCTCTCCTCCGCCATCATATCCCGTACTCACACCGTCCACCCAAAACGCACAGGTCCTCCCCGAGCTGGAAGAGCACATCACCTGCGAAATCTGCGTCATGAAAATGTGGTCGCCCTACACGTGAGTCCCCCCCTTCCTCCCCTCCTCTCCCCCCGACCCCCACCCTCCCAGGCTCCCAGACTGCGGCCACACCTTCTGCCAGTCCTGCCTCGAAGACTGGCTGAGCTCCACGCTCGCCAAGCACGTCGCCGAGCACCCGCGCTACAACCCCAACATCCACATCCCCGCGCACCTCCTGCACGACCCGCGCCTGCAGGCGCAGATCCTCGCGCTGCGCGGCCCGCAGCCGGGCTATACGTGCCCGGCGTGCCGCGCGCCGGTGAAGAGCCGGCCGGTGGAGGTGTACGCGCTGAAGAACGTTGTGAGGACGGTGGGGAGGGCGCTGGGCGAGAGCAGCCCGCGGAAGGTGCTCCCGCCGCGGGGCGCGGGGCGCCAGGGCCCTTGGGATGCGTTTTTTCCTGAACGATGAGGCGAAATTGGACTTTGGTGTTGTTGTTGTTGTTACCTTAGAGCTTGGAACTCTACGAATTCATGATAATGCGTCACCTGCACGAGTCGATGTGGTATTGGATGCCGGTACACCTCCAGGATCTCTTTGGGGTATACAGCGACAAACTTGTGGACGGCGGATGACAAGGAACTCCTACCAGCCCCTCACTGCCATTCATACGAACCTGCTGAAAAGGAGGCATGGGAAGGTGCATATGTATATTGCAGGAAGTAATGTTGGTCCTATATCCTAATCCTATCACTAGTAATGTTTACATACAACAAAGATACAGCGTGTACATGGTATGAATGCGTTCTGAAAACGCGCTATGCCTGCACCGGGCAGGATGGTGTAGCCTAGTGGCTTCGAATTCGGAAGCTTGTCCTTCATTATCACGAATTTGAAATCGTCGAACCCATCAGGGACCAGACATGACGGAAGCCCCCTCGAGGAGATCCTTCACGCCCTCGCAGATACGACGGGATCGGTATTGAGTCGTCGGTGCAGCCAAATAGGCCGTGGGGCCGGCGACCGATGTCTGTCTCGCGGTGGAGCGTCATTATCGCGGTTGTCCGATACTACGGAGGTCCCGCGGACCCACTCCTGCGTCCTCTCGTAGCGCTGCAAGGGCATCGCCGTCAGGTAAGGAAACGCAAGAAGGCGAAAGGCGAAAAACACTCACCGCGCTGCCCCGGCCGTCGACTTCGTCCACGAACGTGTTGAGCGCCATCATGGCTTGCTCGCGCTCCTCTCTCTTGCCCTCATCCCGGCCGTCCTCGAAACCCTCCTCCCGGCCGACCGACCGGCCCTCCTCGTACCCCTCGAACCGGCCCTGCTGGAACCCCGCGATGTGCCCCTCCTCGTACCCCTCGTCCCTCCCCGCAATGAACCCCTCCTCATACCCCTCGTCGTACCCCATCTTCCGCCCATCGTTGAACCCCCTCGTCGCCGCAACCTGCCTCGACGCATCCTTCTCCTTCCCGTCCGTCTCCGCCTCCCGCAGGAGCATCTGGTACCGCCGCGCCTTCTCCTCCGCCTTCTCCGCCGCGCGCTCCGCCTCGCGCTTCTGCTCTTCCATTTTCCGATTCGCCTCCTGCGCGCGCTGCAAGTCTCTCTGGGCCACCTCTAACAACAGCTGCACCCTGGCCTTCTCGTCCTTCGCGTGGCTCGCGTCCGCCTCGGCCTGCACGCGCGCGGCGTCGGCGAGCGCAACCTTCCCCAGCGCGGCGCCCGCGCGCCGCTCTGCCGCCTGCGCGCGCGCCTCCGCCTGGTCGGCCCTGCGCAGCTCGTGCTCGAGCCGGTCCGTCGTGCTGCGCAGCATCGTCTTCAGCCGGTGCGTCGACTTCTCCTCCTCCGCCAGCACGAGCGTGATAATCGAGTTCGCGTCGTCGTGGTCGCGCTCGCGCTGCTTCTTGGGCGAGGAGACGCGCTCGCGGAGGGAGTTGGTGGAGGCGCGCCGGGATTTCTTCGGCCGGGAGAGGATGGCGGCGACGTCGGGGTCCGCGAGGAACTGGGCGATGGGGCTCGGGGAGAGGGAGGCGTCGCGGATTTGCTTGATCACGTCGGAGCTGGTAGTTGCTCGGTTAGCGGACAAAGAGGATGAGAGGGGGACGACGCACTCCATACTACGGACGTGCGAGATGGAGGGGCGGGGCTCGTTCGGGCTTTCCGGTTCCTCCATTATCGACGTATGCATCGTCTCGAGAGCCATGATTCCAGTGTTCCAGGGCAATTCAAGTAGACTGAATAGTACCAGCGAACGACCTGGGCAGAGAAGGGTTCAAGCAGTACCCTTGCATATGCCGCCAGCTGACTGCAAGCAAGCGTACGTCAGAAAGCAGCATAAAGACCCAAGTGAAGCACGGACGCGGAACATAAGTAATGAAGGATCGGCAGCGGCTCGAGGAATACACGTGTTCGGCGAGACTGTGATACGCCCAGTCTGAAATGCTGAAGAGCTTCCCGAAGAGAGATCGTTTCGTGCGGGATGGCACTAGGGTCTTGTGCTGCACCTGTTGGGAGACACGTTGCAGGCGTTCGTGGACCCTTTGCGCAGCTCGGTCCGAGGTTGGGGTTCATGTAGGGCCGTGGATTTGACTGAAAAGGTACGCAGCCTGCGACCCAAAGTAATTCTTCTGTTCATGGGAACTTAGCTCCTTCAGAGTCCCGAGGGATGCATCGATAAATCGTGACACTCACAGGAAGCGTATGTCAGATCTCTAACTTTCTCTGAGAGCGACATAGGACGGATATGGCAATCACACTGTCCGTTCACGTGGCCGAGGGAACCAATCGTGATTTTCCTCACTATTTCCTACGATTTTCCATCCTCTGGAGACTTGGCACGGCAGCATCATCGATTCGTCCTTTTCGAAGTTCAACATACTCAACTTCGATACAGTCTGGATATTGGAATATGCCTCTACCTTGAACGATGCTGAGCTCATGCCTGAGAAGAGAACGTAAAAAATTGGCTGCTGTCTCCGAAATGTTCATCCACTCAAGTCTGAAGACGTGGGTCATCGAAGAGCTATCGAACGCAGCGTGTCTATTTCGCGGGCTGTAGCTATATAAATCCCTGCTGCTATACGCCCCAGCACTTGACGTCGCCCTTTCCTTTCGCCCGGTCTCTCCATATAGTCTTTGCAAGCCTCGACCCACCTTGTGTCCGCCTTATCCCTGAGACATTGGAAGCTACAGAACTATCTGGATATGACGTCTGAACACCTGTCCGCTATGTATATAGTTCAGAGTTTGCTTGGCAATGGAAGTATACCACAACATAAGCGCTAGGGATCTATCCGCAGGCAGCATGGCGAGCACCCTCTTCTCCGTCTCGAACCGCGTCGCCCTCATCTCAGGCGCCAGCTCCGGCATCGGCGCGTACATCGCAAAGGGGCTCGCCGAGCACGGGTGCAGCCGCGTCTACATCGTTGGGCGGCGCGAGGCCGCGCTCAAGTCGATCGCATCTGCCGCTCCGGGGGTCATCGTCCCCATCGTGGGCGACGTCTCGACGAAAGCGGGATCCGTGAAGATCGCAGAGGCGTTCGTGCAGCTGGAGAAGCAGGCGGGTGTGCGTGAGGGTGAGGTCGCGCTGGATATACTGGTGAATAATGCGGGGATCATGAGGCCGGAGGGGCTCTGGGGTGACGGTGCGTCTGCGGAGGAAGTCAAGGATGCGCTGCTGAAGTTGGAGGACGAGGACTGGGCGCAGGTGTTCGCGGTGAACGTATCTTCCATCCAGGTACGAACCTCCCCCCAGCTCCGAGATGCACCACATCACTGACCGAGCCCAGTGGCTCTCCGCTGCTCTCCTACCGTACCTCGTCTACGCATCGAAACACAACGACGGCTTCCGCGAAGGCCGCGGCTCAATCGTGAACAACACCTCCGTCTCCGCGTTCTACGTCTCGCGCGCGGACAAGCTGCACCTCTACGCGGCGTCCAAGGCCGCCGCGGAGTCGCTCACGAAGAACCTCGCGAGCAAGTTCACGAAGATGGGCGTGCGCGTGAACAGCATCGCGCCCGCGAACATTCCCAGCGAGATGAACGACCCCGCGAACCCGGGCAGCTTTATTAGCAATTTGAAGGATATCATCCCGATCGGGAGGACGGGAAATGAGGAAGATGCGGTGGGTGCGATTGTGTATCTGAGCTCAAGGGCGGGGAGTTATGTCTCGGGGACGTATATCACGGTGAGTCGTTCGAGTTTGAGTAGTTAATGAAAAGGACGCTAATTCTGGCATAGTTGGATGGTGGCATTCTCGTTGGTGTATGAAAACCACGAAGGGATTGCATCACGGAAACGTCGAGCCACATACAACACATTTGTGAGTCCCTGGGGGTACCTCGTCGGGGGAGGAAGTTGCTGATTCATGGTTAGTTGTTCGGCGGCATGCTTGTAGGTATATGAGAGTTTTCAAAAGATTTAGATCAAAGCACTGTTCGGTCACATACGGCACATTTGTACCACCTGCATATAACAAATAGATAAGTGTCACCTTATGTTTGTCCGTACCAGGTATGTTAGCCCGAGCGCAATGCTTTGCAGGTGAGTGCATCCCACATTGGAGCTCTACGAGTTTTCCCAAACCCACGCCCGTCCCGATCACCTCATGTTAGTCATAAGGGTACAGAGTAGTAAGCTTCAGGGAACTTACGCGTTCTCACCGCATCCCTCACATCGCTATTCCCACGTCTTCACTCCGAGTCTCGAGATGGCTGATACACTCTTCTCAGTTGCAGATCGCGTTGCGCTAGTCACGGGGGCAGGCTCTGGTATAGGATCTTACATAGCAAAGGGCCTGGCAGAGCACCAGTGCGCGAGGGTGTACATCGTCGGTAGACGAGAGACTGCACTTCTATCCGTTGCATCCTCCGCGCCCGGTGTCATTATTCCATTGGTGGGGGACCTTTCCACGAAGGAGGGATGCGTGCGCGTCGCCGAGACGTTCGTGAGAGCTGAGAGGGAGAGAGGAGTAGAAGAGGGGAACGATGCTCTGGATATCCTGGTGAACAACGCGGGCGCCATGCTGAGAGAAGGGTTTTGGGACGACAAACAGGCTTCCCCCGAGGAAGTGCGAGACGCCTTGCTTAAATTGGGCGACGAGGACTGGGATCTTGAGTTCGCGATTAACGCTTCCTCCATCCAGGTACGCGATAAGATTATCCAGATGAGCTTTCGCGATCTCATGTCATCGGACCCTCCGATCCCAGTGGCTGTCCGCGGCCCTCCTGCCTTGCCTGGTGCGCGCCGCCAAGCACGCCGAGGGATTCAGGCAGGGACGCGGCGCGATCGTCAACAACACGTCCGTCTCCGCTCTCTACGTCTCGCGCGCGGCGAAGGGGCACGTGTACTCCGCGTCGAAGGCGGCCGCGGAGTCGCTCACGAGGAATCTCGCGAGTAAGCTCACCGGGCTCGGCGTGCGCGTGAATAGCATCGCGCCGGCGAATATACCGAGCGAGATGAACGACCCGGCGGATCCCAAGAGCTTCATTGCGTTGCGGAGGCAAGTTATACCGATTGGGAGGATCGGGGACGAAGGGGATGTGGTCGGCACTGTGGTCTATCTGTGTTCGAGGGCCGGCAGTTATGTCTCAGGCGCCACTATCAAGGTAAGCCGCTGAAACTTTACACCGGCTTCAGAATCGAATCCATCTCGCGATAGCTCGACGGGGGGATTCTCGTTGGCGTATAACGTTGCAGTTCGATATGCAAAGGTGGACCTGCGCTTGAAGACTCCAGATAAATAGCCATGGATCCTGGACTAGCCACCAGAAGAGCTGTACTCACATTCTTGCAGTCGCTGTTCAGTGCAACTGCAGACGATTGTCGGCTTGATTATTTCAGCCGCTGCGCTGACTGATGTAGTGGAAAGTTCTTGTTGAATGCGGAGGAGGCCAAGCTGAGATCGTGGGAACTTGCGGGCGTACTAAGAGCAGCGAATCTCGATATGTTCATCCCGCCCACTCTCCCCTTCTCTTGCTCATCCCGCCAGCGACGAAGATACTCGAGCATCCAACGCTGTAACAGCTGCTGAACTGCAACTTAATGTTGACTGACGAGTATGAGGTCTCCGCCTGTCGCATGCCTACCCACATGAATCTCCGAGTACGAACACAAGTTAATTCGGAATCAGTTAGCAGCATATCTCATTCGCCCGGACGGGGGATGCGGAGGGGTGCTGCTAATGCGATACCAGATCACCGCAACTGGCGCTCCCAGCTTTTTGCGTGAACGGGGCCAGACCCACCGTGCCGACCGCGGACCACGTCCTACGATCCGGGAGTGGGTCTGACAGTGTCAAAGCTCAAGCCAATTACTTAACATCTTCGAGAATTCGAGCCAGGAATCGTGATACTGTCGACGTGACCTGTCCACTCTAACAGGTTCGCGGGTGCTGCTTGGTTGATTCTGTCACTTCTCGCTCGCTGTTCCCAGGATTCAACAGGAGGCCGGCGTGGGGCTCTTGAAGTCCGTCCCCTTGCTCCTCCGGCCTCGCAGACCCGTTTGCTAACCTGACTAGTGCTGGAATATCCAACTGGAGTTGTGTTTTCTCCGGCCGCACTCCTGTGGTGGTCGCTTCGCGGCTACCAGTCGGGTACGGATGCGGGTGCTTTGACCGCTCTTGATGAAAGCTCTGAATTCACGCGGATTTTGATGGAATACTTGCAGGGTGATGCCCACCTCGTGTACCAGACGATCCACCCCCGCTGGAGCCTGGAGGGCTGTGAGCATGCCGTTGCCAGATAACGCGCGTTCGCCTCCGACACCAGGCACGATGCAGAATATGACCGCCTTCATCAAGCTCTATTTGGTAACTCTTGAAATAGTTTGTGGCATAGCGTCATCATTACAGTCTTTTGATGAGAACATGGATAAAATACGAACAACGCGAGGCTCGGACCACAGCCTCTTCCCCCGCACGTCTTGCACTTTCATCAGACATGGGAACCCCGGATCCATTCGATGCGGTGATAAGCAAGTCCGCATCTCTCTTGTTGTTTGCGTCGCTCTCCGTCCCACTTGGTAGCCGGTCTTCTGTAAGTCGCCGACCAGTTATTTAAGGGCTAACGTTCGCTGTGGAGCCTCACTAACCTCTTTTCGTTCGCTCCTTATCTGGTCGTAACTCCGTTTCGCATCGACTCTTTGTATTTCTTGCAAGACTGAACCATGGGTGAGCGCGGAGCAAGCGGCCTTGCACCGAAGCGCAATCGGCGTGCCCCCTCACCTCAATGACCGTTGGTCAGGACGCGAGCCGGGCGATCGTCATCGGATTTCTCGGCGGCCTCCTTTACCTTTGTACGTCCTATTTCGTCACTAAAGTTAGTGGACAACGACTCATCTGACAATTGAGCACCGGAGGGGTTCACTCCTGACGATGCAGCAACCCTCTCGTCGGCGAAGGTCGGAGTTTTCCTACCTCACCTCGATGTATCCTACATCTTAGTTTTGTCCGGCCATCTGAATGTCGGGAAATTCCAGCGGAAACCCGAACGATCATGATCAAGGTAGGTATTACTGTCCGAGAGTCCGTGGATATCCCCTCCCACATCCCCGGGGGAATGCAGTGGCCGACCGTTGCCTACCCCACTGCGAGCTATTACGTCCACTCGCATTACGTACAAGGTAGGCGCTTTCTCGCCCTGGCACTGGGTAAGAAAGCTCCTAATTTGCCACTGGCAGTGTTTTCTGGGAGAAAATCTACTCGGACGTCTGGAGGATTGGTAGAAAGGTGCGCCATGGAAGGTCAGTACATCCTTCGTCCGACGCATTTCGTGAAACGATGCGCGCAAAGCCCGTTGTGAAGGTCAGCCCCAGCACATGGCTCTTTCCGGGCAACCGCTTAATCTCATGTCGCTCACGAACTAATGCACTCAAATCATCGTCCTATCGGATTCGTTTGCGAATGAGTAGCGTCCCAACACTAGCATTCCGATAACACCCGAGTTGTCTTTGCCCTTCGGCCGCACCTCAAAATGTGGCAAATATGATGCATTACATGTAAGAATGAACGCAACTCTGCCGCGAGAATGGCCAGCTCGATGGTAAATAAGCGCAGCTTGTCTATGTATTAAATAAATGCGAATCTGATGATACAGCATGATCCATGCGCAACCCTATTCATACAGCATAGCATAGTACATAATCCATCCATCCAATCAATTCTCGGTGAAGAAGCCCAGCAGGCCGTCCGGATGCTCCGCGACGCCTCTCCCGCCATCGCAGTCGACGTGCTTCGTTTGGAGTCGAACTTTCATGAGCTCATCCCAGAACAATGTAGGCGCTCTCTCGCCCTTGCGGAGAAAGCTTCTTATATGTTCTAGCCAATGTTTCACTAGACGGAACTGAAGTTCTGAATTCAATCGACCGGCCCCAGCCTTGAACGGTGGCAGGCCTTCCTGGTACGCCAGAATCGAGACTTGCGCCAGCCAGTAGTACGGAAGGACATTGACGGTGAACGGCGGCTCCTCCTCGGGGTCGTCCATCTTCGGAGTTTCGGGTGCCGTCATCCAGCTCTGCAACCAATTATGTAGCGAGTACTGGAGGTTGAAGATCTCCTGCGACACTGATTGCTCCATCTCTGATGACAGCTCCGAGCCCGGCGCATCTCTGCCGCCCTGTGTCGAGTTCTCTAGGCCTATGGCGTAGATGTCTCGGAGAATAGTGTGGACAACGACGAAGTGCGCGAAAGGCGACAAAGGCGGCAGTGTACCAGGGACACGGTTGTATTCCCGCATAGCGGCCTGCACTTGGGGCATACTCACCCCAATAAGCCGCTTATCCATCGATTGGCCATAGGGTGAAGGTCCCAACAACGTGAAACTCCACTCCTTGGACGAACTGGCTAACCAAAGAGCGTCCTCGCACGGCAAGTTGATAGCGACCTCGGAGAAGTTGAAGGACGGGCGGATCGCGAAGTATAGCGCGTGGCAACAGTCGTGGAGGTATGACAGCAAGAGAGCGCTAGCGTACCATTTAAGTAAGTGCGCAGAACCGTCATGAGATGCTAGACTCACCGCTTCGCGGTCTCGTGTAAACCCCACTCTCGCCATGCACGGTCCGTGGATGCCGCATCCACCATCGCAGGCGGTGCCCATGAGTTGACTTTGGAAATCAAACCGCACCGGCGAATCATCTGTCAACGGGACTCGTCAGACTTGAGATCGTCAACCAACCAGATGCGTGGCATACCATGACGAGCATCCCATGGTAGATACTTGAAGTAGCCCTCTGACTCGCCTTCTGGTGAAACAAGCCTATCGTCTGCAGCAATGATACGGCCAGGATGAGGTGGATCTGGTCGGTGGTGTCGTTGAGCTCCCGTGTCTGCGTAGGTTGCGTCAGTCGGAAGCTCGCGGAAGGTGGTATATAGGCGTCACTGACAAATTCCTGCAACAAAGTCTCTCTGGATGCATCCAGGACTTTCGTCACGAAATTCGCGGCTTTGCGAGTCTTCACGTAAAGCGCGCCGCATGCGTACATCGCGTCCAGGAGCACAGCAGGCTTCCCCTCCATCTCCCATGTTGGCCCGTGAATGATCGGCATCTGCTTCAGGAAGGCGGTGAAGAACAAGTAAACTACAGATTGTGAGTTGCAAGTGACAATTAAGGAGCATGACCACGTACGATAATGCTGCAATTCCTCTGGACTAGTGTCCTTGGAGGAACTCCTGCCGAGTCCACCATATCCCCTGTTGACTACCTTCGGGCTGTCGTGCGACGTCGCATGTGGACTATTCGTGTTCCTGTCCATGATAGGTTGATGCGAGGACTCCGGAATGAACGATGAACCACCCAGGACGTCGGTCGGAAAGGGGAATTGGGGATCCCTCCCGATATCCGTCCGCGTGTCCTCCCAAGTAAGCGCATCGACTGCCATAGGATCGTCATTCGTCATAGCCGCAGATCCGGTGAAAAGATCACTGAAGAACGGCTGAAATAGGTTACTGCCGCATATGTTGTCCGCGTCACCCTGCAGAGCCAAAGCGTCCAGTTCCGAGGAGAAGAGAAGGTTGAAGTCGGTAGAAGGATCGGTTTCTGAAGGCGACGATGAAGCAGAAGAGTCTGTCGAGTAGGCCAGGTTGGGGACAGCGGGAGAACCTGGGGAGGAGAAGCCGGAGGTATTGGTCAGAGCGGATACTGAGTCGGATCTTGAACGGTGTAGTGAGAGCGGGACAGGAGGCTGTGCCATGGGATCCGCCAGGAATGCATCTACGAGGGCAGTTGTTGCGGCAGGTGTCAGCGCTATATTACTGGGCACGACCGAGTCAGACATGGATCGCATTGGTGCCGCAGGAGTCTTGGCTTGAGCGGTGGCACCCAGCCTCGTCTCTGGGCTCGGCGGGGACGAGATGAACGCAGCAGCCTCGCCGAGAGATAGGCCTGGAAAGTTATTGGACAGGTAGTCTGACTCGCCGGTGGGGGTAGACGAAGGCGCAGCCCCAGGCGTCGGAGTGGAGTCCCTCGTCGTGCACTTTGATGAAGGACCGCTCCGTGAAGTTGGGCAGGAGGGCGATATCCTCGCCACGGGGGGACCACCCACGTATATACACTCCTTCCCGCGGTTCTTGCATTTCGTACACGGATACTGCAGGTCACATTTCACTTTGGACTCGGCGCAAGCCTGGCAAGATTTTCGACGAGTGCGCTGGGTGGTGTTACTGGAAGGCATAACGTTGGTCAGTTGCTTTTCATGACCCCGGAGTACAACAAGCTTTAGAGCGGTCTACGACCATAGGACCAGTGGCATCTATAGTAATAGAACGTCCGTGGCCCGCGTGTACGCACAACTGAGGAAAGTGACTTACGGGTCACCGCATCCCTTTTTATGACGAGTCAAGAGATCGCTCCGGGTGAATTCAGCGCTGCAAGTCTGCCCATAGGTTCAGCAGGGACGAACGAATATATCTCTGTGGGTTAGACCTACGTCACATCGATGGAGTCGTTCATTCGAGTCTGTGTATGCGAACTGAGAACGATGTAAATGCATGAAATAGTGAGTGAACTCACGAGTCCTCATGTGGCGATTGAGATGTGTCGTCCGCGTAAATCGTGCGGGGCATAACGGGCAGACTTTCGTCTGCGGCAATGAAGGCATGTTGCCTCGATGGGAGCGCATTCTGGAGATAGTCCCATCTTTCTTGAATTCTATGATGGTGGGCCTGGTATTATTGCTGTCCGGGTTGGATGCCAAAACGGACGGGGGTATCGATTGCTGCCGGTCGCTCTCAGGGGAGGCTTCCGCGGAGGACATGCTAGAGGTTATCCTCGGGCGTCACAAAGGACGCGCCCTTATGTATTTAGTACCGCCATACTGTCTTGTTTCGGAACGCAGTGGGAACGCCGAAGCGACGGTCTCAAGGCGCAGATACGAGATTGATCGTTCCTACGTGTACACGGCCAGGGTTCCAGGCTGAGATCTGAGCAGTTCATCCGGACGTGACGGAGACCGCCTGCCGAAAATGTGAGGCTGCCTACTCATTGTCTCGGGACATAACCGGGGTATTGGGGTATCGCCGGAGCCCGCGCGTCTAAGTAGTCAGATGGAGAGCCTTGATGCCCGGTGACAGACTGTCACAGACCAGTCAAAGCTTCATTCTATCGCTGATAGAGTTACGCACAATGTTTCCAACAGGCACCCCTACGTCCCTAGCTTGCATCTGCTTGTGACTCTATAACCTACAGAGTGTGCTAACATCGCCAATTTCAGGCGCTCCTCCACTTCAGCGCTTCCGATCTTCCGGATTTATTGTCGGCAAAGTTCGGGCATAGCCGATCAAACATCTCGAGCGTCGGGCGTGTCGATTCCCTGAGCCTCATGCCGCCTCCCAGATTGAGTGCACCTTCTGCGCCATCAGCGATCATTATCATTCGCTGCGTGAAGGCTAATGCAATGCTAGTACTATCTTGTTGCAGGTCCTTAAGCGAGAAGGTAATGCACGGGCTGAGAGGAGCGACGGTTGGAGCTAAATGGCTTGATTCGAACGTCTCGTTCCTGGTATCAGACAAAGTCGCCCACACTGGACATGGCACTCAAACGTTTGTGAGAGAACACCCGCATCATTCACGCATCATTATGATTGGCCGACGTCACACTACTTATCATATGCCCCATAAAGCCTGTGGGGCTCGACGACTGCTTCGCCAACCCAACAGATCGGGCGTCTCATAGATATATGATAAGAGCTTCCGACATCGCTACGGACGCTGACAGCGACCCTCCTACGACCTCGATGCTTTCTGTTATTTGTGACCCAGAAAGTTGGCAAATCCCGTCAAATATGGCACCGCCTATGGTGACGTTTGCGCCCTGATCCACGCGTGAAGTCGCGTTGGGCGCCGTCAGTCGCTTCGCTCGTACCTCCCTGGTAGCACTGATCCCCGTACTGTGTCTTGTCCCGGTGCCGTTGTAATAACCCGAATTATAAATCAGAAGGCGGGTGGGCGCGTTAGCTGCGTTATAGATCGCGTATAACCCAATACTGCCAGAACCGTCGTCAAGCATCACCAGTTTCTCACCATCTCGGCCGAGAAAGTCGGATACGAATGCTGCGCCGTAGAACGGAGCGCCGACTGTATACTGGCCCCAAAAACAGTATTGCTGCGCCAGATGTTCAGTACAGTAGCGAATCTCCATCAAAATGCGGGCGCCACTTACGCAATTACCGATAGTTCCCTGATGGAAGTATAGCCTATCGACACCGTTCAGGACACCCTGGAGGACGTAATCCATGACCCAGAGCGCTGCGCCAAATGTCGGGCTAATGCCACCGCCGCCGCATGTCGCTATCCAGCCACCTCAGCCCTGCTGCATCTGCCCTTGGGAATAAAAGGACGTCACCTGAGTTAGTCTCCCCTAGAAAGTACTTCTTGCCTGCGTCATGGGCAGCAGCCGCTTCTGGTTTGTACTGGCTAGTGTAGGTGACTATTGCCCTGGGGAATCAAACGTTAATGACCTCATTCCGCCTTTCAGCACGGGTTCGAACTTACGAGTGATTCATCAATGACGGTAAGTCTGTTGTCGCGCCACCGCAGGCTGATTGCGGGTACGAATGTCCGGAGAACGTCTTAACATAGCTGATTGCGTTGGAGAGGATGGGAATCAACCCTTGTGTGCTCCATTTTGGGTAGGATAAGTATACGGCTCCTTGAAATATGTTCCCAACCTAGCCACTCGGTGTACGTGAGTAACTGCCAATAAGGTAACGGTTCTGGGCAATGCTGCCATCTTACTGTTGTTCCCATGTCACTGAACCACTGTTTCTGACTCGTGCCATCGACTGAAGGGCTCCATGTCGCGCCCGCAGGAACGATCGGGGAGCTCTGGCTGTACACTATGAATGAGGGTCACCAGTTCAGTACCACAACAGTGATTGCAGCATGGCGTTCTCTTACAGTCTGGCTCATTACCCAGTTCGATTGAAAGTAGGTTTGGCATGCTCGCCTTGGCTTGCAATGCAGCTGTCAAAGAGTTTGAAATATTATTCAATTGCCGATTCAGCCCGACAGTAACATCTCCTTTCAATTGGGACGCGAGCGTGAAGAAAGCTGGCCCGTAGGTTAGAGCGGATGGGGCGTCGGCGGGATCGTCCACCGAATAATCGACCGCTGTTTTCAAATCGGGGTCATACGTTGCTCGATCTCTAACAGTTCAGATATGACGCGTCAATCAAGGGCCATACAGGCGTGAGCACTCACTGGGTCGTACCGCCGATTCTCACGGCTGGCGATACGCCTCGGACGGAATCAATGTAGTCTAGGCAGTTTGTCGTAGAGTTCAATTGGGTATAGCCCGGAAACGCAAAGAACTCCAAAGAAATACTGAGCGCAGCGGGATCAACATTGGCTGCATGTGCCGGCGGTAGATAGGGAACCGTGAGAGCCGCGGTTGAAGCAACGCGCGCTAGCGCCAGAAAACTGAACTTCACGATGAGATGCATCCGGGGCTGTGCACTCGACATCCAGAGGAGAAAACACTGCTGTCGGTCGCCCTCCTTATCTAGTCTATGCCGGGAGTCATGGGTGCTTGGGCGGGCCGTCGATAGGCAGGCGGGTTCCAGTAGAAGGCATTTCGGATGACCTGTGCAAAGGTGAGCAGTATGTCCGGTGAGTACGGACAGGCTCTTCTTGCACGTACCGCGTCGGTCCGGTGCCATTCTCTGTAATGCCGTTTCTATTATTATAAATTACCTAGCTTGATCCTCTAGGTATAGTCCATCTTTGGTACGATACGGAGGCTTTGCCATGGCACTTGACCAAAGCGTGAGTAGGTCACCGGAGGATCTTTGACGATGCCGGTGAGCTGGCCTGGACGCGACCTTCGGAACTAAATGACATCTTGAGCAACCGCTTTAGCTGATGGCGATTGCAGACATCGAGAGTCAATCTGGGGGGGTAGAGAACAAAAGGACCTACAACAGTTGCAGATACCCCCAAGAAAAAGACAGGAATATTCGCTGTCCTCACCTTCAGCGAGTCCCAGCTGGATCCGGACCAAGAACACTGTCACTGTAGACTTCGGCTTCCCGCACATACTTCGGCAGACGTGCGCTATGCTACAGTCTTGCTCAGTGCAAGGCGTTCGGCGTAGCAATCAAGTTGCATCAATTGCAATGTGAACGATCGGCATTCAGGATAGGCTAGCTTGATGGCACAATGCCAATCAATACTGCCTCGGACCTGAAGTTGACGGGTTGGACACTTGAAATCTTGAAGGATTGATTAACTACTTGACCAAGTATAACTTGGCTGCGTCCAGCATCTTGGCATACCTTTTATAGCGCGGAGCCCGAGGACGTGCACTGTAGCCTACTACAGTGCCTTGCATAAGAAACTGAACATCGCATTTCTGCACGCGTTGTTTGTCCGCGCCAAATATCCCCTTTTCGGGTATCGGCAAATGTGCGGCAAAGACCCATCGAGAGGGAGGGTAGAGAGGCATATAGCTGGGGGCAGAGTATAATAATTTACAGCCCTTAGTGTAGTGTTAGAATATACATTCCATGCATTCTCTGAAGCCTTGGGCGTCTGCGTGTCCTTGCCCAGCAAACGGTCTCGCGAAAGGCCTTCCAGACCTACCCGAAAAGGGTATATTTGGCGCGAACAAATAACGCGGGCGGAAATGCGATGTTCAGTTTCTTATGCAAGGCACTGTAAGGTTTAGTTTGCTGTCCCTTAAGCATATGGCTGAACGGGCGAAGCCTCTAGCTACCTCTCAGAAGTCAAGCTCATGATCACTTGAAACGGTACGGCGAAATGCAAGCCATAACCATGTAAACGCCCGGTGGTCGCTGCAAAGTGCTGATTTTCAGCATGGCAGGAGGCTGGAGCAGATGTCGCGTTCTGTGTAATTGTTTGCCAAGTCTCACTTGCCGGACTGGCACGCTGGACGATCGGACGTCTGCGTCGACGTCAGGTCCGGCCCCGTGCGGTGTACTTTGATATGTGGACCATTTCCATTTGGGCCAAAGCTTACAGACCGTACGGATTCAGACGATCGCAGTGAGCTTTGATATCTTCTCGCATATACCCGCCCTCTCGGTGGCTCAAGTATCCCCATAGAACGCTCTCATTACTTGTTATCATTCAGGGATCCTGCAAAAAGGATCGGATTCGACCTGTAGCGCCCCACAGACTTGACGGATTCTGACTGGATACTCCGTCTGTTGTGTCTAACTAAGTAATGAACGTCCTGACCATTTTGTCGCATTTTTAGGCGGCCTGTAATAGGAGAAAGCTGCCGGTTCCATCATGTAGGGGGTTCTGCAGTTCGTCACACATGGTCACAGTGGGACCTCGCCGCGAGCGGCGTCACGCTTTTGTCACGATACAGTATGTACATGTACATGTATCATTGTAAGTACATGTATGGGCTCTTTCGACGAGTCCCGTCCATTTGCCGATCGCGATGCCCGAAAAGAGTAAATTTGGCGCGGACAAACAAGGCGCGCGGAAATGCTCAGTTTTTTATGCAAGGCACTGTAGTCAGCGGAGCATCCTGTAGACCATGATCTCACGGACTCAAATGAATCGTCGTCGCGAGTCTTTACCAGTTCCAAGAGTCAGCCTTTCCATGTTCCTTGTCGATAGCTGTGCTCACTTACGCTCGTGGCATTTACATAGACAATTTCCCGCACCCTCTGAGTCCACAACACTTAGGCTAACGGGTCTTATGCTGACCGTCCTCCCTCGTACAACAAACGGAGGCAATGCGATTTGCCATGGGAGGCTAAACGGTCTCTATCTGCATCAAGGGGCGTATCCCGGTTACCTTCGTTCGGCTCGTTTCTGGCGGGACGAGTGGTACGTTTGATCGCATTGTTGCACGATGCTGCTAACACTGTACACATGCGTCACCATGGACCTCTACACTCCTTCCCCAGCAGGATCACAAGCCAAAGCTTCTATCAATCCATGGGTCTTTGATTCAAGCCTGTTGCCGTTGAGCTGCCGAAACGTGCCTGTAAGACGTGTAGCAAAAACAATGTCATTGGTCTGATGCTACAATGCTAGATTGCATGTTAGACCGCACTCGCGTCACTTGTGCCGCACAGCGCTGTTCTTCGCTTACCGAGAAGATCTAATATACCGCGACTGTGGCTCGTCTTTAGTATGCAGTGCAAGACTTCCGAGTGATCTGCGTTCGGACGGACCGAGACGGACCGCTGGCGTGGCGGGAAATAGGTGGGTCAGTTGTTGAAAATGAGACGCCAATCTTCGTACATGTACATGTAAGCACAGCTTGAGTTACATTCTGGGTATGATAAGGCGACTCGTACGAATTTCCTCGGCTTTGCAGATGGACGTGACTCGACGAGGTGTCCGAGTATGATCCGAATTTATGGAGTTTGATCGCCACACGGATCGCTCATGCAATTTGCATGCTAGACTCGTCCCAGGTTAGCATCAGCGCGTCACGAAGGCGGGCAGCTCAAATATGATTTGGTCCTGCGGCTTCGAGTGCCGGCTACGAGCCCCTGTTGTTTCGAGCAATGATTCTCACCTCCATCGGCAGTCTATGTTCCCTGATGGGACTGATGTCGTCTGGCCGCCATGTAATGCTACCGTCGTACCGATGTGGTACACGCTGGTACATGTGGAACTCTCGTCGGGCTCTTTGCAAGAAAACTTTGGGTACATAAGTTGTCTATTAGAACGATATAGTCACTCGGGCAAGCGGAGTGAGCTCCCCGCTTACCCAAAAATCCAACCTTTCGAACCCTTGATAGCTCTATTGACCTTCACGAGAGTGATACGACTGTATCATTTTATCTGTCGATCGGTGCAGCTGAAAATAGTCGTCCCTAGTCATCCAGATGAACTGCTCATAAAGCACTGCATGGTTTTGTTGTGGATCTCCATGGTCGCGTCGCGCACGTGCCGTGCCTACTACCGTACGTAGCGAAGCGGATGGATGCATAGTTTCTCACGACGCGATGGTCGCATGCAGCTGGGTAATACTAACATTTGCTGGCAAGTATTGGAACAAATACATACCTCACTTTCCGACCGCTGCAAATCTCGTTCCCACCTTCGTTTACCAGCCATGTCGATGAAGGCTGTCAGTCACGACTCTCCTCGTTTCCGTTGAGTGCTGACAGGTCTTTTTCTAGATCGTCAAATGTAGGAATAATCCAATGATTCACGATGCATCACACCGCGTACTCACACACCCCAATGTAGCCGTTCTTTCCGGTGACTCTTTGATTCTTCGTGGTCGTCCCGGTCCCGATGGCCAAGTCCCCAAAGAGAGGTAGGACTATACGAATTGTCGGAGCAGCACGTACTTGACGTTCATCAGGATGTTGTACCTGGCTGACATCACAGCCCCCAAGCCCGGCACGGCGACTAGGGAAGACGAAGTGCGTTCACTGATAGCTTATGGTAACTGGAAATTATCCTAATATGAACCCAGCCATGGGCTTTCGAGTCCCGAGAGTTCCTACGCACGCACGCTGTGGGCAAGGAAATCACCTTTACGTCTACCCACTCCCTCCCTCCGAGTGAAAGGGACGATATTCCACGAGACATAGGAAGTGGAGAGATAGGGGGAGTCGATTTGACGTCGGAGGTGTTGCGCAATGGGTGGGCCAAACTGAAGGACCTCAAACGGGACCCAACCGAGGAGGACCTAAGAAGGAAGGATCTGGAAAATGAGGCGAAGGCGGCTGGAAAGGGTGTTTGGAATCCCCACGGACCACAGGTACGTCGTCTTGACTCGCTCGTGAAGTTTCCGAAAGAATTGGTTACGTGACGGTACGGCTGATGGGCCGGTTCGTTTTGCCATCCTTTGCGCATCTGAACATTGCTTTCTCCGTCTCGCCGGAGATCCACATCTCCGGCTGACAACGACGCCTGCTAGGACCATCTGGAGAAGTGACAGTGATGCGCGAGATACGCCTACCACACCATATTGCCGTTCCTCTGAAGGTCACGTGACTGAACACTCGCGATAGGCCCGCTCTGTCAATTATACGATGCCCACGGATTCGCAAGGTTTCATTTCGGAATGGAAGGGCAAGTCTATAGACGGTGGGTTAGACTGCGCCTGATCCAAATCAATCATTGACTTGGAGTCACAGGCATCGTTGAACAGGTGAAGGATGGGTCTACTCTCCGGATCCGCCTGCTTATGCCGGATGGCGATCATCAATTTGTCAATATTGCTCTGGCAGGCGTTCGTTGTCCGCGCTCATCTACGAGTAAGCAAGGGGAAACTGCTGAGCAATGGGGAGAGGAGGTATACGGCCCGCTCATAATGTGTGCGACATCAACTGAGATAACTTTCATAGGCGAAATATTTCACTGAATCTAGGCTCTTGCAACGAGCTGTGAAGGTTCAGTTGCTCTCACTACCTAGTCTTACCGCGACGCCTTTCCAGACTGGGCCTAACGCGTCTGCTCCTCCACCTGCGAGCATTTTCATTGGCAACGGTTTGTCGTCTCGACTTGACACTTTCCCCTTACGGCTAATATTAGTTTTATTTAGTGCTACATCCTGCCGGCAATGTCGCAGAACATTTAGTAGGGGCTGGTCTTGCGCGTGTGGTCGACTGGCATGCAGGCATGCTCTCAGCCTCTGGTGCTATGGAGCGTCTCCGTGCAGCGGAGAAGACCGCAAAGGAAAGACGTGCTTGTCTCTATGCTAACACGGCCTCCGTGCCTGCTGCTAAGACGAACGGCACGGGTCAGCCGACCACCAAAGGCGACTCACAGTCATTCGAGGGTGTTGTCACCAGAGTATGGAGTGGTGATCAAGTCTCAGTTCTCGAGCGTGACACAGGGAAGGAAAGGAGACTACAACTCAGTTCGACTCGGAGCCCGAAGTCAGTGGCTATGTCTCACGTTGCACTGCGATAAGGTCTGATGTTGCACGGTAGACTCTCAGACCCTAAGCAGGCACATTATGCCAACGAAGCTCGGGAGTTCCTCCGCAAAAAGCTCATTGGAAAGCACGTCAGAGTTCACGTGGACTTCACTCGGCCCAGGGAAGGTGAATTCGAGGAACGAGAGTGTGCTACAATTCGTTACGGTGGTCACCATGCGTAGGTGTTATTCATCCTCTTGCCTCAAGTCAGCTCATCGATTTTGAACAATGCTAGCAACATTGCGGAGCAGCTGATCGAAAAAGGTCTCGCCAGCGTCGTCCGTCATCGACAGGACGATGAAAATCGCTCCCCGGATTATGATAAGCTGATGGCTGCAGAACAAGCGTGAGACACCATCGTTGTCTTTGTCCCTATCCTTGGTACTTATGGACATGTTGGGTAGAGCTATGGCGGAGGCTAGGGGTATCCACTCTGGCAAGGAGCACCCTGCACCTAAGCCGCCTTTGAACATTTCCGAAGTACAGCTGACGTTTTGCGTATTTCGGCATCTCTCTGATGCGTATTGCTACAGACTAATTCGCGTGCTACGCAATTCTTGAATGGCTTCAAGCGCCAAGGGCGGATTCCTGCGGTTGTGGACTATGTCGCTTCAGGGTCTCGTTTCAAGTATGTGATATTTTTAGGATCAAGACATTGGTCTGACGTTTGTACAGGGTATTCTTGCCGAAAGATAATCAAGTCCTGACACTGGTTCTTGGCGGTAAAACTCCCCGTATTTCAATCTCCGTCTGTTTGCTGACTCTACAACGTCAGGCATCCGTGCACCTCGTACGGCTAGGAATCTCTCGGAAAAAAGTGAACCCTTAGGTCCTGAAGCTGCCGAATTCGCCACAAGGCGCTACATGCAACGTGATGTGGAGATTGAGGTCGACACCGTGGATAAGTCCGGCGGCTTCATTGGCGCCTTGTACTTGAACAAGAATGAAAATGCTGCCGTAGCTTTGGTGAAAGAGGGACTTGCTTCTGTCCATTCTTACTCCGCCGAGAGCTTGCCCTGGGCCAAACAACTATATGATGCTGAGGTATGTGCAGCTTCACGCGAAGTCACGATCCAGCTCAACAGGGTACTCCCTACAGGCGGAAGCTAAACGCGAGAAGCGAGGTGTAAGGAGTTGTTCAGAATACCTGATTTCGTCAATTACTCACTGTGATACAGCTATGGAAAGACTACGAAGAAGAAGAGGCCAAGACTCCCGAAGTTGAACAGTCTAACGGCGAAGCAGGCCCTCTTAAAACCGAATATCTGGATGTCATTGTCAGTGATGTCCGTACCTCAAATGGCTTTGGTTTTTCCGTGCAGATCCTGAACACCGAAGGTAACCGGGCATTCTCTTGTCCACCTCTTCATATACTCATTGATTTTTGCTGGACAGGAATCGCGTCTCTGGAGAAGCTTATGCGTGATTTCTCTCTACACTACCGGGCTATGCCCCCCGTGCCCGGTTATACTCCGCGGTCGGGAGAGCTAGTCTCAGCTAAATTCTCTGATGGGTCGTGGTACCGTGCTAAAGTCCGCCGATCGTCACCTGTCAAAAAGGAGGCCGAGGTGACCTTCATTGACTACGGCAATCAAGATACCGTGGCATTTTCCAACATTCGCCCTCTGGATCCCAAATTCAGGTCGCTCCCTGGCCAAGCTCATGATGCACGACTGAGGTAAGTTGTAATGTGCCCTCTTTGTAATATCGCTCGACGTTTACGAGTGTTTTAACTAGTTTCATCAAACTCGTCGCGCCTGATAGCGAGTACTATCCCGAGGCTATCGACCGCTTTCGTCAACTCTGCGAAGGCAGGAAACTCGTCGCGAATGTTGACCATAGGGAGGGTCCTCTACTGCACCTGCGTTTGATGGATCCTACTGCAAACACTGAGCCTTTGGCCAGCATCAATGCCGACCTCCTCCGAGATGGCTTGGCTTCCATAGACCGCAAAGGATGCCGCTACTTGAGTTCTTACCCGGCTGTAGAGAAGAAGCTAAGGGAGTCCATCAATTTGGCTAAGCGGGAGAGACTAGGGATGTTCGAGTTCGGCGACGTGGAAGAGGACGAGTAGATTGTCCCCCTCAAAACGCCAGGACCATGTGTAAAGCTTTTGAATATATTCATTCTGGCGCTTCGCCATCCGATGACCTATTTGGTCATGCGAGGTCGTCGCTTGTATAATCACCCGCCTCCCAGCTCCCTGAATTCAAGCATCGGTGTCAAGTAGCATCGCTTTGCATACGGTGGTGAGCAGGTCGGCTTTAATATCTGTCATTTGTACATCGTAATCCATCACACCCTGCCGTTCTCGATGGCACCCGCTCAAGGCGGGTTCTGCAATGTGAACTTTCTGACCACAACGTTGTTGAAACCAATCGTTCAAGCAGTACGTCTTGGTGTTTTCCTATACAGAATACTGATCTGTGATATTGGCCCATGGTAGTCAAGAGCAAAAACAGTCAAGAGACGCGTTGTCAAAGTAGCATATTCCATCGCTTGTCTGGCACTGGGGTGGTGGGAATCGTTTCAGCCACATTTCCCATCATACATACCGCCAGAACTCACGGGAGTACCGCCCGAGCACTGGCACGTGTCGGTGACCGTCGAGCTCACTTGATAGTAGCATAAGTTGCTGGACGTGTTACAGTACTACGGTGATATGTTAGCCACTTGCAGGCATGAGGACAGTTGGGGAAATGCGTACTCCATCCCAAGTGGTTGCCTGAGCACCGAGGGCACTCAGCATGGCTACAAGGGCATATGTAGTGAGGGCTTTCATATCCAACTTAGGCGTTGAGCAGTTTAGAGGGCTTACACTCTCATTCCAAGCTGGATTTATATTCAACAGAAGGAACATTCCATTCTCCGACAGTCTTCTTGTCTTTGTATCGGTGAGTTGTTCCGCCATTTGACTAAGGTCATTCTGCAACCACTTCTCTGAGATGGAAATCCTTAGAGAGCTAAGCAGACACGTTTGGCCGGCAGAGCATCATCACGAGTGCTTAGAGGATGGCGCAGTAGGGCCCTCGAACTGCCTTCGCGCTCGATTATCTGATCTACTGAGAACAAGTTTCAGTGCACTGGCTGGCGGTGCACGCATTCATTCGTGGCTTGCGAAGCGGCATGAAATAATTGTGTGGCATGCCCTCGGCTTGTCACGGCACAGCCCGAACAACATGGAACTTAGCTGTCACCGGGCATCATCAGATCACTTACCACTCAATATGTGCGTTCAATTTATACGCTTTTATCAGGAACCTGCTGAGTATACTTTATGATAAAGCCTTGCAGCCGTGACTCTAGGACCACGCGTGGAGCTCAAGTTACCCACCGAGGGACTTGAATCAGAGTGGCATATAGCGTCTCCGGGAGATGACACTCGTCTAAATTTACTTTTGCAGCGTCTCAGACAGCCATGACATTTATCTTGCAGTCAAGTATTTCCCTTTCAGTTATTTGAGTCCGTCCCAGCTGAATGTACATGACTCGCCTTCTAATGTTCTCCAGCCAATTGGACCGAAAAACGTGAGCAATACACCCTCGCAGGCCCGGGGATTGCGACTGACTGCGATCTCGAAAATCAATCGATGAGGATCTACTTTATCACCGCACCTATTCATAGATCACTGGCGAGGGTAGCACAGCCAGGTGATACGCCTGCAGCATAGTCCTATGAAAAGTGGTGTTGGGCTGACATTGACCTATAGCGAGCAGTAGTATGGACCCCGACAAAGCTTCATGTCCGATATCAAAGGACAATTCCAGGGTGAGCGTCAAGACTCTACAATGCTATTTGACACCTCCATCAGCAGGTGCCGCTGCACGCACGACTTTGTGCCCAGTCGCATCGGCAGAGATGACATGCGGTGCGTAACCTGACATGAGGTGGGTGCTAGAGCCGAATTGCTTCTGCGTTTACTCCATGCCGACCGACTCGTGATGTTTTTCAGCAACGAGGGCGTTCACTCTACTAAGTCTTATTTAGGAGGCGCCGTATCAAGCCTACGTTCACTCGCAGCAATGTCTAACGCAGGAACCTCCGTTGATTCGGCACGACTTTCGCCGTTCAAGGACTTCTGCCGGTTAAAAGGCGACCTGACAAGATGGAGGTGTCGTTCCATCGAATCGAACAAACACATTAGTTCAGACAATAATGAAGTTTTTCAGTATCGCAATCGTTCCTTTGGTGTTCGCCGCTCTGGCCTCTGCGCAGGGCCCTTGCTACAACCAGTACGTGTCCCAGCAGTACTTACAGATGTTCGATGTTGACTAACATGGACGCACACAGGGCGGATCCTGACAACGGGATTGGTAACTATTGCTACTGCGAAGGCAACGGTGCGTGAAGCCACCTTACCTTGTTTTCATTTTCTGGTCTTGCTGCAAGTTAGTAGCTGAGATTGTTCTCTTAGGGTTGTGCTACACCAATCCGCAGGGCCAGTGCAACCCGGTCGGCACGCAGATTAATTGCCCGGAGTAAATCCCAAGAGAAGAAATAGGTAGTAAGACGGAAGAGATCAACTTGCAAGGCGTTTAGGAATATATTCATATGCACTTGATATACATATGTTAGCTCGAGGTGGCGAGCCTGACTGTGGTGCTTGCATTTAATGCTCCATATCCGTGCCCGATAACGTGAGTGTTCGTGATGGCTGTGGTACTCTGTAGATGCCTAGGATTGCTCGAAGTCATTAAGTGCTTCTAATAAGTTAGATAGGCTGCTGGATGTTGTGGCCACAGTAGGCACGGGTGCCACCTCATACAGACTAATCAAATTGATGCTGGCAGCTGCAAGTCGGGGGGGGGGGGGGGGGGGGGGGGGGGGGGGGGTGACTTAGGCAGGGGAATCTGAGATCTGCTGGTTAGAATCCGAGTCTAGCGCTAGTCAGTAGTTCGCAGCCATTACTGCACTAGGGCAGCAGCCACTAGGGAAGCACAGAGACGACACGAAGGGTCTAGAAACCCCCTTAGAAACGGGTACGGAACATGACCCAGAAGATGCGTGATAGTTGCTGCAGTTGTCATATAGTATGAGGAACATGAACGCTACCAGTCATGCTTGAAGAATACAGCCTCGTCGCGCTCAACGAACTAATTCACGCGTGCGAAGTTTCGTGTCGTATACTTGCGGTTTGGCTGCGACGCGCTAAATCACCAGCGACATCACAAGTGACACAGACTTAGAATCTCGGATCCAAGCAGTAAGGAGGGCGTGAATTATAGAATCATGAAGGAATTGGAATGCGCTTGCTTGACCAGACAACTATTGAATAGAAGACTCATACAAGTACAATGCACAACAGCTATCCAACCACACAGAAGACACGCCACGTCAAGTTCAGGCAACGCTCTTCTTCGCGATGACAAATTGTTTGGCAAGAGCCTAAGATCAGAGTAGGTAAGCACGAATCGGAGGCGGTACTTTAGACGCGCTCACGTCACTCTCGCCAGCCGACAGCTTAGCCTTGATAGCGGGCCATTGTTGACTCTCCTCCTCATCCGAGTGGGAGATGAAGGTGGTCACGGCCTTGGTGACAGCAGCATCATCCGAAGCGGAGGCACCAGCGACGAGGTTGTTGATCTCAGCGTGCTCCCCTACAATATACGAGTCAATCACTGCTCGCAGTATGCCTTCCGTAGGTGGACTTACGCTTATTGGAGGCGGCGCTCAGGCCAAACTTGGAGTAGTCCGCGTAGATCGAAGCGTCCCTATATGATAGTAAGTACACGGCCCTCAGGAGACCGGTCGGGAATACTCACTCAGCGGCGCTGTGAGCCTTTATCTCAGCTATGAGAGTCTGAGCGAGTGAGGTCTTCTCAGAGCCAGAAGCCGCCTTGTACTTGGCGAACAGGCTCTTGACATTGTCGTGGTCAGCTTTGATTTGAGTGAGGACGTCCATTGCTATGATATCTTCTTAAGCTGAGTGAGGGCTGTTGGGGATGGGGGAGCGGAGAGGACCCCCCTCTTATACCTTACCCAGATATACTGAGTCCGAGCGTCTGGACGAGATTTTCCTTAAGTCATCCCGTTAGTGCGCATTGTACGAGTTGGCCTGACCTCGCCTTGAGGCATGCAGATCAGAACTATTGCTGAGCCTCAGGCCGTTGCCCCTGTATGAGCTATTCTTGCCATCGTCTCCAGAAACTAGGCAGTTGCGATTGGACGTCCATCTGTAGTATTTCCGATCGAAAGGAGATCTTCTATCTGTACCGACCCAATCCCAGGATTTTGGTTTTGCGTCTTCTCAAAAGTCGAGCTTCCGGTGTTCGATGTGCGGGCGGCGAGGATTCCATCATTGCATCCGTCCCCACAAGGAGACGGGAGGATCGATTGCACCATGTCACCATACATACGCCATGGTACTATATCATTATGCCGCCGAAGTATATGCAGCGTGCCTTGAGAAAGGTCTAGGTCTTTGGAAGACTGCGGTGTATGCGGTCCGCGGTATAGCCCTACGGGATGCTTCGAAGCCATTGCATTAGTACGCCAGCCGTCAATGAGAGGCAGAAAGTCCGCCTGCTGTTCCTAGGACATTGTAATTCTGTACCGTGTCCTACCGAAGGCCCCCCAGGGGCAGAATTGTATGGTCGTATGACAGAAGGCATAGGCTGAACCGAGCTTCTCCCGGCATCGTTCCCGATGCACGTCGAGGTCATCTTCTCTTGACCGGACTTCCAGACTTATGACGCTACCAAAGAACGGGAAGATAACACACTATCGCCGTTCCTGAGTGAACTTGCGAGTGAACGCGATATTTCCAGATCCACGGCCAGATGACTCCAGATGAATCGTTTGCAGTAGTTGTGGTCAATAGTCATTGACGGTCCTGCACCTAGGTGGACAAGGGGCCATGTCGGCATAGGAACAGAAACCAGTCCTGGGCGTGCCGACGTGGCATATACAGTACCTGCCATAAGAATAAGATGCCTTACAGCAGAGTTTCCATTCCGTAAAAATCAGAGAAACACAGTCACGACTACGTTCTAAGCTTTGTGGACCAGCCATGATTCGAGGAACAGAGCAAGGTGCACAACAGAAGATGTCTCGACAATATGAAGCAAGCCGCTGCAGTGAGGATTGGAAGGTCGACTTCAGGTTGATGGCGTGGGAAACGCTAACAATCATTCAACTTGAACGACTCATGTTGCCACACAACATCTCGTCCGGTATTCCCCGCTGGTAAAAGTACTTTAGGACTTCCGCGAATAATGCTCTTAGGCTTGCTCCATTATCGCGTCAGTGAATGCCAGTGGTCCCCGCCCTAAATGCGTTCAAACGTTTGTACAGTGGATGGATTCAAGCTGCATCGTACACGCCCCATAATACACCCAGTATACACGACCGCAAGCAGAACCTCTCCAGAGCGAGATGAATGTATATACACTCAAGCAACGCTCTTCTTGGCGTTAACAAACTGCTTCGCCAGGGCCTGCATCGGAACAGCGTCAGGGGAAAAACTTCATCCAAGCGGGTAGGAAGGACACTCACGTCGCTCTCACCAGCGGAGAGCGTCGCCTTAATGGCCGGCCACTGCTGGGACTCCTCCTCGTCAGAGTGGGAGATGAAGGTAGTCACGGCCTTGGTCACGGCGGCGTCGTCGGAGGCGGAGGCACCGGCGACGAGCTTGTTGATCTCGGCATGCTCCTCTGGAAAAGCAAGTCCTGTCAGTACACCGTGAGTTACTCGCGGAAGCAGCATACGCTTGTTGGAGGCGGCGTTCAGGCCGAACTTGGAGTAGTCGGCATAGATCGACGCATCCCTGCAGACGGAGGGGTCAGCTTAACATCGTCCAGGCGTCTGAATGGAAACCTACTCAGCAGCGCTGTGGGCCTTCATCTCAGAGATGAGGGTCTGAGCGAGCGAGGTCTTCTCAGAGCCGGATGCCGCCTTGTACTTGGCGAACAGGCTCTTGACGTTGTCGTGGTCAGCCTTGATCTGAGCGAGGACGTCCATTGCTATGATATCTCCTTTAGCTGAGTGAAGGCTGTTGGGGATGGCGAGCTCAGAACAAACCCCCTCATTCTTATACCGCTCAGACGTTGCGTGCACCTATCTCTCGGGTACGTCTGCCACTTCAGAGTTAAGACAACACATGACTATAGTGGAAACAGAGTAGTGTGCGCTTCGGGCTCTCTCGGTGTTGATGTACATGCAGCAACTCGGTCTGTGCGATTGGACAAACCCTCACGATGGCCTATCACCCCGATATGGTCAAAAGCAGGTATAACCTGCCACCTTTCCTCGGACCCAATCCCCGTCGTGCTTTAAGGCTTCTTTGCCACCGTGAATAGGAGAAGCCCGCAGCGTGAATCGTTGCTTTGATCGTACGTGGTCACGTCGTTCCGCGTCCTTGATTCATCGGAGGGAAGCACTTGGAAGGCAACCAGGATAAGTGCGTTCTAATGCGGCCAAATTCAGGTCTGCCCCATCCGCTTCACTGCCTCGTCGGTCTTGCATCATCTTTTCGCGAGCAAGATGGTATGCCATCTATCGAGGATGACCACGTCTAACTCAGTGGCCTGAGAGGCCCGAATCCCGAAACCTTAACTGGTTAGACGGACGGAGCCAACTGACAGATTTTGACTAGCATACCCGGCCAGACCCCGGTGGCTATACGATAAGGCAGAGACACTCAATGGTTAGATGAAGGACCGCAGTACGTAATAGGAAATTCATCTTAAGTTATTTGTCTCGTCGACGCAAGTATCTTTCGCTATTCACTGACATTATTAGTACAATTAGTACAAGAACGTGATACTTTATACAAGGAGAGACAAGACAAAAATAGTATATGCGACTATATTTGAGACCTAGAGTTCGTCATCCCTTTTGAATCTCTTCTCAATAACGCCGTCCTCGAGCTTATACCCATTCGTACGGAATAGCTTGGAGTGCAAGAACGGCGTCGTGTCGTATATGTCATGTTCCTTCGCCTGAAGAGAATACTTCAGCCGGAGGACACAATCGCAGACCACGGGGGACTTACCCGTTCATCCAGTTCAGCCACCTTCACGGTCACAAGCTCGGGCTGCTGATACCGCTGCAATTGGTAGAAACGTGCTTTCTCCTTGACAATCTGACCAAGGATGAAGGCCAGCAACTCTTCATGGTCCCTGGCTTGCGTGAGGTATTTCCGGAAACCCTAAAATCAAAACGTCAGCCTCCCCAAACAACTAGCCAAGTGGTCGCAAAACGCACTCTTTCCAGCGTCTTCTTGATAGACATCTTCTGGGCGTTCACGAAACTACCGACGGCCACTGAGATGGCTAAGTCGATATCGTCCCCCCGGACGTACTCTCTGAGAGCCATCTTTGCACTAGCCTCCGCCATACGAATCATACTCTCTAGATGACGGACAGTGATCGGGTACGATCCAGTGGCCATCGACTCGCGCCTCAAATCAGAGAACAGGCGAGACAGTTTCTCCTGGTCGAGGTCATACAATTTCGGGCGGACCTTCTCCCTGGCGTACATGATATACTTGCGCAGGACATCCTGGGGAATGATCTAGGTAACAATGCCAGGTTAGCTATGCAGAGGATGCAAAGTGTCACATTGCACTTACATCTGCGTCCAGCGTCGTGCCAACGTCCATTTCATCCTTGTCCGCCTCGAACTTGGGATGACTCCGGAGATGACTGCCGACGACGAATCTCGCAAGCAGCTCATCCTGTACGGGATCGACAGCGTCCTTGACGACACACAAGACATCGAATCGAGATAGAATGGGTTCAGTCAACTCAACGTTTTGCTGGAAGGGTATCGTCGGATTATACCGTCCCCTGATAGGGTTGGCTGCAGCGACGATAGCGCACCGTGCCTGTAGGGTAGTGACGATACCGGCCTTGGAAATGGATATCGATTGCTGTTCCATAGCCTCGTGGATCGATGTTCGGTCGGCATCGTTCATCTTGTCGAACTCATCGATGAGACATACGCCCTTGTCTGCGAGGACGAGGGCTCCTCCTTCCAGCGTCCACTCGCGCGTGACCGGGTCCTTGCGTACGCTCGCAGTCAAACCGACAGCGGAGGCACCCTGCCCAGTGGCGTAGACGGACCTATGCGCGGTCTTCTCCACGTACTTCAGGAATTGCGACTTTGCGGTACCAGGGTCACCGAGGAGGAGCACATTTATGTCGCCACGGATCCGATGTTTCCGGTTGATATCTTTCGGAACACCGCTGAATAGTGATAACGCAAGGGCTGTCTTGATGTCCTCGTGGCCGTAGATGGAGGGAGCGATAGACTTGATGATACGTTTCCGTATGCGTTCGTCACGAGCCATGGCACGAATCTGCTTTTCGTCTTCTTCGGTGAGACGGAAGGCGGCGAACTGATCTTCCTTCTTGTTGATGTGGTTCGCCTCGATGATCGTGGAGAAGACCGGGAACCCGTTCTTAGAATTCAGAGATGCGTCGAAATTGTTGCGGTAGATTCCCGTAACTTCCTTTGGGGGGAACATCCTCAGTAGCGTAATATAGACAATGAGGCGAAAACGTACAATCTCCTCTCCAGGTTTTGCAGTGTCAATAAGATCCCAGAGCAGAACGACCTCACGGTGTCGAGGAAGGCGACCCGCAGGCACGGAGCCAGGTGATTCCTGTAATGTCATTTTCTGATAGTTTCGGTATATCGTCTAGGAGGAACCACATGAGTCCTGGACCAGGAATCATGCATCCACCTTTACCTGCTCCGAGTTCACTTGGAATGGTCCCTTGCCCTCGCAATTCGGGCAATAACTGATCTTCACTTCTCTCGTAGAATCTTGGTAGAACGGCCCCAGCACGGCACCACATTTCTTGCAGTCAAATTTGACGTATTTCAGCTGGGGGAAGACGCCAGTCCTCCTCGTGACTACTCCAGTAACCCGAACGAGGTTGTTCAGGTCCGCCCTCCGGAGATCCCGCAAGGAAGTAACCAGTGGAAGGTCGGTAATCCGCACGTGGACCTCGGAATGGATGCGTTCGTAGTTAGGATAGTACACGAGAATGGCGGTTAATGCGACTTCATCGAAAATCGCTAGCATGGCGCTGGGGGAGTTTGTCAGGAAGTACGCGAGAATGGGCTTTGAGAGGGCAAGATGGAGGTATGAGACCTCAAGAGACTCGGAGTTGTCTGACAAAGGCCCTTATGAGAGGCAAGAATAGAAGCTAGACGGAGAGACTCACTCTCTCCAAGGTTTCGTATGCGTTGACCGTATACGGACGCTCCGTGTTCGTCGACGTACGTCATCAAGAAGTGACGGAAGTGTTTCACTATGGACCGGCGAACACGCTCATTTGCGATCCATTCGATGATGGACTTCGCCTTGATGTCTCCTAGTTGCTCCAAAGGAATCTCCTGAAGGGAGCCGAAGTCAGTGCCCATTTGCTCGCAGATATGGAGGAACAACGCACGTCTTCGATACCGTCCATATCATCCTGGTCTCTACGCTCGTCATACTGCCGACGTGTCCGTTTCTTCATGCCTGATAGGAGCCCGCCAGTGATATCGTCTTCACTATCGGCGAGACCGTCGCTGCCCAATAAATATTCAGGCATACGGCTTCTGCCTGCAGCCCTGCGACCACGTCGCCCGCCTCTCTCTAAGCGGTCTCTGCGTGCCATCTGGACCTCGGCGGCACGACGTGCGGCGGCGTCCAAGTCGTATTCTTGCTCGTCGTCCAGTCCAGTGTCGGAATATTGGTCCAAAAGCTCATTCTCCCCGTAGTCACTGCGCGTTATCAGCTTGAGATGGGGAGGCTCCAGAGTAGCAAAACACGCACTCCTGAAGATTGGCGCCGAAGAGGTCCTCTCCATCTTCTTCTTCCTCTTCAACATCCTCATCGACATCGCATACTGCGTCACGTTCATCTAAGCTGTCATCCGTATCTGAAAAGGGCGCAGGGGGTGACGAAGGCGGAAGTGATGATTCCGAGTCGCGTCTCGTCGGTGTTGGTCGCGCTGGGGGCGATGACCCTGCGGCTCGCGACGGGGACCGAGCGCGCTTATTTCTGCGAGGAGTTTGGGACTACATATCGTTGGCAGAGCTTTTGTTACAGCAGAAGACTGCATCTTACCATGTTAAATGTTGAGGGACTTGGTGCAGTGTCGATGCGTCTTTAGCGACGCGACGCGTCTGACAGACGCGCTAATTTGTGCGGACTTTGAAAGCGTGTTTCTCCCACGCCACTGCCAGTGCGGTGCATTTCGAAGTCATGCATGTGGTTGCAGCTGGCTTGCAGATGTCCGGGTCCTCATCCAGTTGTAATCGTTGGTGCTACGAGATACGTTCAAACGATCCAAGATGTGTTCCCTCATTCCTCTCTCGCGTCTGTGATTCATTCTCCTTCGGACAAACAGTTTCTCAAGCCGACCGACTCGCGCATGGTGACAGTGCCTACTATCCCGGCCATCGCTGGGGCACTTGGCCTCCGCATTCTCATGCGAGTTCTGTGGACTTCGAACAAGACTTGGGTCTTAAAACAGTTTATTGCGCATCTCCCTCGAGATCGCCGCTCATAACGTCCGAAGCAAAGGTCACACGCAAAACAGGTCACTGTGCCTTAAGCTTCCTAGAAGGAATGCGGATATCCCCAATTCTTGTTCCCATTCTAGTGTCAGTCACCATAAATACAGCACTTCCTTTTGAATATGTGATTTTGCTGCTGCGAGTTCTCCTCGGGCAAGGTTTTACTCAGGAACGGGGTCAATCAGGTATCTCCGCCTCTTCCACATCAAGGTGGCGTTATCCGGGACACCTTTTGATCTTGTTCACCACACGACCATTTGCTTTTATAATGTTATGACCTGATAGGTACCCTGTTTATTGCGCATATGGGAAGCCATCCTTCCCCGGACTGTCTTGCTTGCTTGGTCGTCCCACTCGGGGCATTCGCTGCATTAGCCCTAGTTACTTCTGCGAAGAGGTGATCTTCCAGCGACCCAGATCATTGCCGACCTTCAGCACACGACATGGATCACGACTGGAACATATCATCCGCTGAGACTGGTTCGTTCCATCGTTTGTTATCGTACTAATGCTCATATGACCTCGGCTTCTGTTAGGTACCTATGCCTGCGCAAGGTTATAGATGTTGCAATGTGCCCAGGCTGTCCGATGTGGCGACTGGCGTAGAAGTTCGCCCGATATCATAGCTTCGATGCCTGGAGCCCGAAGAACGAAACCCGGGACTTCGCATTGGTTCGAAGAAGAGACAAGAATTCCTCGAGATCTTGTCTATCTCCAGCACTGCGAGACGTCATACACCCCTGTCCAATCACAGCTTGGCTGTTTCTCCAATACCTTTATGGATCCCGTTTTCGGTAACGCACACAGAATGGACGAAGAGACAGCTGCAACAGTGTCCGTATTGTCTCCTGCCACTGATCATGTCACGGTACACATTTCGCAACACTCACTACGAGGAGGACAGACTAAGACGGATATAGACTCAGGCAATGCGTCGATAGATAAAAGATAGGGGGACTGCACTCATTCTCTCCATCCCAAACAGCCTTCACTCAGCTCTAGGAGGTTAACTTACAATGGACGTCCTCGCTCAGATCAAAGCCGACCACGACAACGTCAAGAGCCTGTTCGCCAAGTACAAGGCGGCGTCCGGCTCTGAGAAGACCTCGCTGGCGCAGACCCTCATCTCTGAGATAAAGGCTCACAGCGCTGCTGAGTAGGTGTCCATCCATGGCGGCTTGATTTGTGCTGACCCATTGGTCGGTAGGGATGCATCGATCTACGCCGACTACTCCAAGTTTGGCCTGAATGCCGCCTCCAACAAGCGTAAGTGTCACTTTTCGGCGCGTCTCGTCGGCACTCGTTGATGTATTTACTGCAGAGGAGCACGCCGAGATCAACAAGCTCGTCGCCGGTGCCTCCGCCTCCGACGACGCCGCCGTGACCAAAGCAGTGACCACCTTCATCTCCCACTCTGATGAGGAAGAGACCGAGCAGTGGCCCGCCATCAAGGCCAAGCTGTCCGCTGGCGAGAGCGACGTAAGCCCTTCTACCATCCAGCTCCTGCTATTATCCTTACACATCCCCGCTATAGGCTCTCGCTAAGCAGTTCGTGAACGCTAAGAAGAGCGTAGCTTGAGTAGTTCGCGCTGGGCTGAGGTGGCGATTTGCGCTTGCTGTACGATTTTCTTGTACGATAAGGTGCCCAATGGATTGGATCATGCGCATAACACCGATGATGAGGAGTACGCGACTGCAAAGCACGCCGTCTGAGATAAATGAGGATTCCCGTACTTCTTTATCTCTACGCCGGTTGGGAAGGGTCTTGTTAAGGGTTTCTTCTGCTCAGCACTCAAAATGCCACTTCAAAGTACGGACGTCGGTTCTCACGCTACTGTTCTGTGCGAGTTCAGTCAACAGTTAAGCGCTGGCCACACTTGAATGCTCCCTTCCACCAGCTCCAACGGACCTGCGATGTGGTGATAGATATTCTAGTCTCCTATTGAGTGAAAGAGGTCCTTGAATGCTCTCCCAGTACTGATCTTATTTAAGACTGAGATCCACGCCTCGTAATTAACATCAATCGCGACTAGCGGTGGAAATCGGAAACTGTCCGACTCGTGCTTATAAACATTGTACATGGTACTCGTCTCCGGAAATGGCTCGCATCTGACGTGTTCTGTTGTTCCCTAAGACTGACCCTTAAAGAGTTGTACCGCTTACGACCTTGAGCTGCGATGTTCTCGTCCATTTCCATAGCGCAGCTACCGACCTATAGCTCTCCGCTTTTAAAGGTCGTATCCCTGTCCATACTTTTTTCCTGGGTCCCTTCAAGGAATCTGTTTTCAGCTTCTAGTACTCTCCTCAAGGTCTGCGACGGCATGGTCAGCCACGGCTATTGTGAGTAGGCTGCTCAAGTCCGAGGCTACGCATGCAGACGACTGGATTTTACTAAACCATGGACCGGCCGCCAGGGAGAGCAGAGGCGACCTCCATGTAACCGTCTCAGACCTGGACTACCTTGTTAAGGCATCTTTGCCCCAAGGAGACTTCTGTCGACAGGGTTTACTCAGGAACGGCCTCAGTCAGATAGCTGCTCGTGCACGCCAGGATCCCCGATGCCAAAGTAAGCCGATGCCAAATTAAGCCGGGAGAAGGCAACGTCTCTCGGAGGTGAGGTGGTCTGTAGGCTTATGACGCAAGGTGTTCTTTCTAATTTGTCACATTCCTCCGAGATCTGAACGACACTTGCTACGTTCAAGTACTACCTCTCGATCGCCTGCTGCGCGAGCACGTCTCCCGCGCCGAACTTGAAGTAGGACTCGACAGGTGGGCACCACACTCAAAGGCTCAGGACTCACATGTTCGGAATGTTGCAATCTAACGACTTTCACGATCAGTCTGTATCTAATAAAATGGTGATCGTCCAGACCATGTCTAGGGCAAGCGGCATAATGCTCTCCTCTCGATCTTCACTCCTGATCATAGTACCTACGAAGACATGAAACCGGTGCCCTGGCATTGGGTCGGAGCAGATAGAAGATCCATGTCAGATCGGAAGCACTACAGAGGGAGGTCCAATCACGTATTCGGTATTTCTGGAAGTAGTATTACGACCGTATGACAGGGCTTGCCACCGGTTAGGAGTTCTATCGAGCTACAATGCCCATGATGTACCACTTGGTTCGGTCACGCTCAGCTTGAAGACTGCGCCTCGATGGGATGACTTCATGCATAATCAGTTGTAGACCTCGGGCGCACTAGATCTGCTCAGGTATAAGAAGGGTGCGTCTGCAACAAATTTCTCCATCCCCAACAGCCTTCACTCAGCTTCAGGAGATATCACAGCAATGGACGTCCTCGCTCAGATCAAGGCGGACCACGACAACGTCAAGAGCTTGTTCGCCAAGTACAAGGCTGCGTCTGGCTCTGAAAAGACCTCGCTCGCTCAGACTCTCATCTCTGAGATGAAGGCCCACAGCGCTGCTGAGTAGGTCTTCATCCAGAGATTGCAACGATTGTATGCTTATTCTACTTCCGATAGGGATGCGTCGATCTACGCCGACTACTCCAAGTTCGGCTTGAACGCCGCCTCCAACAAGCGTAAGTTGCTCTTGGATTACGACCCCGGTAGCACTGCTGACGCTTGCATTGCAGAGGAGCACGCCGAGATCAACAAGCTCGTCTCCGGCGCCTCGGCTTCCGATGACGCTGCTGTCACCAAGGCCGTGACCACGTTCATCTCTCACTCCGACGAGGAGGAAAGCCAGCAGTGGCCCACTATCAAGGCCAAGTTGTCTGCTGGCGAGAGCGACGTGGGTTCACATGTAGCAGAGATTCATCGATTCATGCTTACCTACCTGATTCATAGGCTCTTGCCAAGCAATTCGTCAACGCGAAGAAGAGCGTCGCCTAAACTTGGCGGCGACATATCTTCTGGATGGTCGGATAGCTGTTGTACAATGTACTTGCCAGTGTACGGGTGTCTTGTACCGATAGTGTCTGATCAATCAAATGAATTTCCAATTCCTCGTGACCTTGTCATCCTCGCATTTCAGGCAGGTTTCTGACTTCGACAATGCTAGTGCGGTCGTGTAGGTACTGCCTGGCCATGGTTCTGCTGTGCAATAGCAGTGGGTGACCGGTGACCACTCAGTTTCAACCCAATGCGTGACGTCACGCGTCAATCATGTCGAATGTGTAACGTCCGAGTCTCGCCTAAGGCTGCGTTCGGATGCATGGCCGCGTCGCGGCCAACGACGCCAAAACAGTCTTTCAGCCAATCGCCTCTCACTAAAAGCACTGCCACGCGGCCGAGCTGGCTGTGGCGCCTTGAGAGCGCCGCGACGCGGCCGTGCAACCGAACGGAGCCTAACTTCCCCTTGACGCGCCTCAGCATCCGTACAGGAACGAAATCTGTATAATTTGGGGCTGTGTTGTCTATCTGACTCTTCTATACTAGTAGGGTACGCCTGACCCTTGCTATATTCTCACCCTGCCTTCGCATGCCAGTGGGTGTGGACAAGAGTATTTATTCCAGTGGGAATGAGCGTAGAGTCCGGTATTGACGTCAGAACATCACTGCACTGGGTTGAAATCCAGAAGACTGACTCGTACCTGACATGAGGACACGGGGATTGGGACCCTCAGGCGGGTTCGTACGGGACTGCCTAGATCTTTCAGATTTTCCAGTGCTTTCGATCATCTACCTGATCCACGCAAGCTTCCCCGTCATAGTATTGGATTGAGGGTGACTGGCCCGTTCCTATCTTGTCCAAAAGCAGGAATAGCTTTCGAACATGAAAGTGGACACGAAGAAATAACTATCTGGTCCGTAAATCGAAGCTGTAGAAGGGTTGACGTTTAGGATACCCTCTGTTCCCTCATGGATACTGAACATCAGCTGGGTCTATCATAGCCGCTCTACCAGATGAGGAATTCCAGAGTCTAATAATTCTGTTAACCAGGGCTGATAAGCGGAAATAACCTGATCGTCCAAGCCCGTAAACAGTGAAGCTGATATAGTACGGTCTTCACGATCAAGGTTCAGATCTAGAAAGCCGGAAGGTCTACGAAGACACGAAGCATAGGCCCTGGTTTGGTTCGCACGAGAACTTGCTCTATTCTGGATCTTGACTGAATCGGGACTGGGCGAGCGTCATTCCGTCCCAGCCAATGCCCGAGGCTACATTTCTATATATCCACCATACGTCCGCATTGGGATACAAGCTACAGCTTTATGCAAGGGGCACGAGAAACAACGTCCGTGCTGCGACTACTCAGAGGTCATCCCAATGCCTCTCCTCGACTCATTTCGAAGGTGTCAATATCCGCCGGCTGCAGATACTCGACATATAAAAGGAGAGGGCTCGAGCATCGACTCCTCATCCTTCCAACAGCCTTCACTCAGCTTCAGGAGATATCGCATTAGCAATGGACGTCCTCGCTACCATCAAGGCTGACCACGATAACGTCAAGAGCCTGTACGCCAAGTACAAGGCTGCGTCTGGCGCGGAGAAGACGTCGCTCGCCACCACGCTCATCACCGAGATGAAGGCCCACAGCGCTGCTGAGTAGGTTCCTCCACAATATGCTCGACGTCTCACTCACCGTACTTCGCAGGGACGCCTCCATCTACGCCGACTACTCCAAGTTCGGTCTCAGCGCTGCTTCCAACAAGCGTGAGTTGTTGTAGGCATAACAAAGGCCCGCTCGTACTAACCATGATGTGACAGAGGACCACGCTGAGATCAACAAGCTGATTTCCGGTGCCTCTGCTTCCGATGAGGCTACCGTGACCAAGGCTGTGACCACCTTCATTGCCCACTCCGACGAGGAGGAGAGCCAGCAATGGCCGACTATCAAGGCCAAGCTGTCCTCCGGCGAGAGCGACGTGAGACCTCGTGGATGAGCTGGTTGGACGCATACTAACGAGTTACGTGCAGGCTCTTGCGAAGCAGTTCGTCAACGCGAAGAAGAGCGTTGCCTGAACGTCGGGATGATGATGACAGTTCTGGCCATGGGAGGATCGTATTGCGGCATTGTAATGTAGCTGTATGATTCTTGTGTAAGATATGGGTCGGAATGCATGCGTGCATCGTCACTTATTGTCAACTATCCCCTTCGAGTGGAGGCCCACAGCCGAAGGACACATGACCGCTTTGACTAACTCCGTATCCCGAGGTTCGCCTTTTCACCGATATACGCTGGGTTTTATTCCATGCCATATGGAGGACGACATCATGCAGCGCCATTTAGATGGTAACAGGCGTGCACTTGCTCTGCGTATGAGCTGGACACGAGGCGGTTACCTTGGTGGCGGACACGACCAAAGAGGAAAGCGGGATACCGAACGTGGTTAGAGATAGGCAAGTGTGGCGCCGAGTCGGATGAGATCGAGCTACACACTGAATTGCAGCGGAACAACAGCATAATGAGCATTAGCGGCCAGTCGGCCGCATGACTGCTCTTATATGAGGAAGGAAGGTAACACCTGGTCGCCCACCTGCAAGCCTGTCGCCATCATGCCCAAAGCCGCCCGGTCAGCGTCTCAGGCTCAAGCCTCTGCCAATGTTGCAGGGAGGACCCAAAATCAAGGGAGTTTACAAGGGGGGTCGTTATCAGGCGGTATGCCCGAAAAGAGGCGAGCATCGATCCGAGCGATCGAGGTCGACCATAGCGATCCCCGGACCTGGCGGGCATCCAACGTTCCAGAGGGGAAGAAGGTGGGCCTAAGCGTACAGCTCACTGGTGACACCCTACGGATACAATTTATCCTCCACCTGGTGCGCAGGTGAACAGGACCGATGTCTCGAAGCTTTACCGACTAAAGACGGAAGAGATTGAGCACCTCAATTACGACGCCGAAAGGTGAGCGATATAATCCTGCGCTATAAAGAAGTATCTGCTGACGAAGTATATCACTCAGTAAAACGGTCTATGTCAAGGGCGGAATCCGCATATCGACATCATACCTATACAGTGAGCGCGAAGTAGAGCGCATAGCCTGGGCGAAGCACGGAGGACCTGAGGGATTCGAAGCATAGTGAGTGTGCTCCTACATCATACGTTCAATACTCAGATAGCCTGCGAACTTTGGTAGCCTTGATCAATTAGAGGAGCGATTCCACAACAGGAAGGTAAAAGAGAATTCAGACAAGAGCAAAAAGAAAAGGACAAAGAAATTCCCGAGACCATTTCGATACAAACCTGTGGAAGGCCAAGCGGCACTCGCTCAACCATCCGTTCCCCAGATTCAAGTCCCGCAATCCGTCGAAGACGTTCTATGCCTTGGGACCGCTGGCCTAGAGCAAGTAAAAGCTGTGTTTCCTGGGTGGCTCTGGGAGCGATGCAATGAAGCCCTAGATGGCACAATCGACCCCACTCTGCCTGATTTTTGTTCCTTGTACGGGGTGAGACACAACCGGGAGAGGGCGCTGCGAGCATTTGCGCAGGAGTTGATGCCGACGTACCCTGCGAGACCTATCGGGCGCCTAGGGAGTTCTCGGTCTGTTGATAACCTACGGCGGATAATGCAGGAGGCGCCGAGAGTTCCTCGGGATGGCGACATGGTCACCCGTATCCCGGGCATCGAGAGAGATGGACCAGATAACGACGCTGTCGTGAAGTACTCGTGGAAGCCTGAATACCTCGAGAAACTTTTTCGAGCGTTAATTGAGGTTATCGAAGAGCATGGGGACTGCGACGGTGGCTGGAAAGATGCTCGATGGGAGGTATATGACACGGTACGCACCGTCCAAACCAAAATACACATTCCTAACATACTGTATATGACGGTCAGTACAGCAAGTGCGTAGAAGGACTCACCGTCCGCGAAATCGACAGGGCGGATTGCTGGGAAGATCAGGCAAACGATTGGTTGCTCGGTCGCTTGCTCGTCGACAAGGATTACCGGCTCCGTGGGAATAGGGAGCGGTGCGACAGCGGCATGGTATTTAATGCTATTTTACCCATGGTTGACCAGCCCATACTGGGTCATTAGGTGTCCGGACACCTAATGACCCAGTACGGATCCGCAGCTAGCTTGCTGAACGTGTACTTACTTCCCTGCGCGATGTGATACTGTGATAGCATGTGTTACAATCGAGATGTGACAGAAAGCGCGTGACGTCACGCGACTTTCCATGCTGTCGTGCATACCTGCTGTCAAATCAGTATTAATATTGTGTCCAGCTTTGCCGGGCTGCGTTGCCGCTACATAACCTACCTATTTCATTGTTCCATCGGAATTGATTAGAAGGTTTGTTTGAGCCGTCCCATTGAATAACAGGGACAATCTTGCAATCACTAGGAACTGAAGACCATCTCCGAAGACTCCCTCCACGTCTGACTTACAAGGGATATTACTTTCTGAGGCCAACTAGCTGCACTGGTTCTGCAAGGCATTCGGGAGGGCGCGTCGCGAGATAGCTGACCCCGTCTGAAATCAAAGTTCACTCAGGAACGGTGTTTGTTGGGCTATCATCAGTCTCCGAGACTTCGCGCCTCAATGGTCGTTGTGCCTTGTTGGGCAGACGCCATACGAACATATAACTGAATGGAAGTGAAAATCAAATAATATTCGGCTCTGCTGGGCATTCGGATCTCTCGATTTCTCGGGATGCCGTCTCGATAGGCGGTCATAAGAGCTCGGACACAGAATGAAAATATATTGTTCCACTTACCATAGCTGCACGCTGGCCGGCAAGCCTATGATGAGTCCGTCGCTTGTTTTGATCACCACGGCGTGGCTGTAGTGGAAGCACCATGGTATAGGGCGAAGACCTGGATAGCCTGCGATTCCGCCACCTTCATGTGTGCACTTCTAGAAGCGAGTGAGCGCCTCTCTCATGGCACCGATATGTTGAGAGAAACTACTCTTCAGCAGACATCCACTCCTGTTGAAAGGTACCGGTGGTGCAGCGGGTACTGCCTTAACAACACTCCTTGGATTCTTCCGCTTTTGCATTATTTTTGTCAGATGACGTGCTTGAGCACCTGCGCCGTCCTTTTTCGAGACGTTCGCGACACGGATCGTCGAAGCTATATGGAGACGTGGCAGTTAGTACGAGCTCTTCATGATCGAGCTTCAGAAGCCTCGAAGGTGCAGCTCTGCGAAGCCTCCAAATTGGTATCCTGGGATTGGTTCGGAGGAAGATGCATCGTTCTGGATCTCTGACTGGAAAGAGTATAGGCTAGCGTCATCCTATCCTATCCAATCAGAGACGTGGTGTTTCTCGAGGGACCGTCAAGCATCCACTTCGAGCATAAGCCACAACTTTGGCGCAAGGCGGGACGAGCAACAGTGTCCGCGCTGGTCTACTCAGTGCCCGTGTCACGATACACCTCCTGATGTGCCTCGGGCAACCTAACTACGAAGAGCCAACGATGCCCAGCAAGTAGGCTCAGCCGAGTCCTGGATGTATAAAAGACGTTGCGTATCTCTCGATTTCAGCATCCTCCCAACTTCACTCGAACTCAGGAGACACTCACACCGCAATGGACGTCCTCGCTCAAATCAAGGCTGACCACGACAACGTCAAGAGCTTGTTCGCCAAGTACAAGGCGGCGTCCGGCTCTGAGAAGACGACTCTCGCTCAGACCCTGATCACCGAGATCAAGGCGCACAGTGCGGCTGAGTGAGTCTGAAGGATCCGAGCAGCCGATAGGGCTATACTAACACCTTGTCAGGGATGCGTCCATCTACGCCGACTACGCCAAGTTCGGCCTGAACGCCGCCTCCAACAAACGTGAGTTGCTCAGCGAGAGCATGACCAGGGGGTACTGACAAGACTTGCTTTTCCAGAGGAGCATGCCGAGATCAACAAGCTCGTCGCTGGTGCCTCCGCTTCTGACGACGCCGCTGTCACCAAGGCCGTCACCACCTTCATCTCCCACTCCGACGAGGAGGAGTCTCAGCAATGGCCCACCATCAAGGCCAAGCTGTCCGCTGGTGAGAGCGAAGTGAGTACCCCTCTCACCGTGTATAGACCCCTTTTATAACATTTCCGGAATGCAGGCCCTTGCGAAGCAATTCGTCAACGCTAAGAAGAGCGCTGCATGAATGTCGGGATAAGCCTGGCGTCCGGAGGACTGGATGGCGGTGGCCTCCTACTGTTGTACGATTCTGTGTACGATATGGTGTCAATACATTGGGATCATGCGCATGAATGTGCTTCGTCGGGCGAAAGGTTTATGGTCAACACCGGTACCATCACCAGCCGCGGCTGCACTGCTAATAGATCTAAGTCATGACCGTTCACATAATGGAATAAGGCCCACGAGTCTTGCGCACCTTAATGGTATCCCTCCCATACCGCCGAACGGATACCAAGGTCCAAGGGAGTATTAAGTCGTAGGCGTATATTGTTGAAACCGACGAGCGAAAGAGTCCGAGGTTGGTCCTGGTTGGTCCGGGGTACCGGCAATTCAACGAAGCCGAGCGTTGTGGGCGCTTACTGGGATGGACCGTCTCGTCGCGTATCTGGCCGCTCTGTCCGACCCTCGCTTCCACCATCTCTAATCGTCGACCGGGCTGTCATCGATCTTCTATGCTCGGGTTGTGGCTGCTGAGGCTGTTGACTCACAACATTAACTGGATGGAGCTAAAGACCTACCAGTGTTAACTACTGTGGCTGCCACGCCGGCGTGCATTCGGAGACTTTCAGCAACTACATCTTTGTCCAGTTATTGGGACCATGGTGAAGCAGTTGTACGGGTTGCTACTGAAAGCGGTAACTGAGATAACTTATGGCCCCTAGAAGGGGTCGTGGCGACGGTGGCCAAAGCGTCGTTGTTCTGTGGCGTGTCAAGATCCTTGCCGGTCAATGCGTCCCCTTGTACTGATGAGCCACTCGCGAGATTAGCAATGTATAAAGGTGACAATGGACTGCCTTGGTCCCAACGACATTCGCTACTTGTTTGAACCACCTTACCTCCGGGCGATCCTGTACTTGACTGCAGTACTGCTGTATGCGCGGAACCTCTGGACCCATTATGACCCTGAGTCTGAAGCGACCTTGTGACGAAGACGGACCAAGCGGTCGTGCTGAGGGAACTCGACCTTTCAAGCGCGTGTGTGCCGAGGAATGCCCATCGCTACTTACCCCAGTCGCAAGCGAGGAGGATTCTACGGACTCTCCTGTAACCTCCTGCTCGAGGTCGAAGCCTGCGCCAGAGCTAGTGTGCGGAGTGGAGATGAAAACCCACCCACCCCGCCACCCCTCTCTGTACTTCGACGATGGGGACATCACCCTCCGTGCTGAATCATTCATATTCAGAGTACACAAGAACAAGCTAATGAAAGGATGTCGTTTTTTCGAAGACATGCTCGGCTTAAAGTGCTCTGACGCGACGGAGAAGACGGAAGACAGCCTATCCATCGATGTTGGCGTCATCGAGAGTTCATGGGACATGACCGTCTGGCTGGCGGAGATATATAGCGATAAGTTAGTCTTCATTGGGTTCATTTTGCGCATAACGGTTAACCTGACCCTGCTACTGCGCAGTGGGTATTTCAAGGAGCTCGTCGAGGGTAATGGCCTTAAAGTTGCGGCATCTCTCTTTCACCTGGCGGATAAATGGGATCTGCCGGAATACTTTTTTCAAGCGAAAGATATCCTGGTGAACATCTTCCCGGATAATTACGACGAATGGGTTACCAGGTCTCCGCGCATTACGACAGCCATGGCGTTCCGGGCTATCCCTATCTGCAAACAGTACTGCCCACACGGCCTCCCTGCAGCATACTACACGGCTTCCCTCGTACATCTGGAAGTGATCATCAGCGGCACTCGGGATGAAGAAGGGACCCTTCTGACGCTCAGTCTTGAAGACCAGGTCGCAGTTCTCCGAGGGAAGCTGCAGCACTGTCTCGTGCGGCGCGAGCACACGTATCATGGCTTGCGGGGCGATTTTACGGCGTTGTTTAATAGGCCCCACCAAGGAAAGGGTGGGCTCCCCTGCCGTGCTCGTCTCAGCAGAATGTACTACCATCTGGATACGATCTTCCATTACCACCAAGGCTGCCTAGATCCATTGCCGGAGTCCGCTGTTCAAAGACTCTTCGCTAGTGTGTGTTCGACTTGCGCGAACATGATCAAAGACGAATTGTGGATCGGCACGAGGAGCGCTTGGGACTGCGTCCCTGACATGTTCGGGTTGCAGTCTTGGTTGCATGTGCGCATGGACCAGCGAGAGATCGATAAATTGTATGGGGATTCAGAGGAGGATCCCTGTTGACGTACGGAAGGCCGTTCAGGATCACATCGTCGGACCAAGCAACAAGACAGCGTCCAACAGTTGATAGTACTTCACCTTCCTTAGCTTGCACGCCTTCCGACATTGCGATTCGTGCTTATACCCTTCAAACCATAACTAAAGTTCTTGCATGTCGCCGCTCTTACTATTCGTATCCTTCCGTAGCCCTCACCAAGGTGACGAAGCACTTAGCTTGTGTGATTCGTAGCAGAAAGAAATGATAATACATCAAAGATCATGAGATACTTATACATAATGTCCACTCTACGCCCACGTAACCCCGCTCACCATCCGCCCTATAAGAACCGTCGTACAACAACATTACACTTGCGGCCCCGCTAACCTAACCTTCTCCTCCACATCCGCCTCGTACACCTGGAACGCCTTCCTGAACATACCCGCCAGCTTCCGCACCTCCTTCTCGAATGCCTCGCGGTTTGGCCACGCCATCTCGGGGTTCAGTAGCTCGCGCGGGACGCCCTCGAGGCTCGTCGGGATCTGGAGGTTGAACACGCCGAACGTCTCGTACTCCGCCTTGGCGAGCTCGCCCGAGTGGATCGCGTCGATGATGCGCCGCGTGTACTTGAGCGGGCAGCGCTTGCCCATCCCGAACTTGCCGCCGGTCCACCCCGTGTTGATGAGCCAGCAGTCAACGTTGTGCTGGGACATGCGCTCGGCGAGCATGCTGGCGTACCGGCCTGGGTGGCAGACGATGAACGGTGCCGAGTAACAGGTGGAGAAGGTCGGGATGGGTTCAAGGACACCGTCCTCAGTGCCCGGCGTTTTCCTGGGTTCAATAAGTGATGAATATCGAGAAGATCAGGAAAGGAAGATAAGTCACTCACGATGTGTAACCAGCTAAGAAGTGGTAACTGGCCTGCTCAGGCGACAACTTGCTCACCGGAGGCAAGACACCGAATGCATCACAAGTTAACATGACAATATTGCTGGGCTGCGTGTCGACGATGCAAGGAATCCTCGCGCCGGGGATGAACTCGATTGGATACGCACACCGCGTGTTTTCAGTGATGCTCGTATCATCGTAGTCGGGGACGCGAGTCGCGGGGTTGTACACTACGTTCTCGAGGATGGAGCCGAAACGGATGGCGTTGAAGATCTCGGGCTCCTTCTCGGCCGAGAGGTTGATGCATTTGGCGTAGCACCCGCCCTCGATGTTGAACACACCGCGATCAGACCAGACGTGCTCGTCGTCACCAATCAGCTGCCTGCGCGGGTCCGTGGACAGCGTCGTCTTGCCAGTGCCGGAGAGACCGAAGAACAGCGTCACGTCACCCTTCTCGATGCCGACGTTGGCGGACGAGTGCAGCGAGAGCTGGCCGAATTTGACCGGCTGGAGGTAGTGCATGACCGAGAAGACGCCCTTCTTCATCTCACCGGCGTACTCCGTCCCGAGGATGACCATCTCCATTCGCTTGAAGTTGATCTCAACGGACGTCGTCGACGACATGCCCTGCGTGAACCGGTTCGCCGGGAACTGGCCCGCGTTGTAGATGATAAAGTCCGGCTCGCCAAAGTTCGCCAGCTCCTCCTCCGTCGGCCGGATGAGCATGTTGTGCTGGATCACGGTAAGTGACCGGGTCAGTTCGAGTGCGTAAGACACCCACCATGAAGAGGGCGTGGTAAGCCCGCGCACAGATGACGCGGACCTTGATGCGGTAGCGCGGGTCCCACTAGCATAACGAGTTAGCGTCAGTGCTGGGAGCTGGAACTGCGTGACATACCCCTGCGAAGCCATCGAAGACGTAGACATTGTCACGAGTATTCAGGTAGTCAATCGCGCGTTCGCGGTTGATCTCAAAGGTGTCTGGGCGGTGACATCAGCATCTATCACACGACCTGCACTAGAAGCACCAGTGACTCACGTTCATCCATCTTGATGTTCACCGAGCCCCACCAGATGTCATCCTTGCTCGTCTCTTCAAAGACGATGCGCTTGTCCTTTGGACTCCTGCCGGTCTTCTTCCCGGAAAAGTTGATGAGCGCGCCGCTGGACGAGATGACGGCGCCCTCGTTGCGGATCGCGTCCTCATACAGCTGCGCGACGGGCGCGTTGCGCTTGATCGTGATCTTGTCCATGTCGAAGCCCGCTTGCGAGAAGTATTCGAGTTCACGGCCGAGCACTGCAGCGGCACGATGAGTGGTCTGCGATGGCCATCGATTTAGGGGGACTCACGATCGTTCAGCTGCTCGTTGTCATGCGCTTGGGCGTAGTGTTTGTGCAGGATGTGCGGGGTAACGTACGGCGTCGCATGCGGATAGACCATGGCTGGAGTCGTATAAACGGCAGGAGTTACAAGAGCTGAATGAGATGAGGGTTTAGAGGACGAGGCCTAGTATTAAAGGCATTAGCCAGTGGAGAAACATATAGGAGGCGGGGTTGCGGGGTAGACGCCCGTGCTCGTGACCGTGCTCCGCGCTTGGCCGATATCATATGGAAACGCCGTTACGCCGAACTCTCGCTACCACGGAACACCCCCCCCCCTCAGGCCTTAGCCTCGGTAGAAAACGGGATACTCACCGTCGCTGGCCGTTGTGCACGTCGGGAGGAAGAAAGGGGACGAAGATGAGGTCCACATTTGACGGAGGTGACGCTCTTTATATGCCAGGGAGCCCTCGGTAACATCCCCGGCACTTGCACTGTCACTCCGTCACATCCGACATTGCCCGGCAAGTAGCCAAATCCATCGTACCTCCAAGGGGGCCCGTTCCGAGATCGTCCGATATCTACTGGACAGCTTTGCGGGACGCCGAGCGGAATGGACTTGCAGCTGAAGCTCGGGGCTCGTCGTATACTCTTCCCAATAGCGGAAACTACTCGACGGCGGAGATGGGTGCTGCCTGCTGTTTTGGCCTGGACGAAAGATCGCAATGAAACTGGAACCACCGTTTCTGTGCATATGCATCACATGCACAAGCCTCGAGTCTCATTCATATCGCTCTTCTCAAGCACTTCCCACTGCTCAGCTGCTCCCGATATTTCTGTCTTATTCAAGTCCTCTAGGCGCCTGATATACTTTGACCCGGATGACCTTCCCGCGCTGCGTGGAAATAACGTGGTTCATTCAAGGGAGTGGAAACGAATGGACGGGCTTCCGTTACATACAGCTCCCCTAGCTGTTGTTCATCTTTGGCTTCATCCATCCCTCCCGATACTCCCCGCTGAATTTGTAGTATCACCAGCAGAGGCGACGAAACGTATACGCCTGCAGGGCCGGTGGAGCCCGAATCAGGATGGGAACGTGATACCCGATAAGGGACGATGCAGTGATTGCAGGTCCGTGTATACGACCTGTAGACGATAGCGCTATGGCATACAGCGTATCCACGGACTTGCCGTCATCCTGCGTCGGAGGTTTATTGCTTTGACATCCCTGAGGAGACCACATCCTCCCGATTCGCTCAATGACGGAGGTAAGGTAGTAGCTCGATGACAAAGCTCGAAGACGTGTTTGTCGGTATCAAGTAACTATGAGAGTTTTGACCGGAAAGCTCTACAGGCGTCATTTATTAAACCGGTCTCACCGACTACCGCCGAACGAAATAATCGAAGCACTGGTGTTTCATGGGAGACCCTATCGGCCATTCATGTGCCCAAAGATACGACCATTTGTTGTCCACTCTGGCCGCTCATCACAACAAACGTTTCCGGGGCGAGGACGCATCAGTCTGGAAATCGGATGGTTGGCTTGGCCCCCACGATACGGACACGGTAATTCCAAAGTCGCCAAGCGAGAAGTACCCCGGTGTATGTTCGAATATGTGCGTATCGGGCACGCAAATCTCGCAGGTGGATCTCACCCTGGGAGACGACAGCGTGTACGTACTCAAAGTCGAGCTCGATTTTCACTATCTTATGTTTTGCGCATCCGGGAATAGCGGGTTTGGTTTTGCTGCTCTAGAGATCAGTCAGCATTCACGCTTTGCCACGTCCGTGGAATATCCCTACGCCATGATCTTGCACGATAGAGCAAGTCGTCGTGAGTCTTCTGTCTAGCCCTACAATCCTCTCTGCCCTCCGCCCAGGATAGCGCGGGGAGGAAGGTGGGGAGGAAGATGGGCGATCTCCACAGCTTCCACTCGAAGCGCGTTTGGCAGATGAAAAAGATCTCTAGAAGGAAAATCGGGGTTGGTCCACACTTATCTACGCGCAGGAAGTACTTATCATGCTGAGGGGTTCCAGGTCTGCCGTCTGTCCGTTAAATGATGAGAAGCTTATGATGCTTCATTCCCCATGCATCAAGCGGATATCAAAATCTCCATTTCTGCAGCGGGTTCTTATTCCTGCATGAGAATACCATGCGCATGATCCAGTTGAAAGTGGCACTATCGTACAGGAGACCGGTACAGCAACGGTATAATACACCGCCAGAATTCGATCCCCCCAGCGCTTGTGTCCTGAACCCTTAAGCAACGCTCTTCTTCGCGTTGACGAATTGCTTGGCGAGGGCCTGCAACCAGATACTGTTAGGTTAAACTTTCATATGTGCGGATAAGAGGGATACTCACGTCGCTCTCACCAGCGGACAGCTTGGCCTTGATGGTGGGCCATTGCTGAGACTCCTCCTCGTCGGAGTGGGAGATGAAGGTGGTGACGGCCTTGGTGACAGCGGCGTCGTCAGAAGCGGAGGCACCAGCGACGAGCTTGTTGATCTCGGCATGCTCCTCTGGAAAAGCAAGTCTTGTCAGTACCCCCTGGTCATGCTCTCGCTAAGCAACTCACGTTTGTTGGAGGCGGCGTTCAGGCCGAACTTGGCGTAGTCGGCGTAGATGGACGCATCCCTGACAAGGTGTTAGTATAGCCCTATCGGCTGCTCGGATCCTTCAGACTCACTCAGCCGCACTGTGCGCCTTGATCTCGGTGATCAGGGTCTGAGCGAGAGTGGTCTTCTCAGAGCCGGACGCCGCCTTGTACTTGGCGAACAAGCTCTTGACGTTGTCGTGGTCAGCCTTGATTTGAGCGAGGACGTCCATTGCGGTGTGAGTATCTCCTGAGTTCGAGTGAAGTTGGGAGGATGCTGAACCCGAGAGATACGCAATGTCTTTTATACCTGCAGGACGCGACTGAACCGCCTACTTGCTGGGCCATACTGTCTCTGCAAGTTGGGACTTGAAGTCATGACCCCCGCGGAATGTCAGGTGTATCGTTGGAACGGGTACTGAGTAGATCATCTCGGACACTGTTGTTAGTCCCGCCCTTGCGCGATGTTGTGGCGTACGCTCGAAGCTGGCGCTTAACGGTCCCTTTTACAACTCGGGGACGTTGATTTGCTGCCACGGATTCCGTGAAAGAATCCAGACTACTGAGCTTCTTCCTCCGAACCAATCCCAAGACACTAGTTTGCAGTTTCCGCGATTCAGAAGCTGCGTGCTTCTGCGCCTCGATCGTGAAGGGGCTTTGCTAGGGTGTAGACTCGATGTAGCTCCGAGGATCAATGTTATCGGTGGATTGACACAAATTGACAGTGACACTGCTGACGCTCAAGCACGTCAGGTGACTGTTCCGATGGGGCCTACTGGAGACAGCCTGCCATTGGGTCCGACTGGCCATTGGGAATCACGAGAATGGTCATGCTTGGATCCCCGTACCGTGTGCGGCTTCGCGAGCCTAAGCCTGTAGCTTCGCTACTCTAAGATAACAAGCGCAAATGCCGCACTGCACCATGATATCTGGTGCTATTCTCACTTTGACCGTGGCCCTTCCGGTTAAGAAAGGAGCGATGGAGGATTATCGAACGTTTGTCCCTGACGGGCAGGCCTGCACGGAAAGGTGATTATACCCCACCATGAGCCATGGCAGCACCATAGACGCGACCAGCAAGGCTTACCTCAAGGCAGCAGCCAAGGGCGAAATGGCAATAGCTGCTGGTCACAGAACACCGAGACTTCCTATTGGCTGTCGCGGACAATAGCCCGTCCACTTGGAGTCAAGAAAAAGCCGCTCGCCAAGCCTCATCCCCACTTTGTTCTATCCCATCCTTAGATGCAAGTCAGTGTATTAGTAGGTGGCCCAGTACTTCTTTCCCCTGAAAAACTGTGCTACATCAGTCGGACAAAGACAGGTCAGGAAAGAATAAAGGGCGCGGTGTCAGGGTAATAACTGAATACCAGACAAGATTGGAAAAAAATGACCGAAAGTCAGAGACCGAGCAGAACAAAGTCGAGAGAGAACCTCCCGCCTCTCAACGCCACATGCTTGGAGGTCTCAGGTTACTGAGACACAGCGTAACGAAGCTCTCACCGAATTATGACACTCGACGTGGGCTATATGGCACAAGTGAGGGGGGCCGGAAGCTGTCCCCCCTTTACTGGAAGGAACCTCACTCACCAAGTACCGTTTCCGCATTTGTTGAGTGCTCATTTTATATCCACTCCACGGGTTTCCAGAATGATACCTTGATCCTGCGGGGTACGGATTAAATGCCCCTCCTACTGGAGTACTCGATGCATATCTCTCAATAATGCAAAATGCGATATATATGAAACGAAGACATACCGGGGCTAGATCCCTTCCCTCAGGTCGTCCCGTTCGCGCTCCCGGATATCAAGTCTGCCCTTGGACGTGCTGGACAGAGTGATATCACTGTAGTTGTCGCTCCAAAAATGCAAAATGATGCTAGCTCACTGTCTTGGTGACGCAAAGCTGGACTAACCTGAGCACACTCCGAGTCCGAGTCCCAACAGTACTCGCGCGTCAGCTCGGACTTCCTTGAAGTATTGGCGATTTACGGAGTTATTCCGGTTCTAGCTTGTCCCCATAGATCCTTGTAGTGTTAGGTTGCATCTACATGGTTGCTGTTGCAGAAAATACCTGGGCTCTTGCAGTCTTAGAGTTGCCTGCCCGCCTGCATGAACGCCACCAATCACAGAGCGATCTGGATCTCGCCGTTGTACCTATCTCAAAACTCTATCGGCATCACTGGATCTGCCCTCCAGGCTGATGGTTCTGATTCCTCGAACAGCGCCACATTTGATCGTGCGTCCTTAAAGCTTGTGGGCTGCGAGACCACTGGCAAGTACCATGATGTCTGTATCCAAGGAAGTATCCGTCTTACATTATAGATGCAGTACAGGTTGTTTTGTGATATTCCGATTGCAAAGAGGCAAGGAAAAACGTGGCGAACGTCAAAGGCGTCCAGATTGACGTTCCAGCCGCGTCGTGATTGCAATCGGAAAGGCATCATCGCGATTGTGGCTAATGGAAGAATCTGTTGTGGGACATGGTAATCTCACTACACAGTCTCACCTGGTCTCTGTCGGACTTGCGAGACCACCTCGACACTCGCATAAGTCTTGGACTTGGAGCGTGCCCCGATAACCCCTGACAACTGGCTCGCATACGCAACGTGGTCCACGGGACGCTATTTGTGGCCGCTGATACGGACGATCGGGTGTCCATAATAGTATTTCCTCCTGCGTTTTGTCTTCCCTTTTCTGCTTCCTCTCGATCGTGATTGCCTTGTATGGGCAGGCCCGCTGTGGATGGCAATACGGATCGGTCTCACCCTCAAAGCACCTGCTATAGCCCACTTGCCGCGGACCGCGTCGTCCCCCACATTACCCGCTTGTTTGTCTTTGTTCTTGCATTCGTCCTCCTCGCAGCTGTCGACCAGCCATGTTCATTTCGAAAGACAAGGGCAAGGTCAACCCTCTTTACCCCTATTGTATTGGTATATAGTTAAGTATAATTGTCTTTTGCAGGCACCGCTATCTTTGGAGTTCATCGTCGTCGGGGGCGGCGTCGCGGGTCTCGCTGCTGCCGTAGGCCTGCGACGCGCAGGCCACAAAGTCATCGTCTTGGAAGAAGAAGAAGAAGGCACGCAGGACGTGGGTTACAATGACTGCAATGCCTATATCATGCGGCTGACCATTTATGAATTACTTGTAGCGTATCAGCGGTGGCTCGCGATCTCCCCCAAACATGACGAAAGTTCTGCAACGCAACTGGGATTTGGGGCCTGAATATGCCAAGATCGCTACCCACTCAGAGAATGTGGCTGTTTTAAATTGTGCGCATCCATCCTCAGTATATCTTCTTCGGGCTCTCACTACATCAGATCATACTGGAGATCTTTATGGGACCCACCACTGGGACGAAGAACTGATGCAGCAAACCGGAGGGAACTACACCACTGTGCACGTGAGCCCGCCCGCCTATTCTAGCCCTCACATCCATATCAATCCCCCATTTCTTAGCATGCGGATCTATGCAGACTCCTTGCCAAGAGTGCTGCCTCGCAGGGGGCGCAAATAAGGAAGAAAGCCAAAGTCGTCTCGGTAGACGGCGGAAGCCTCAAGAAAGGCGATCGACCATCCGTATCGCTGGCCTCGGGAGAGAAACTCAGCGCTGATGTCATTGTCGGTGCTGATGGCGCAGATAGCACCGTGCGGCGCTCTTTGCTCGGGGACACCCCGCTCGGAGAGCCTACTGGGCTGTTATCATGGAAGTAAGCACACAAATTCGTCTCTGCATCTACCCTCGCTTAACGCCTCCCATATAGTACCACAGCACCATGGAGTGAAGTAGAGAGTGATCCTGAGCTTGAGTATTTCAGGAGGAAAGACGTGCGTCGCTTCCCACTCTTTCACTTTCAAGAACCGACCGGGTCTTTACTCACTCTCCGCAGACAGTTTATACGCACTACGGAGTTGCCTACGCATCTCTCTTCTACTACGTGGTACGTACACCCACGGAGCGGAATATGTCATCCAACATCTGATGTATCCATAAGGAAGGACCCGGGGGTGAACGGAGTCTCGCCTTGCACTTCTGGACGCCAGACGACGGCACGCTAAAGGACCCAGGTAGAGGCTCCTGGCGAGACCCTTTCCCGTCCTCTGTTTTGGTGAAAGCATTGGGGGAAGCTGACCCAAGGTGAGTCCGGGGTCGGACCTTCCATGACGAAGACAATAAACGCTAGAATCGTGCGATTTTCAGGCTAATAAAGCTGGCCAGGGCAGCGAAACCTGCTGTGTGCCTACGCTCCTTCATCCCGCCCCCCATTGACTGGGTATGCCCGGACGCAGCTGCCGTCCTAATCAGCGAAGCAGCCCACCCACTCCCCGTACGTCTCGCGTATCTTCTCCACATCACATCGTACTTCCCTCCCATCTGACCTTTCCCTTCTCTCTCCCAGGCGGCTTCCGTCCAACAGCATGGCATGGCCATTGGCGACGCCGCCTGCCTCTCCGAGCTATTCCGGCACATGACCGCGTACGATCAACTCCCGCAATTCCTCGAGGCGTTCGAGGACGTCCGCCGCCCGCGCGTCGCCGACATCTGCGAGAACGAAGTCGGCAACATCCGTTTCATGACCTGCCCGCCCGGCCCCATGCAAGAAGCAAGGGACGCTGTCATGAAGGCGGCGACGGACAATGGCAAGGGCGTGCTCGAGGGCGAAGAGATGTATGACGCGATATTGAAGGTATTTGCGTACGACCCGGTGGACGCCGCGGCGGATTGGTGGGTGCAGTGGGGGATGCTGAATGAGAGGGCAAAGGGGAGGGTCGCGGAGAATATGGTGCCGCTGGATATCGCGGTGGAGCAGACGACGGGGGCATAAGGCCCAAATCAACGCTGTATGCATGTCGAAATGTTGTGTCCTTGCTTAAATATAAACCAACCGGATTCTCAAGACCTTAAACTGAAAATACCCGGCGACTTCGGTCTGACCATTCATAATCAACATCGAGCGAATAGATGGATGTCTATTATACAAAAGGGCGACAGGAACATACACAGCACAGTTTAGACTAGCGTGACAGCAAAGCGACGAATAAAAGATGATAAATACGTGCAAACATCAACAGTCCCTTGCATGAAGGCATTCAGAAATGGCATCAACTCGTCCTCCCGCCTACGAGCTTTCGTAATACCTTCTTATGGAGAGTCATAATTGCCGACCGTGCGAGAGGGATATCGCATATGATCCCCACATCGACGGCAGTAATGTGGGCATTAACCTTGGTCGCAGAACCGACCTCTTTTACAGTCTCTTGCACGAGGTCCTGGAAAGTAGGAATGGGCTGCAAGACCATAAGCTCATGTACAGCGTCGTTCCTTTGGATCGGTTTTCCAGTCAGGGACGACACCCCTACTGTTTGGCGCTTACTGGGCGACCCCGGATCAGGGCCAGGAAGGGAGAGATTTCCCGATGTATCTCGGCTGTACAATGAATGAGAGGCGTCAAGTATCGCAATCTGTTGTCCTTCGAATAATCGGAAATCCAATGCATGCCTTAATATAGAACTATATCAATCACGACGCACCACGCACAGCGACGTGGATACTTGCCTGAAGTCACCGTAAAGGAGTCGATACCATCCTACGGCCTTGGGGAACGTGTCCAGAAACTGACTCTGGTCTGCAGCTTCCTTCTGAATTTCGGCCAACTGGACAACAATAGGCAGGGTATGCCTTAGCAACGAAACCAGCGTATGAAGCGACTCCGCAAGACGTCCGCGACGAAGCAGACCACGTAGAAAGGGTTCTGAATCTTCGTGCGGATTGAAGCGATCCTCCAAAGTCGAATAACTTGCCCTTGAGAATCGGAGTTCATACGTGCCACCGGTTGGCGACAGCTGATCAGTGCATGTGATAGAAACGGTATAGTCCTTAATAAAGATCACATAAGACTGTATTCCCAGAGGGTGTCTGGACAGCGACTCACAGCAGCGTACGCAAACTCTACAGTTTGTAGATCGAACGATAACATCCGAATGTCCGGCCACTTCTTTTCTTTAGACATTTGACCGACTGAGGGTAGACGGGCCTCAATATGTGGTGCGTGCGAGGCAGTTTGTGAAGCTTACCTTCTCTAGCTATTACAACCATCTTCGAAACACGGGCCCACTCCTCAAGGAATTCGTCAACGCATTTGTCGACGTCTTCAGACAGGAATGAAACAACGGCTTCTTCCGTATCGTAAATGATTCGCTTGGACGGTCGTATGACGGCACTGGTCCCTGCTCTTTTACCCATAGGCTGCTGAACGTATTTCAGCTTCACGCAAGTGACGACCTATCCAACAGACTGCTATCAGCTAATGAGGAGGGCAATGTTCACGATTCGGCCCACCTGAGCCTTCTTATCAGACCACCAATTGAGAGGGATGACGCGGATATTAGGCATAGCGGCTTCTGCAGCCGGTGCTCCGGACAAAATATCTGACGACTGAACACAGAGTCCAGGGACGGAACGAGCCAAAGACGACTGTATGTGCAGTAGTTCGGGTGTCACGCGGGAAGCTTCCGAGGGGTTGACATGGATGTAAGGAATGCCTCGGAGTTTGAGCTGTTGTTCGACCTTCATATACGCCACCCGCGCACTGCAAAACCATCAATTGTTATCCCAAATTCCGAAAGCTGACGTACCAGCAGTACGAGTATAACTCTCGCAGCACCTGGGTCTCTAAATTGAGGCTATTACTTGAGGACACTTAGCAATATCCCGCATCACGCTTACGAAAAACGTACACTGTCCGACCCATATCTGCACGGGGTGCATCTATCGCGGGTTGAGACTCGTCCGCACTCTTGACCTTGTGCTTCTGTCCACGCGAGGAATTCAGATGATCGTCCACAGTAACAAGTAAATCGTCGCCATGTATTCTTTTTACGTCCAGCCAGCCAATATCCTCCATGATCATTGTCTGATACACGTCGGTCTGAATCCTGACTGAGATGAGAGCATATCGGAGCTCATCGTCCATGATAACAAGCACGAGATAATGGTTCGGAAACTTCGCCAGCTGGACATATAGCAAGCCACGAATAGCCGGGCCGAGCTTGCCGAGTTCTTTAAGAAGCAGTTGGTCTACGTGACCCCAAAAGTTCATGCGAATGACATACCTTCAGCCTTGAATGGACGTTGACGGTAAGTCTGTAGCCCGAGGTAATTCGCTTTCTGTTCCGCGAGATCCGTGATAGTCTGCGACATCGGGAAAGATGTGTGAAGAACTTCAGAAACATTGAGAGCAAATCGTACTTACCAGAATGCGTAAGAACGGTACGGCATCCGTTATGCCCTGGGGAGCATCATTGAGTCTCTGCGTAATGTGAGCAAAACGTGGTCCACGCCCTGCTGCAGCGAGATCGCCAGTGTCCCTCAGAGTAATTCTGCCAGTCCTAAGGTCTAAGCTAACAAGCACTATCTCATCGGCACATAGATGAATACGAAGAGCGAGATTGCCATCTGGCGATCGGTGAGTTAAGACGTTCAATGGATGATAAAGCGCAGTAATTACCACTCTCGACTAACGATACTTCTCCGGGGTGAGCAAACACGGGTTTGCGTTGCAGTTGTATTTGGAATGCCCTGAGAATAGCTTTTGCATGTTTATACAATACCTTTCGTAGTAGCGCCTCAAAGTCCAAATTGTCCGAGTCCTGGACCAAGTCAGTTTGTTTCGCAGCATGCCATCCATCTACTGCAACACGTACAACACCCAACTCCCCGTCTGTAAAGGCGAGGTCCTCCAGAGCGACAGGTACCCCCAAAGCATTCTTCACAGGCTCCCACTTGGCCTCGAACCGCAAGGTCTCAACTTCGTCCGAGGGTCTGGCCGTGTTCAGCTTTGCCCGTTGTTGCAGTTCTGCGAGTATTCGATCTTTTGCGGATCGAGCAGGTCCACCGCCTACTTTGGGTATTGCTCTTACACGAGCAATAGATACAGTTAGCGTCCCTCCCAACGGGGGTATCTTCATTCGACTGTTGGGCAATGGGGCTTTGCGACTGCGTGATGAAGTGCGTTAAATCAGATTTTAACCTTCCAAACGATGTGTAGTTGGGAAACGAACATCCAATATGAGACAGAGAAGGTCTTCCGGTCTCTGCTCATCCCCAGCTGCAGGTATTCTGCCCATCCGAGATTGCACATTCGTTGTGCCTAGTGCAATACGATGAGGTCCAGCTATTTATCAGATCAGAATGCTACCCACCTGGTATGCCATGATCTCCAGCTGATACGACAAAGACATCATCTCTACTAGATGTGAACCGATGCAAATTCACAGTTCGATCTGAACTTACGTAGGAAATTATAGACACGAACTAATGGGGCATCCATAGTCCCTTCCGGTAGCTGAGGTCTCGGAGGAAGCTCTACGGGCGGCACCTGCCCCTCAGGTGGAGGAGTGATAGGCACATACATGGCTAACTGGGCATCGACACCTTCGGTAATATGTCGTTTCATTACCCCAGTAGGCACACGCGGGAACTCTGATCCAGAACAATGAAAACCATCATTCGTCTCTAAGACTATCGTCGTACCTTGCATGCCTGTCTCATCGCCGCCAACGTTAAATAGAAATTCGACGTCCACGAAGAACCACCCGTCGTCTTTCTGAGCACCTCGGAGACAGAGAGAAGTCTCAAACAGCCTGGGGGCAGCGAAACGGACTCGCCCCCGTTCTAGAAGAGGCTTGAGTTTACATACATATCGACGACATAACCAATTGATACTACCGATTGTATATTTTGACATCTCTATGGGGATGATTTCTGTCATACGGAGACGGTAACGTATTCGATCCTCGACGTCTGCCACGATCTTGTTGACTTCATCGTCTGAAAGAGGTGGTGGTTGCACGATTAGTTTCTGGGAGAGGTCAATAAGCGAACTTGCTCGAGAACAGCGCTCTCACCTTGATGACGGAAGGTAATCGGCGGTAGGAACCAGTAGTGAGGACGTCAAGGGAGGTAAGGAGATCGTGGTTCCGAAGCCTGACACCCGAATCAATACTTTGGGCGCGAGTCTCATGACTGTTTACTGTACCTAGCCGGATCTAGGTTGTCTCTGGCTCTCGCGAGTGAATCAATTGCGTCAAGGAATTGTTGATTTTGATTCATAAGAAAAGCGGTGATGTTCTTACGGGAACGTTAGGTGAATTACTGGGTCACACAATATTCGCTTACCATGGCCTTCTGCACTGTATCCGCATCTCGAGACCATTTCACGACAGCATATAACTTCACCACCTGCTTCTTTGTCTTGACTACCCAGTCTGCTATCGTACGTGCCCGAGCTTCCTTCGACATGTTGGGCAGACTTTTACGCGCGTGAAGCTCTGTAATCTGCCCCAGATACAGCCTAAGACACGTACGTTTCGGCCATTTCTAGTAGCTCCGCATAGATAGCCTGGGTGACTCGCGAAAGGAGATCGCCCAAAGGCACCTGCCCATCGTACACAACGGGAAGCTCTCGTTCAAGTTCTTCCAGACTTGTTTCGTGGAATTCATTAGAAGTAGAAGGTCCGGATACGTCGACAGTGCCGGAGGATGCTTTGTGGCCGTTAACGCCGTTCACGCCGTTGGTCGTCGCCATTGCTGCGAGCGTTCGGCTTCAAGCAGTCGCTCAGCCCCAGAGCAAAGACATAGACAGCTTTCGCGAACAAAGGAGCGTAAGACGAGTGTGGCCGTGTTAAAGACGACAAGGTTCAAATGCACAAGGGCTTGTGGCCACGCTCCTGGGACCACGTTAAGCGCCCGTCACCGTACAAGCCGACGGCTAAACATCGAAATCTCTTGACCTTTGACTACCATCTATGGATTATTTACGGACACTGGGCTCTGCTGCCGTCTCGTCTCTGGTTCAGAAATCTGGCTTAAATCTTCCTTTCACATTAGCGGGCAAGGTCGACGATGGTAGCAACGAGATATGGTCATTATATGACGGAACCAAGAGGGTAGGCGTGGTCGTGCTATGTTACCAGGATTGAAACGTAAAACGAAACCCGCAGGACGATGGCAGCCCCGTATCTGTTTTTGAATTCGACGCGAACTCGTCGTCGAAGAGGAACCTCATACCCCTAGCTAAGAACGCCCTACGAAAGCTACGAGCTACTCGCCATCCCGACGTACTGAAGTTCATGGATGCAGTGGAAACTGATACCACAGTTCATATTATGACCGAGCGTATACGACCCCTGAAAGCTGCATTGCAAACGTGGTCGTCCAAAAGTCAGCGGGAACGGGAAGAGTGGCTTCTATGGGGCTTACACAGAATCACGGTGTGCCGGTATACGGTATGTAGTGAACACCATTAACCCGCTAATTAGGTTGCATTGGCCTTCGTGAACGGCCCCTGTGCGTCTACTCACGGCAATGTTCGTGTCCAATCTATCTTCATATCACCATCCGGGGAGTGGAAATTGGGTGGGTTCGAGGCTTTGAGCAATCACAAAGACGACATGAACGGATACTACGTATGTAGTACATCTATGTTAGTATCATACAGTAAATTGAAGATGTTATCTAAAGATAGGCTCATCCTTGCCTGAATCCATGAAGTATGCGTCCCCCGAGGTCAAGAAAGGCGGATGGATGGTCCTGAAGGAGTAAGCGCGCTCAATTTACGCCTCTTCCTCCGCTCATCCATCTCCAGCCATGATCCAGGAGTACTGGATAGCTACGCTCTCGGTATCCTGCTGAACTCCCTCTTCAACCCATCCTTCCCCCTTCCGCCGACCACCGACCCTCCTCATCCTCCTCCGCCTGCTTCCTCACAAGGCGCCGTCCCCTCAGCTTTATTTCCCTCATACAAGCGTCTTCTTAATCCGAATCCCAGGGGTCGATTGACTTCTAAGGGATTCTTAGATTTAGGAATGGCTGAGACGGCTGGTGAAGGCTCCGGCTTCTTTGCGAATAACAACCTCGTAAAGATTTGTGCAGGGCTCGACAACTTCAATTTATCGAGTGATACGGAAAAATCAACATTCCTACGGCGAGTGAATATGGTTATATTTGACATGCACGTACGAGATTGACGACTCTCTAGTACACTCAAAGAGTCTGCCTCTTCGTTTCCCCCGGAATTCGCCACCGGTCGTGTTCTACCTTCATTAATATCTGCCTTAGAGTTTGGTGGGGCGTCAGCAGCTACCATCTTACCGTTGGTCCTACAGATGGGGAAGAATGTTGCACCAGCAGATTATTCTACTCAAATTATCACACCGCTGGTCAAACTATTCGCCAGTCCTGATCGTGGTACGCGTATGGCTTTGATCGATCACATGAATGAATACGCAGACAAGTTGGACAAGAAGACAGTCACAGATAAAATATGGCCTAACCTGGTCGGTATATTTTTGTTATGTGAGAGATGCTGGCGCCTGATTCCGCCTTCTCATCCAGCAAACTGGGTTTACAGACACTGTCGCCGTAATCCGTGAAGCCACCGTACGATCAATCATACTCCTTGCGCCAAATGTAATATACATACATCTTCGCCCCCTTTGACAACCTTACTGATGTATTTCACAGTTTAGCGATCGAATTATGAACAACGATCTCCTTCGCCACCTCGCCAAAATGCAATCCGACCCCGAGCCATCCATACGGACCAACACGTGCATTCTCCTTGGTCGACTAGGTCCAAATCTGGGTTATAACACGAAACGCAAGGTTCTAGTACCTGCATTTTCGCGAGCTTTGAAGGACCCCTTTGTCCACGCTCGTGTGGCCGGGTTAATGGCTTTCATGGCCACTATTGATTGTTATGAAGAAGAAGAGCTGGCAACCAAAGTATTACCCAGCGTCAGCCCCTCGATCGTGGATAAGGAGAAGTGAGTATTTCGCCCATTCGCGTCTACCCTTTTGACAAGGGATTCAGGTTGGTGCGCGATCAGGCTTTTAAAGCCGTCGAACTCTTTCTGAAGAAGCTAGAATCATATGTTGCCACATTGGTATGCTGCCTTCCTTTGCTGGCGCAAGACGTTAACATATAGCGCCTCCGAAGCCTGAGACGGCGATCGTCGAAAGCGGAACCCCTCCGTTAGGGTTCACTCCTCCAGCTTCAGCACAAAATAATCTAGTGAACTCGGCTACAGGAGCGGCAGGGGCGCTTGCGGGCTGGGCGATATCGTCCATAGGAAAGAAGGTATCTGATCCTGTTCTTCGCCTCCTTCAACTTTCTCATATTCATGCCAAATCAGCTTGTTAGCGCGGATATGCAAACAGTTATCAGCAGTAGTCCTAGTCTAGGAATCGACCGCCCTATATCTGCTCCTCCTCCTATCGGTACCAATGCACCTGGCGGCAGTGCATCACGTCTGGCTGCTCACTCAGCCATCTCGACCCCAGATGTTCTAGGAGCGCCGCGCCCGACATCACTTGCTGTTGGCGGCGGCGCATCGAAGGTCAAGGGAATGCAACTCGGCGCTCACAAGACGCCCGCTACTGCTTCGGCCGCAAAGTTCCCAACTGAGCTGGAAGAGGAGATGAACGCCCTCACCATCGAGGCGAATAATCCGTGGGGTAATGATGATTTGATGGATGTGAACGCTGATGAGGATGATTGGAGTGAGTTCATGTTATATCGGCTGGTTGATTTACTGACCCATATACCACGCTAAGGCGCTTTCGAGACTGCCCCGGCGGCGATAGTGGAGCCCAAACCAGTCTTTGCAGTGACGGCGCACGGTCCACGCATTGGGGCGTCTAGCGCACATAACCAGGGTAAGCCTCAATCTCGTGTGGAGTTTATCGTATAACGTTCATTGTCATCAGACTCTTCGTGGGACGACGTGGGCTTCGCAAGTCAGACTTTGGAGAACTCGCCATCAGTCCCGCGTACACATACAAATCTGGGAGGTGCGATGCGGAAGGTGTCTGTTCCAAGGATGAAGAGCCCTGTCCCTGTCACATCGAGTCCACTGTCTTCTCGACTTTCTTCACCCGCACCGGCAGACCAGAGAGCAGCATCACCCGCGCCAGCTAGCCCTGCTCCTAGCACCGTCGGCATGTCGAAAGAGGACAAGGCAGCGGAGTTGGCCAGACGCAAAGAGGAGAGGAAGCAGGTATGATTGTGTTTCACCGGGAAGAGCAGCCGGCACTTACGCAAATTCATTCCCAAAGCGCATTGCACAGTTAAAGGAGCAGAAGAAGAATGCTGCTACCAGTGTCAAATAAAATAGGGAGCGCAGATGCGCACGAGGTATAGCCTCACTTGATACATACATACGTTGGATGGTGGTACACTGCTGGGATGTCATCGGCGAGGTATGCTAGTATGCAAGAGGTTATGCTGACTCTAGTGCAACTAGTACTCCTACGGCTGCCTTGCACATATAGCCCTCTGAAATGGGACCAAACTTGACTGAGAGTGGAGTGCAAGTCGCCAAAGGCCGAGACATCGCACTTCATTGTCCATCTTTGTGGTCGCTAGACGTAGCTTGCAGGTCTTCCACAGGTATGCGGACTAACTGCACGCCTTGTGCGGTCGAATGTGATTCGTCCTCTTCTCCACTGCGCCTCTGTTCTCTTGTCGATACTGCTGGCGTTCTGTCATCGACTTGTCTGCAGCAAAGGTCGTGATACGCACAGAAAAGATCAAGGATATCAAACATATCTCCCCATTGCGATAGGACTTGCCCGTGCACTGTATCATATCAAAACCATCGGTCCCTATTTTATACCGCCCGAGCTCACCTAATCCAGCGTCCGCCATGATCTCCCCATCCAGACAGAGCTCCGCTATCCGTTCTGCAACGAGACCCGAAGCGCGCTCCAAAGCTGCTACGGCCTCCAGCTCCCTCTTCTTCTCTCGCAACTTGGCATTGCCTGAAGACGACTGGGCTGATCTACTCGGAAGTGCTGAGGGCCGCATATTGAGCTCAAACTACCCTATGTATACGGTCTGGATATGCTAGCTGCCTGCCAGTGGGGATGCAGTGAGCGCGTTATTTGGTCTTGTTGACGCGCCTTGAGACCGTGCCGTGACAGTAGTGGCGGTCTGATTCAGCTGTCTGTACATTGAGGTCAATCGCAACTTGGCATCGCGTACATACAACGGCGTGAACGAGGGGAGGGACAGAGTACGCCCTCGAAAGCGTCTTATCTGAATTTTTAGCGGGCATTTACATAGGTATAATAGCCGCGAGTCATCTTATCCATGAGGTGGCTGCTGATTCAAAGAAATTTCGGAACCAAAGGTCGTATTATCAAGGGGGCGCATGAACGGCACTCCTCTACGCAATGCTCGGCAGGTAGGCTCTGTTGCTTGTTATCGCATGGGTAATCGAATGCCGAACGATGACGAGTACTTACTCCTTGGTACGGCCCAGAGTGTGTCAGCAACGCGAAATATACATACATATCGGATGGGTGCATATCAATGACCCTAGCATAGTTGTCTCAGTGACGATATACGACATGGATCCCCATCCCGAACAACTCGCCATCGCGGAGCACCATGATGTGTATCCTGGGATTGACCTTAACAGCCGACTGAAGGATGCCGCAAAGGGCAAGATTGTCTACACTACCTGCGTATGGGTGTTTCTCATCCTGCAACAACCGAAGTCTGATCTGCTTTGATATATCAGGCAAGCAGAGGAAATGGAGAAGCGACGGTCTATGCCTACTTATGCACAAGCTGGCACCAGTGGTCTATTTGTCACTGCGAGGTCGAAGGAGACCCTTGCATCGGTTGCCGAGAAAGCTCAAAAGCTCGCCCCCACGGTAGCGATTAAACTTTACGCTGTCGATGTGACGGATGCTAAGGCAGCGGGCGAAAGCGTCAAGCAGTGCGCCGAGAGTCGTAATCGCGAACGCTGGCTACGTCGAAAGCGGGTCAAGATAGGGGATGCTGATCCGGAGGAGTGGTGGATGAGTATGGTGAGGCATGTACAGCATTTGCGTCGTCGAGATTACTGAGGCATGAACGCAGATTGTCAACATCCGTGAGCATCTTGCAGGGTAAAATAGACTGCACAAACTGACCCCTCCGTGCAATTCCCAGGAGGGACCTTCAACGTTATCCATCATACCATCAAACACCTCGTCGCGGCCACAGGACACGCGATTCTGGTCTCGTCCATCGGGGCCCAGATCGACTGCCAGGAGCAAGCTCATCCCAGACTGCGAAGCACGCCTTGAACCGTCTGGCTGAGTTCGTCCAATTAAGCAGACCAGCCATTTTTTTTGCGTGCGCCGCAAATGGCGCCTCCTTGACCACATATCCTTCCAGAGTATGGCTCGGAGGGAGTCAAGATCTCTTAAATACATCCAGGCGGTATACTGTGCGTGTTGCACTCCTTTCCGTTCGGAGTTGTGTCTCACATTAAATGGATCTTCAACGCAGCACCGAGATGGCACCCAAGAACCCAACGATCATACCGTATCTCACGGATAAGATGGAGATTGCGAGCCATACAATGGTCAGGCTAACGAGCGGCTCGGATGGACTTGCTCAAAGGCAGATACGTCGGTTGCGACTGGGACCTGGATGAGCTCGCGACGAGAAGGAAAGAGGATCGAGGAGGGCGACCTGCTGAAGAACAGGCCCGACGTCGGCAGTTTGGCGTATCCACTGTGAGTCGGGGCGTGACAATCGCATCGAGACCTTGCACGAGCGGACTGTTCTCGCAGATAATGAATCCTCCGGAAGCCGCAAGTGGAGAAGGAGAAAATCAGGGAGCTGACTAGAAGACCATGGGCTGGGGAGGATGTACATAGTATCGCGTACCCACTGTGAGCCTACAGCCTTCTCGGACATATAAATATGCCCAGGGTAAAGAGTCCAACCATACGGCAGCTATAGGGGCTTCCTTCTGCACCTTCGCAGCTTATCAATAATGGACCGATGACGAATATGATCACAAGGAACGCGCTGACAACCGGGGCAGTATAAATAAAGGATGTGTAACATATCCAAGCATACCAACCCAGGTGCAGACGATACAATATGGCCCCTCATCCTGAGCAGCCCAGCGTCACAGTGCACCATGATGTATATCCAGGAATAGACCTTGACAGCCGCCTGAAGGACGCGGCCAAGGGCAAAGTTGTCTATATCACCGGGGTAGGCCCCTACCTACCGCAATCGAGCACTTGATCTTGACATGCTTTGACAGGCAAGCCGAGGTATAGGAGAGGCGACCGTCCTTGCATATGCCAAGGCCGGTGCGAGCGGACTCTTCATTACGGCCAGGTCAGCAGACGCCCTGACATCGGTGGCTGAGTCCGCAAGTAAGCTCGCGCCCTCCGCCCTGGTCGAGCCATATGCTGTGGATGTGACAGATGAGAAGGCAGTGGGTGAGAGCGTGAAGAAGTGTTTAGAGAAGTTCGGGAGAATCGACATCGTTATCGCAAATGCCGGCTACCTGGAGAAGTGGGTGAAGATAGGGGATATCGATCCAGACGAATGGTGGAAGAGCATGGTAAGACCTCAGTTACACGTTGGCTTTTGATGGGGGCTCTAACCAATAAATGTAGACTGTCAGCATCCGTAAGTACTCGGCAGAGACAGAATGAGCTATACAACCTAACGTTTCTATGTATAGATAGGCGGTACTTTCAACGTCATTCACCATACGATCAAACACCTGGTTGCGACCAAAGGATATGCAATCCTGCTCTCGTCTGTGGGAGCTCAGAATCGACGTCCGGGGGCAAGTGGATACCAGACTGCCAAGCACGCATTGAACCGCTTTGCAGAGTTCATTGACGTTGGTGGGTTGTTATAGGTTCATGGGGACATAATCATAGGTTCTAATCGTCGGACATCGTAGAGTATGGCTCAGAGGGTGTCAAGGTATTTGCGATACATCCAGGGGGCATCCTGTACGTCCGGGAACAGCCTATCATTTTGGCTCGTAGCTGACCTGAGGTTGAAGCACTGTTCTGGCAGCGAACGAGCCATCGTTGATACCACTGCTCAACGATAAAGTGGAGATCGCTAGCAATACAATGGTGCGGCTGACAAGCGGCTCAGAGGACTGGCTAAGTGGCAGATATGTCAGTTGTAACTGGGACCTAGACGAGCTGGCAAAGAGGAGACAGGAGATAGAGGAGGGCGACCTCCTAAAGAATAGGCTCGACGTTGGGGGTCTAGCAAATCCACTATAGGCCGAAGTTATATGTGACTCACAGCACTGCCGGCTGGCAAACAAAAGCAGAGCAGGGCAAGCAGTTAGACAACCAGAGGATTTCCTCCATATTAATTTCTTTGTACCAGTCCCTGCCTTGAGCTTTTCGTGATAGCTGCAGCGGCGCTCAAGTAGCAATGATTGCTCGGATCCGGCAACCAATCCAAACAGAACGGCATCGCGGTACGCAATCATCGGCACCAGTCATCGTCAATGAGTCAGTAACCAGACGGCAGACCAGTAGCTGGTGTCTTGACATGACCGTTCATTGCGCATATACCTTGTCTGTCTCGAGCTACGAGAACAACATGGCACCACATCCAGAGCGAGTCACCGTCACAGAACATCACGATGTGTACCCAGGGATTGACCTGAAGACTCGCCTCAAGGACGCTGCGAAGGGCAAGATCATCTACATCACGGGAGTGCGTAGTCCCGGTATCCAAAACCCCACTGATGACTTCGGGGAAAGGCAAGCAGAGGTATCGGAGAGGCGACCGTGCACGCGTTCGCAGAAGCAGGCGCAAGCGGACTGTTCGTCACTGCCAGATCCGCAGACGCCCTGACAGCGGTGGCCGAGTCAGCACGCAGGATCGCACCGTCCATAGTGGTCGAGGCTTGCACTGTGGATGCTACGGATGAGCAAGCGGTCAGCCAGAGCGTCAGGAAGTGTATCGAGAAGTTTGGGAGGATCGACGTCGTTATCGCAAATGCCGGTTATTTGGAAAAGCGGGCGAGAACAGGGGAGATAGATCCTAGAGAGTGGTGGAAGACCATGGTAAGCTTTCGATGCACGAGCTTACAGTTGTGACTGTGCTGGAAGTATGTCATAGGATATCAGCCTCCGTGAGCATATCGCGAGTAATACAATGAGCTGTCCAATTACGGGGATTCCTACAGGCGGCACCTTCAACGTGATCCATCATAGCATCAACCACCTGGTCGCGACCAAAGGCTACGCTATCATGCTATCGTCCGTGGCAGCCCAACATCGAAGCCGCGGAGCGAGTGCATACCAAACATCCAAGCATGCAATAAATCGGCTTGCAGAGTTCGTTGACGTCGGTGAGTGCCTTCAACCGTTCGTCTATCTCCTTGCTGACTACTAGTCGCCACAGAATATGGTTCGCAGGGCGTCAAGGTGTTCGCTGTGCATCCCGGCAACATCGCGTACGTTCTGTAACGATATCGGCTCCAGGTGTATATGTTACTCACCTCGTAACAGTACGGCCCTAGCATCGAACGAACCAGCCATAGCAGCTTATCTCATCGACAAGATAGAGATTGCGAGCCATACGATGGTCAGGCTGACAAGTGGGTCGGAGAACTGGCTTAGCGGTAGATACATCAGTTGCAATTGGGACCTGGACGAGCTCGCGAAGAGGAGGAAGGAGATAGAGGGCGGCGACCTCCTGAAGAACAGGTTGGATATCGGGAGTCTAGCTGGTCCTCTGTAGCTGGAGATCACATCCATACTTCGTTGCCCATCGAAATAAAAGCCAGAGTTTCCAGATCATTCAGAGGAGTTATACCGACACGTCGCGTCCACTGGATGCGACGCTCGTCAGACCGAGACAACTATGATCCGCCTAGTCATCTTCGACGCATTCGGCACGATCCTGGCGCCCCGGCTGCCAGTATACGTCCAATACTCGCAGACCTTCGCCCCGTATCTGGGCGTCCTAGACCCAGATGCATTGAAGAGCGCATTCAGAGTTGGTGGGTACAGCACTCTCTGGCGAGCCCGGCAGCTCGAGAACGGGCAGCTGATGGCTCTTCTGTGTCGCAGCCTTGAAGCAGTTACAAGTGGAGAAACCAGTGTACGAGAATGGCGCGGAGGGATGGTGGGGAGAAGTCATCAAGCGGACGGCTGTCGGGGCAGGAGCAGACCCGCAAAGTCAGTCTCAGAGTCACGGGCTTCATCAACGCTAACTGCTATTGAACAAATGTTCTACTGATTGTGTACGGCTACAGCCGTGGACAAGTCCCTTCCTGAGATTGTCCCAAAGCTCATGAAACGATTTAGCTCGAGGGAAGGTTACAAGGCATTCGATGATTCACTCCCAACTCGTAGGTTTACCTATTCGAATGAAACTTGAAGTCTCATTCGCAGCTGGGACGCGATATCCACTTAGTGGAGAAGTTGCGCGCGATGGGCGTCAAGTCTGCGCTCGTCAGCAATGCAGACTCGCGGATGCGCCTGGTTCTGGACGACCTATCCCTCTCGCCCCACCTCACCGAGATCCTCATCAGCGAGGAAGAGGGCATAGAAAAACCCGCCAAGGAGATATTCGCCAGGGCATGTCAGCGTGTCGGTGTAGGACTGGACGAAGCAGTCCATGTCGGCGACGAACTTGACGGGTGGGTGCCTCGGTAGCTGGTTGTAGTGCAATGGATTGAGTGACTGCGCGTACAGAGATTACTACGGAGCGAGCAAAGCCGGCCTGCAGGCCCTCCTGGTACGCCGTCCGGGCCCAGAGGGAGATGACGAGCGAAAAGAAGAGGGGGAGAACCTGTGCGGTGTCACCGTTGTCCACAGCTTGCTAGAAGTGGCAGACTGGGTGCAACAGAAGAACAGCGGTAAAAAGTAGGAGTCACGGAAGAATTAGATAGGAACTATACTTTTACATAGCATATATACCGCCCCTCAATCGCATGCCCTAACGCCTGTGGATCGTCTTCTCGGGCGGCTCGACGATGTCCTCCACCTTATCCCCAATCTTTAGCGTCGTCCACCGTATCACGCGCGGGTCTTTGCGCATTATCGAGTTGAACTCTCGTAGCACCCGCGGTGATGTGTCAAAGTACATCATCCAGTAGCTAGCGGAACCGAGACTCGTCAACTTAGCTGGCAGGGAATTATGGAGGAAGACGTACTCTCCAGCAGTGTGATACTGCGTATGTCTCCGCATCCGCTGAGGCAACGCCCTCGTACCCCATGAATCAATTTTCCGCACTACACCGCCGTTGTCCATAATGTGAAGAGCAGCTTGCCGAACCAAGCTTTTGATGTTGGCCTGAGGTCAACCGACATACACGCATCGACAGAGACCAAAGTCCTTTCGATTAGTTGGCTGTGCTCGTGATCATTAGGGAATTAGCAGGACGAACATATTCAGGATAATGCGCGGATATGCATAGCATTCGATAGAACGGCATCTTGCTCCTGTAAGTCCGCAACGCTCTACAGGATTGGAGATAAAGGAAAACGCCTCGAGACTTGAAGCGTCCGTCCTTGGCTTGCTGCAGATCGGCAAACACGTGACTACAAGACACTAAAAATAACCTAACCGCTGTACTCAATGGCATTGTCATCTTCTGAAGCCAACCTGAAGGCGAACTTGCCCTACAAGTTGTACGAAGTGAGCGCGATGCTCAGCACAAATCATAATTGCTCGTATTAAGTCGTGTACATCATCGAAAAGGACAGGCAAGACATAGGAATGTGATGAAATACAACTCATAAGGAGTACTCGACCCGACACCAATCAGAAGCCTCCACGCAGACGCAGGACGAGGTGAAGGGTGCTCTCCTTCTGAATGTTGTAGTCAGAAAGAGTGCGACCATCCTCGAGCTGCTTGCCAGCGAAGATCAAACGCTGCTGGTCCGGAGGAATGCCTTCCTTGTCCTGGATCTTCGCCTTGACGTTGTCGATGGTGTCCGACGACTCGACCTCCAAGGTAATGGTCTTACCAGTGAGGGTCTTGACGAAAATCTGCATACCACCACGGAGACGGAGGACTATAGTCATGCACGTCAATGAGGGCTGCAGAGCTCAACGGTGAAGGGACATACCGAGGTGCAGGGTACTCTCCTTCTGGATGTTGTAGTCAGACAAGGTGCGACCATCCTCCAGCTGCTTGCCGGCAAAGATCAGACGCTGCTGGTCGGGCGGGATACCCTCCTTGTCTTGGATCTTGGCCTTGACGTTGTCGATCGTGTCAGAAGACTCAACCTCGAGGGTGATAGTCTTCCCAGTCAACGTCTTGACAAAGATCTGCATGCCACCACGGAGACGCAAGACTAAGGGAATCGTCAGACATTGATAGATCAAGACGTTAAATATCGCATACCAAGGTGGAGAGTGCTCTCCTTCTGGATATTGTAGTCGGAGAGGGTACGGCCGTCCTCGAGCTGCTTACCAGCGAAGATGAGGCGTTGCTGGTCGGGAGGGATACCCTCCTTGTCCTGAATCTTCGCCTTCACATTGTCGATCGTGTCGGAAGACTCAACCTCGAGGGTGATCGTCTTGCCAGTCAAGGTCTTGACAAAGATCTGCATACCGCCACGCAGACGCAGCACGAGATGGAGGGTGCTCTCCTTCTGGATGTTGTAGTCCGAAAGAGTGCGGCCGTCCTCGAGTTGCTTGCCAGCAAAGATGAGGCGCTGCTGGTCGGGAGGGATACCCTCCTTGTCCTGGATCTTCGCTTTGACGTTGTCAATGGTGTCGGAGGACTCGACCTCAAGGGTGATGGTCTTCCCCGTGAGGGTCTTCACGAAGATTTGCATACCGCCACGCAGACGGAGCACTGCGCGAACCTTAATAACGAGTTGCTGTACAATGCAGCGGATGGCACTTACCCAAGTGAAGAGTACTCTCCTTCTGGATGTTGTAGTCAGAGAGAGTACGACCGTCCTCCAACTGCTTGCCAGCGAAGATCAAGCGCTGCTGGTCCGGAGGAATGCCCTCCTTGTCCTGGATCTTGGCCTTGACATTGTCGATAGTGTCAGAGGACTCGACCTCGAGGGTGATGGTCTTGCCGGTGAGAGTCTTCACGAAGATCTGCATGCTATTCACGATGTTCGAGTCAACGCCGACGCTCGCAGCGTGCGTTTGAAGCAACTTACATTGAGGTTGTATAGAGCGATGAATGCGATAAGCAGGGGAGATGATGGTGGTTGAGGAGAAGACAGCGTGGGGCGAGGCGGGGTCTTATCAAGCACGCGATGCGTCACAGATCACGTCACATCGTCACTCTTCGGATACCCTTCCGGTGACCGGTCAGCACCAGGATCCCCGATACTACACATGGAGGTCGGATACCGGTTCGAGTAAAAATTGCCCCAAATGGGCTGTAGGTTGGATACTATTCCAGTAAACATGAGTATCCGACCTGGGCACCGGAAAGGGCTGGAAAGACTCTTCGAGTAAAATCAACCAAAATGGGGTAATCCGATGGTGAGTGGCTGTGCTGGGAAAGCATTTGCGGATTTGAGTAGGTCAGAAACCGAATTCGAGTCAAAATTGGGTGCAAGAAGGCCGGAAGTTGGATACTTTTCGAGTTAAAACAACCCAAATAGGGCAAACCGGTTTTGAGTAAAAGTTGTAAAAGTGGCCCAAAATGGGTGGTTTGGTATCTGACCTCCATGTGTGGCTGGGGTACGATAGAAATTTCATGGGCCATATCCAGGGAGGTGCTGGCAAGTGTTTGCAGGAAGATATCATATCTGGTTCTTGGTATAGCAACATCTTTGTGTTTGTAGAACCTCTGTAGTCAGTACAGTTAACTTGTATCACACACACACCAATAACATCAGCAAATTGTCCCGCGGCTGGTAGTGGCTGGCGCATATTCCAGTTATTTTAGCACATCTACAATCACATTACCAGCCGAATACCAGACTTGTATTTATGATAAGTGAAGCGCCTGCTGAGATACAGTTACCCGAGGATTATCTTATCCTTCTACCCTTAGCAACGAAGCAATCACCGGCGCCTGACTGATGCGCGGACGCTTTGGTTGAAAATATTTGAATACCCCTTGAAGTCAAAACGTCAAATCACACTAGTCAGAATTTGTGACATTTTTTTGTTTTAAAAAAGCAACAAAATGACTTCTTGTGCAAAGATTTGATTGGGGAAAGTCAGAAATTGTTAAGAACAAATGCACGTGATCTACTCGTGACTACCACGTCATCCGTGGTTCAGCCGTCCTCGGGCTCACATTCCGTTTGCTCCCGGTCCCTTGGTACTGTATTGTATATCATACTATGTAATAATGCAACTATGCCATTCACATACCTATCTGTCTTCGCAAACATTCCATGTTGTATAATAGGTAGCATGAGGGGGATGATGACTTACGCGTGAGAGACGAAGCTGTGCAAGTGCAAGCAACGAGAGCGGAGGAGCATGACAGGTCAAGGAGATGGACCTGGAGAGGGTGAGGAGAGGGCGAAAGATGGCGGTGGTTGGAAAACAAGAGAGGGCGAAGAGAAATTTTCGTTGAAGTCCGACTTGAATCGTGGGAGCGAGCGGCACACCGGCAACACCACATATGACGCGAGGCAATCACGAGACCTGGCGGCAAGCTCTCGTGCCGATAAGTTAGAGTCAGAATTTGAGAGGGGGAACCGATAGTGCAAATATTTGACCAGGAGTGTTGAAATATTCTTCAAAACCACCAAGGTGAAATATTTTTACATGACTACTGAAAATTTGTCAACAGCAGAGTTGCAGAATTCCCTGCTTGACCCGTTTGCAGCTTTCTGTCAGAATTCCGGCTGGCTGTGTAAGTTCAACATGTCGGACTTTGAACTTGACTTAAAAGCGTGCCGCAGTTCGACTTCATTGCCAATCCCCTCTCTCCCTTGTATCATGACTAAGTCCTCTCTACAGCTCTCACATGGCTAAGTCCTAACAGCGGCGCCTACGCCGCCTCCTGTACTTCTCCGCGGGTAAGTTCTTCTTGTGAACCTGTTGCCTCTCATCAAACTCCCCCTGAGTACCTTCCTACAGCGCGTCTACGGTTGGGTTGATGCGACCTAGATGAGGCCCCCATCGTGTCTCGACATGTCTCTGTTGCAAGTAAGCCATTTCTCTGCCTTACTATGTGCACATATTAATAGAGGTTCTTAGATTGCCGGAGGAGTCTGGGTCTTGCTCACTAGGTGTGTCCCTCACATCAGTGACTGAGCATTCTGATTTGTTTTGCAGGTTTGGTTATGGTACTGCTGCTGGATTCTATGCATACAGGGTGACTAGTGCATTAGGTATGTCCCTAACATCTCACCTGTTGATATACCCTGATGTAGTTTGTTGTAGTGATTCTATTGATCAGGGCAGGGGTTGATTCCCAGTGGAAATCGACAATATTTTCGTATTTTTAGATACTTTAAATATATTTGCATATGTTTACCTGTATATTTTGGAGGCCACAGACTGCTGAATGACACTTGCATGACACTCCCTCAACCTACTCTACCTGCATCAGGTGTGCGTCTTACGGGGATGCGATGCTGTCGAGTCACTCGAGTGTGCCGCCTGCGTGAGCGCGTCGGCCGCGTCGGATTGAATTGCGGACGCTACCATGTTCAAGTTGTTGGTGTATATCTAGCTGCAGTGATTGCGGTATGACATCACTTGCTGCTCTCACGCGATTCATAAAGTCGTCGCGTCACAGTAAAACGTTTGCACGCACTCTCCTCTTAACCACAAGGTATCCCCTTTGCACTCTGAATTATTAACCAATATGACTTGTCTGTCTTAGGCGGTATTCTCAAGGCAGGGGGCATGTTGCGGAATGCACAAGAATGTGGAGATATATAGTGAGCATTTGTTAGTTGCATCACAAAATTTTAATATTCTGACTTTAATATCAATGCAGGAGGCGATCATGAGGACAGGTTGAATAGGTATGTCCCCATATGGAACGGGAGACAGGTCGCGCAGGCAAACTGGAATATGTGCAGGTGGGGGGGGGGGCGGGGGTGTGTAGAGATGGTGGAAGTGGGCATCAGATACGAGAGGTGCGAAGCGGGCGGGATGTGCGATTGCCAGGGGACCGGCAGAACAGACGGGCGAGGTGGGGGTCAGAAGGACACAACAGAAACGGTAGAAAATTACAAAATTACAGTAATATGTGTAAATACAATGGGATGGGCATGCGAGGGGGCAATATATGAGAACACATGTGAATATCTGCAAAAGTATAAGAATATCCTACCGCTGATATGCACAGACACACAACAATCACCAAGGACCAAAAGGAATAAACCTAAACCCCGTGATATGGGTGAAGGCGGTCCGAGACAACTGAAGGGTATTTAATAGTTCGAGGGGGAAAGGAGGAGTAAGACGCCGTATGTTATGATTTTCCCATGCTTATCTCATTCCATTTCCATTCCGAGCATTGCTATTGGACAGTACCTTTCTCCGAGTAGACCTTCCCATGGACGCTATCTTCTTCTCACACGTTATCTTCCTTGACTCACCTTCTACCAATGGGCGCCCTTGTATTTCTCATTTCTCTGAGTTACGTTCTCGCAGGATGGCCTACGCGTCCTTTCTTATTGTTCTCTTCTTTGGGTATTAACCCCTATACCAGTTACTATATATACTGTAGGAAAACCCATGTATTCCTTAGTTCAACCTCCTGTTGAATACAGCGATTACCTGGACTCTTGACTTGACCGTTGGCATTGGCCCGGCCAGACCTACCTTTCAGTACGCTTACTGAGGTAGTAACGACATAACTGTTGGCAC